CGTTTCCGTGCGCTGCTCTGGTTCGCCAGAAGCGGCTTAGTCATGCTGGCCACATGACCCGGAAGCTGTACGCCGGCTCCCTCGGCCAGTAAAGCGAGATGAGCACCGCAACCCCAGAGTCGTCCGCGACTGGACTTAATGGTCAGGGGTCCCTTTACCTTTACCTTTTAAGGAAAAGCATGACACATTCCAGGATCAAATCATAAACCAGGAATGCTTCTTTAAATTCGGGACCGTCCCTGGAAAATAGCAAAAATTGGAGGCAACTGACTACTCCTCTGCCCCACAGTCTCACTACTGACTTTTCTGACCTCGAATCAGCTTCCTAAATACCTCACCAAAGTACTGTTGTTTCTTTGTCAGTGGCACCAATGGATATATTCTGGGAGGAAATTACAGAGGTGAGGTGGCTTCAGTTTTCAATCTGTATTGCATGGGTAGGCAAACTAAGGCCCGGGGGCCGGATCTGGCCCAATCGCCTTCTCAATCCGGCCTGTGGACGGTTCAGGAATCAGCATGTTTTTACATGAGTAGAATGTGTGCTTTTATTTAAAATGCATCTCTGGGTTATTTGTGGGGCATAGGAATTTGTTCATTCCCTCCCCAAAAAAATAGTCTGGCCCCCCCACAAGGTCTGAGGGACAGTGGACCGGCCCCCTGCTGAAAAAGTTTGCTGACCCCTGCTGTAGTGCCTCAGGCTGGGGGAAAGCACTAAATCATAGGACAATGCCCCTTGCTCTCACTTTCCCCTTCCTTCCAGATTTACTGATTGTGGGAAGGGGGTGGGGCGTTGAGCAAGGCCAGTGTAATACATGTCAAGCTTCCCCTTGCAAGCGATCTAGGTAAAGGTAAAGGGACCCCTGACCATTCGATCCAGTTGCATATGACTCTGGGGTTGGGGCACTCATCTCGCTTTACTGGCCAAGGGAGCCGGCGTACAGCTTCCGGGTCATGTGGCCAGCATGACTAAACTGCTTCTGGCGAACCAGAGCAGTGCACGGAAACACCGTTTACCTTCCCACCGGAGCGGTACCTATTTATCTACTTGCACTTTGACGTGCTTTCGAACGGCTAGGTTGGCAGGAGCTGGGACTGAGCAATGGGAGCTCATCCCATCGCGGGGATTTGAACTGCCAACCTTCTGATCGGCAAGCCCTAGGCTCTGTGGTTTAACCCACAGCCCCACCTGTATCCCAACTTGCAAGCGGTCTAGGCAGAGCCTAATGTATTGTGATCCTCTGCCCTGGAGCATCTGAAATGTGATTGTGATGGATGCAGGGCCAGCAGTCGTCCACCTGCCTGTGTATCTGCTTGAGCAAGGGCCCTCTGGAGGTTAAGGCACTATACTCTGCACTGTGTTTTGAATAGAAAAAAATCAGGCAGAGGCTGCGATACACTCCACCCGCCCGGCATATACACACCTAAAAAAAGGAGGAATTGCAGGACAAATAATGCCATGCCAGTTTTAGGATATACTCCATAAAATATGTGGCCTGTACTATAAAAACATAAATAAACCTGCACCAAAAAACCCAAATTCCATGCCAGGAAATGCTACGTTCAGCAATCTGTATAAACTATGCAAATGGAGCAGGTTTGCATAATGCCTCTTATTTTGCCTCCTTTATTCTGAAGTTGGTGCATTTTAATATATTCCATTTCTGCTAAACATGGGGAGAGGTGGGATGCAAGATACAGAAGACCCAGCACTTCCTAACCTATGTACATCGTATGCATCCCATATTATTGTATATTGCATTCATTTATTTAATAGAATCATAAAATTGTAGGGTTGGAAAGGTACACCAAGGATCATCTAGTCCAACCACCTGCAATGTTCTTCCTGATACTGTTAAGAGTATATTGTACTGGTTAGATTAACAGAGGCTATTAGAGACCACACTAGACAAGAGTTTCAAAAAGCATGGGGGAAATGCAGAGAATACTTCACAGAACAGTGCCCTAAAATACATACCTGGACTTATTTCGATTAATGTCTGCAGGAGACTTTGTGGGTATTTAATTAGAAAAATCTTAATAATTATTCATAAAGGAAACAGTTTATAAGAAGGAAATCAGGAGGCCAGATACAGGAGAAAGGAAGTCTTTTATTTGGTTGTTTGTATTGTTGTATGTTATGCTCACTGTATGTTATGTTCACATTTAATGAGGCTGGATTTGTGTATTGGGGCGTGGGGGGGTTATGTTATGTTGTAAATAAAATTCCAATAAAAAAGAAGAAGAAGAAGAAGAAAGTTCTTCCTGATGTTTAGTCACAAACTCCTTTCTTGTGACTTGAGGTCATTGCTGCAAGTTCTACCCTCCAGAGTTAGACAACGCAAGCTTGGTCCATCTTCCATGTGGCAGCCCTTGAGATATTTGAGGATGGCTATCTTATCTCCTCAGTCTCCTCTTTTCCAGGCCAAACATACCCAGCTCCTTCAACCATTCCTCATAAGGCTTGGTTTCCAGACTCATGATCGTCTTTATTGCATTTTTATACCACCTTTTTTCTCCAAGAAGAAGAAGAAGAAGAGTTTGGATTTGATATCCCGCTTTATCACTGCCCGAAGGAGTCTCAAAGCGGCTAACATTCTCCTTTCCCTTCCTCCCCCACAACAAACACTCTGTGAGGTGAGTGGGGCTGAGAGACTTCAGAGAAGTGTGACTAGCCCAAGCACAGCAGCTGCACGTGGAGGAGCGGAGATGTGAACCCGGTTCCCCAGATTACGAGTCCACCGCTCTTAACTACTACACCACACTGGCTCTCAAGGTGACGTACATGGTAGTCTTCTTCCTCATTTAATTCGCAACAACAACCGGGCAAGGTAGGTTTTAGGCTGAGAAGCAGTGACAGGCCCAAGGCCACCCAGTGAGCTTCATGGCCAAGTGGAGATTTGAACACTGGTCTCCCAGGTCTTAGGCCAGCACTCTAACAACTACACTACAAAGGCTTTCATCTAATTGGGCAGTGTGGGAAACAGGAAGAATAATAGACAAGAAAGATCTGAACCAGCAGGGCTGTTGCAACTTTGGTCCAGATGGGCTCTTCTGGTGTCCTTACATTAACTGGGCAGGCTGCTTCCAAGGCTGTTGGTCTTGTGCTTTGCTGAATATTGGCCACGTAATGTTGGCCTGCAACAGTTGCTCCTTGTACAGCTAGGTGCTGTTGGAAGGGACATTTCATGTTTAATGTGTACTCAAACGCAATGCTTCCTTTAGCATATTTTAAACATATTTTGTTATCCGTTCAGCTGACCAAAAAGAGAGATTTCCCCCTCTTTCACCCCTTATAGAAGTGTGTGTGTATAAGGGTAGCTCGGTGTGGTTGGCTGGGGAGAGCACCCCCCCTCTGAAAAAGATGGGATATGAAAAGTCAACTTTTGAGGAAAGGTAGCTGTGAACAAAGAGGCCCATTGAATGGACAGAGTGGCGTTCAGAGAGACAGCGTGAGCAGCTGGCATTTCTCTCCCTCCCCTTTCTACCCAACCCCAACCAGATTTTGGTCTGAAAATAACCTGGATGTTCCACAGAGCAGGAGCAAATTGACAATGCCAAACCCCTGATCTCCCCTCGCCCTCACCTGTGGCGCTATCAACTCTTTGGTCTCCCCATCTCCCTTCTGCTTGGCCTCCATTACCTCACAGCGAAACGAGTTTCAGATGTTACTTTCATTCACATCATGTTCACAAAACATTTCTGTTCATTTTTTTTAATCCTAACAACCTTCAATTTAATTTTAACACAATTAACAGCTGCCTGTCGCTCAATAAAATCATATTGCTTTGGCTTACAAAGGTGGTCAGATATCCATCCTTTGTATTTAATTGCGAGGCTTGAGGATACCTTAAAGACTGCCTTCTTCCAAATTTTCCTTCCTACGTACTTCCGTTCATCATCTGAAGCCTTGCTGAATGAGTTATAGTGGGCAGTTACTAAGATTATGGGCTTTTTGGTAATAGTACCCACTTTGTGAAATGCCTTTCCAAGGGTAGTTAAATACTATGTGATATTCATTCTTTGTACTTTTGTTTTGGATGTGTTAAGTATTCTGTGATGTCTTACTCCATAAGCTGCTTTGAACGGAATTCGTGAAAATGTGGGGTATACGTTTTTAAATAAATAAAGCAAAGCATATGATTCTGTTACACAGAATTGGAATGCAACTTGGTGAAGTTCATAAGCACAAGTGGGGGAAAGCACCGGAAGTCTCAGAAGTCACACTAGACAAGAACTTTATTGTCTCTCTTAAACAAGAACAGAACAGAACCACTAGACTCCAGCCAGATATAATGAAGTCCAATGCCATCTAGTGATGAAACGCTAGAATTATACTATCCATATACCATCAAATTGCCGAAGAATTGATGCTTTTGAATTATGGTGCTGGAGGAGACTCTTGAGAGTCCCATGGACTGCAAGAAGATCAAATGTATCCATTCTTAAGGAAATCAGCCCTGAGTGCTCACTGGAAGGACAGATCGTGAAGCTGAGGCTCCAATACTTTGGCCACCTCATGAGAAGAGAAGACTCCCTGGAAAAGACCCTGATGTTGGGAAAGATGGAGGGCACAAGGAGAAGGGGACGACAGAGAATGAGATGGTTGGATGGTGTTCTTGAAGCTACCAGCATGAGTTTGGCCAAACTGAGGGAGGCAGTGGAGGACAGAAGTGCCTGGCGTGCTCTGGTCCATGGGGTCACGAAGAGTCGGACACGACTAAACGACTAAACAACAACAACCATCAAAGGGAAGCACCAGCCAGGTCTTTCCTGCAAATCTCAGCTCAAGATGTTTTCTACCTCAAAGCTCTGGAGGTGCAGGGATCCTTTGGGCAAAGAGACCCCTGAAGAAGTGGAGTGGAGAACAGAGGCGCATCAGCACCAACAAAACAAAACAGGAACCAGACAGCATGCACCACCAGTGTCAACATTTTTAATTCCTCTGATGGGTTTGTTCCTTGATGGTGTCAGCCAGCAAAATTCACATTGATGTCAATCACAGTTTTGTATGAGACTGCTGAGCAGGATGGTATCCTTTCGAAAAATAAAAATTATGCCAGCACACCAATATAAATGCTACTTAAACAGACTGGCCTTCATGGGTTGTTTTTCATCAGCCTCCAAGTGCAACAGGAACAGCTGCCAGGAGCCAGACTCCTCCACCTGAACAGGGAAAAAGTGAACGAGACAGATTCAGAAGGGCCAGCATCTTCATACCTGGACTGTTTTAAGGTGAAAATGAGAGAGACTTGCCAAACTGAAGCTTTAGTTGCAATGCAAGTTAACTCGCAAGTTAACTTTGGTGCTACATATATACAGGTATTGCAGAACCAGATTCTGAGAATTGATATTGTTATTCAGTGACCCAAGGAACTCTGGGTCTCTTGCACCGGGGCCTGGATCCCCTGCCCCTTTCCCCAAAAACCTTTAAAATATAGAACTATTGCATTAAAATATGTTGCATCACAAATGTTTGGTAAATCATGACCCATTGTGTCCATCAAGTGCATCAGATTCTCAAAAGAACCAACCGCTGACTTATTGATTCTATATGACACCAGTCCTAAAGGATCTACACTGGCTCTCAATATGTTTCTGACCACTATTCAAAGTGCTGGTGCTGAACTTTAAAGCCCTAAATGGCTGTATATCTGAAGGAGAGTCTCCATCCCCATCATTCAGCCTGGACACTGAGGTCCACCTCCGAGGGCCTTCTGCCAGTTCCCCCAAATTACAGGGAACCAGGCAGAGGGCCTTCTCGCAGTAGCACCCTCCCTGTGGAATACCTTCCTATCAGATGTCAAGGAGATAAATAACTATACAACTTTTATAAGACATGTATGAGGAAGTTTTTAATGTTTGATGTTTTGTTATGTTCTTATATGTGTTGGAAACCACCCCATCCAGACTGACTGGGGCAACCCAGCCAGATGGGCAGGGTATTAATAAATAATAAAATTATTATTATTGCTATTACTATTGCTATTGTTATTGTTATTCTTATTACTATTATTATTAAGTTCACACTGATCTGGTATTCTATTGGGATTTTTTAAATTTTACTATATATTCAACAAAGTCAAACCAAATAGTACAAAATTTGTCTTTTAAAAAATTTGTCCTCTAAATCATAGAACTGTAAAGTTGGAAGGTACCCTAAGGATCATCTAGTCCAACCCCCTGCAATGCAGGAATATGTCGATGTCCCATATGGGGATCGAACCTCCAACCTTGATGTTATCAGCACCACACTCTAACCAACTGAGCTACCCAGAGCATACTAGATCCTATTCATTTTAATGGGACTTGAGCTAGCAGACAGCTTCCTAGTGCATTCTGTCCTTGCCTTTATATATCTATATCTGTATTTACTTTCCAGTTCCTTAACGAGAATCAAGATGTTTATAGGAACAAAGTACCAGACCATATCTAAGCTGGACTGTTAAGTCAAGGCTTGTGAATTGGGCCCCATAAGTACCAGCTGCCTATGTCAGGAGCCTGAGGTCTCTAAGTGAGAATTCTAGCAGTGGAATCCAGACTTTCCTTTCTGCTCCTTCGTGGTAGCTTAAAGCAAAGGGAGCTGCTAGAACAAACTTTAGCACCATCATTGCAGATGGCCAGAAGTTGTTATATGGCTACATGGGACCAAAAGGGCTGCCGACTCTGGTCTAGCTCTACAGTCTGAGTATCTCAAAAGGTCAGGCATTTCCTTATTTATGAAATGTGTTAGACCACCCTTCTGAGAAACTCCCAGGACAGTGTATCAGGTCAATCTCAAATCACATGTTTAAAGCAACAAGTGAACCAAACAACAGCATGAAGATTCAGTATAAAGATATAGCAGGTCAGATTAAATCTCATTCAAGCCATATGTGGTGGGATTGTCCGTTAGTTAATGAATTCTGGAAACAGATTGGTATAGAAATATTGGGAATTGTGGGTAGGAAGGTGGAAATATCTAAATTAATGGTTCTTATTAGCCTGAGTAGCACGGAGCTAGAAACGAAAGAGGAATATAAATGGGTAAAACTGATGGTAATTGCAGCCAGACAGGTTTTAGCGAGTAATTGGAAAAATGCAGAAGAGCTAGGGGTGAACCAATGGAGGAAAAACTGAAAAATATTATAATTTTAGAATATCTAACTGTGAAGATACACAGAATGAAAGGGTTTAAGGTCAGTGAGAAGGAGGAGGATTGGTTTCAGAAGATATTGAAATATTTGGGCAGGTCTGAACAATTTGGGGCAATTAAAATGTTAAAAGTTAAATAAACCTTGTGGCGGGAGGAGTGTTAATGTACATAGAATTGTACATATGGTTGATTTGAATATGTTATTATTGATTATGTATACCCAGTGTATCAGCCGCCTGGGGGCGGGTCTCACTGTGTTTTGGTTGTTGGTAAAAAAAAAAAAGTAATAAAAAAAAATCTCATTCAAGCCAGTTATGTGCCATTATGGTCCCATCCACACTGTACATTTCAGAAATATGGCTTTCCCCAAAGAATCCTGAGAACTGCAGTTTACCCTTCTCAGAGCTATAATTCCCAGCACCCTTAACAAACTACTGTTCTCAGGATGCCCTGGGAGAAGCCATGTGCTTTAACTGTACTTTACATGCATGTTTCTACCTGAGCAAACAGCATTGCCTGGCACTGGAATGACATCATGGTTGGTGCCTGGCAAGCCTCCCTGGGCAGGGCATTCCATACATAGGGCACCGCAACCAGAAAGGCCTTCTCTCCAGTCTGCATCATAGGCATCAACCGAGCTGTTCTGAGATTGACAGCTTGGCTACCTGCCTCCTGACTTGACTAACAAGTTGCCTGCAGGCCTTCAGCCCTGTTGCTGTAACACGGCCCCAGCTCTGTGTAATTAATGGTCCTCCCCATACCCTCCAACATTTCTCTGATTAAAATAGGGACATCCTTTTGCATTATTAGGGATGCAGATGGCGCTGTGGTCTAAGTCACAGAGCCTAGGGCTTGGGAATGCGGGTCTAAATCACAGAGCCTAGGGCTTGCCGATCAGAAGGTCGGCGGTTCGAATCCCCACAACGGAGTGAGCTCCCGTTGCTCGGTCCCTGCTCCTGCCCACCTAGCAGTTCGAAAGCACCTCAAAGTGCAAGTAGATAAATAGGTACCGCTCCGGCAGGAAGGTAAACAGTGTTTCTGTGCGCTGCTCTGGTTCGCCAGAAGCGGCTTAGTCATGCTGCCCACATGACCCAGAAGCTGTCTGCGGACAAATGCCGGCTCCCTCGGCCTATAGAGCGAGATGAGCACGCTACCCCAGAGTCGTCCACGACTGGACCTAATGGTCAGAGGTACCTTTACCTTTATTGCATTATTATTAATAATAAATAAACCGATAAATACATACATACATACATACATACATACATACATAAATAAAATTTATTATTAAATAAACAAATTAAATAAAATTGTTGTTGTTGTTGTTGTTGTTGTTGTTGTTGTTGTTGTTGTTATCCCAGCCACTCTGGACATCTTCCAACATATATAAAAACATAATAAAATACTAAACATTAAAAAAACAACCTTCCCTATACAGGGCTCCCTTCAGATGGCTCGAGGGTCACATAATACCATACGCTCCAATATTTCTCTGATGAAAATAGGGACATCCTACGGGAAAGTGGGACATTCTGAGATCGAATCAGAAACTGGTATGGTTTCTGTAAATCTGGGACTGTCCCTGGAAAATAGGGACACTTGGAGGGTCTGCCTTCCAACACAATCCCCAAAACATTGTGTGAGTGGACAGCTCTGTCTGGAGCTAAATGTCCAGTGCTGCTTGTTAAAATGTTCTAGTCTAGACTCTGAAGACAAGGGCTAAATATGTTTTGAAGGCAGTTCAGGATGATTAGCCACAGCCTAAGCTGTCTGCAATGCTGTGCTCTTTTTGTTCTGAAGGTGAGCGAACATGTGCAGCAGTATGTTTGTGCCAGAAGGAGCGGATTTGGTCAATGAGCCAAATCTGAAAAAGAGCTGGGCTTTTAAATGCAGTTAGTGCAAAGTGTGAGAAAAGTGTGCCCTCCCATTATTCTGGACTACAACTTCTTTCAACCCTGACTATCAGCCAGCTGGGGATGATGGGAAATGTAGTCCAAAGCATCAAGAGAGCACTACTGAGGAAGGCTGGCCTCCACCTATTAAATGAATACCAACAGAGCACCTGGTCTTCAGCTGGTGTATCACAGCCTAGCAAGTGAGTAATACCAGTGGAAATCCCTCTCTTTACCTTCTTAAAGATCTTTGTTGCAGGAAAAGAAGGGTATGAAGAAATAAATTTATGTACAGTGTGTTCTCGAGAGGGGAAGAGAACCTAATTGTGATGGCCTGGGATTCAGATTCGGATGCTGAACCTGAAGAATCCCAGCCTGCACAGGAGTCCCCGCCTCCAGAACCAGCTGAGCCGGGGCTGGGGCTTGAGCCTGAAGGGTCCTCACCTGTGCTGGATCCTCAGGTGCAGGCACCAGCTGAGTCTGCTCTGGCTCCTGAGGGGGTGGAGGACCCATTGCCTGCAGGTGCTCCACTCTCAGCCCCGTCAGGGGAAGCTGAGGTTACCTCTGGGTCCGGTAACCCTCCAGCTTCTCCTGAGCTGCAGAGGCTCAGGGCAGAGAGGCGGAGGGAACTAAGTTCCCGCAGGAGGAGTGATCGCCTCCAGGCCAGGAGAGGCGAGTCACCTGAGGATCGGGGCCACCCTGTGCCATGAGGCAGATAAAAGCCAGCCAGCCTCAGTCCCAAGTTGTGGGAGCAACTTTGTTGATTTTCAGTTCCTGCCTGAACCCTGTCCTGCTATCCTGCCAGAGCTCCTGACCTCACCCTACTACCTGCCCTGCATCCAGCTTCAACTTCTTCGGACTGCCTCCATACTGCACCTTTGACCTCGGACTGGACTCGGACCTCGCCTCTCGGTTAGCCCACGGGACCAGCACACTAATATGGCTGCAACTGGGCCTTTGCTTATCGGTAGAGAAAGTTCCAGCCATGTTGCATGGAGAACGTAAGCAGCAGAATGATGGAGAAGAGGAGGAGAAAAGAACAAAAATAAGAGTGGGTCCCACACTGAAAGTTAGGGTTAAGAGTGAGATCTGATCTGTATCTTTAAATTCTTAGATGTGCTGAGAATATTCTGTTCAGTTCTATTCTTAAGGCAAGTGGTAGCACTTAGGAAAGATTACAGCAGGTGAAGTGTACTCATTAAGCCCACAGGTAAAATCACAGGTAAGCAAGAGAAGAAGAAGAAGAAGAAGATGACGACACAGCCTCATCAGGCAGGCTTTATCAGGACCATGGAAAGCTCCAAGTGAGTTCTACTGGCTCCACATCTTGGGCAATGGGAAAGATGTTGTCTCAGTGAGGAGTTGCAGCTCCAAGTCCTGTTCATCAGTTAGCCCTGACTCCTAAAGGAGATGGTGGTGCATTTACCAGGTCCTTGTCCAGTTCTAAAATATAATCTCTGGTTTTTGTGACACAGAGGAGACAAAGAAGTTACTGGGGAGTCGTCCTCAGAGCCTGAGGGAGTTGGAAGAGGTATGTCCCCACAGGAGGCCACAGGAGGAAATGCTGAATGTTCCTCCTTGAGGAGTTTGCATCTTCACCCTCACCAGAGCCTTCCCTGGGGCAGTAAAGCGGGTCAGGTTCAGTAGTCATGACAGGGAGACAACTTAGTTGCAGTAAAGGTAAAGGTAAAGGTAAAGGGAGTCCTGACCATTAGGTCCAGTTGTGACCGACTCTGGGGTTGCGGCGCTCATCTCGCTTTATTGGCCGAGGAAGCCAGCATACAGCTTCCGGGTCATGTGGCCAGCATGACTAAGCCGCTTCTGGTGACCAGAGCAGTGCATAGAAACACCGTTTACCTTCCCAACGGAGTGGTACCTATTTACCTACTTGCACTTTTGATGTGCTTTCAAACTGCTAGGTTGGCAGGAGCAGGGACTGAGTAACGGGAGCTCACCCCGTCGCAGGGATTCGAACCGCCGACCTTCTGATTGGCAAGTCCTAGACTCTGTGGTTTAACCCACAGCGCCACCCACATCCCTTAGTTACAGTACCTTTCACCAGTTTCTCCCTATGGACCTATCTTAGGCATCATATTTGCTTTCCTGCTCATTTTCATGGGTGGAAGAAAGGAAGGGACATCACAGCCATGGAAATAATTTGAGAGACAAGCCACATCTCTCTCATTTCCCTCCTGCCGCATGGCAGGACATACAGGCACGTAAGGCCAGACCTCTGGGGTGCGATGTGACAGCCCTAAAAGGTGTGATGCGGTCTTGGAAATGTTTAAGCCCACTGAGCTGGAGGATATGCTTTATGACAAACCCAAGCTGCAAGGAAAAAGAGACGCAGACATGCTAAATTTATTTAGTAAATCAACCCTCTCCCGAAACCCAACCTAATGGAAAGAAAGATGGAAGACCTCAAAGGTCTGATCTTCATAGCTCCTGAGTTTCTTTGAGTTGGCCGTGGTATGTATTCTGGATTGAGCCTTCATTCTGCGCCTCAAAGTACCTTTCTGTCCAGTTCCTATTGGTACTGGAAAGGACTTTGTTTAATAGATCAGCTTGTGTTTGTGGAGTCATTTGCAGATGGAAATATAGAAAATCCTCATCTTTGTTATTTTATTTAACCGTAGAAGCAAAACAAACATGTAAAAGTCTTGCATTCTGATAAATAAATTATGATGAAGCAAAGAAGCACATTTTGCCTCAGAAACAACGTGGTGGCTTGCTGTTGTTGCTTTTAATTCTCAAATTTATTAAACATTAACGTGGCATACAAAGTTTTCTTACATTTGCAAAAAACATAGGACAACGGTATGCTGTACAGATGAAGAGGTAATTAACAATAAGCAAATGTAAGTAACGCACACACTAGAGTTTCACTAAGCATAATCATATCCATGTATTCTTGTATTAAAAAATTGTGTGAATAATTGCCATTTCCTTTATGTTCTGTTTCAGGAGAAGATCAGTTCTCTACAATTGGAGAAATGTATTTGACACATCTAGTTTTGGTCCAGGCATTTTAATACATTCATAAATGGATTCCAAATGGCGAAGAAAAAGTACATTGGCTTTGCTTTCCCCTTGGCTAAATTTGCAGTAAATATCCATTTTTTCTGCAATACTGTTGTTCCAAAATCTGTGGAGCCACACATCCAAAGTAAGTGTACCTGACAGTTTCAAACTTTCTTTCTGTCTCCAGCCTTACAGGAATGATTTGTTTTCAAAATCTTCATTCTTCCACCTCCTATATATTCAGTGCCAACTGAATGATACGGTTTGCTCTGAAATCGCAGTGATCTCCTTAAAAATCATGGTCCAATGTGATGCATTGGCCAGACATTCCCAACACTTATGTATATATGAGCCCCTTAGCCCATACTGTATATAACAGTTATAACACTCAGAACTGAACTAGGTGGCATTGAGTGGAGTTAGATACCAGCAATGGATCCTTCTTAAGGAACATTCTCTGGCCATTGCAGAGACAGATTTTACAAGTTGTTTATTCCACAAGTTAGTCCAGACACCATCTTGTACAACTTGTCCAATATCATGTTCCCAGAGCCCTTTTAACGAATAAAAGAATTTGCTGTTTTGTCAGCTGGAAAGGAATATATCCTGGAAGCCAGACCTTAAGTAGTATGCTCAAATTCTACTATAAGATATTCAGACCTGGTAAGGGATATTGCATTCTTTCTCTTAGCTTGTAAAATTGTAAAATGATGAACCTGGTAAAAATTAAAGCTCAAATATACGGTAAATTAATGGCTACCGAAAGGCCCCCAGACCGACTATGAAAAGAGGCAAGGTAAAATGTTAAAATATATTTTGAGGGAAGGTTTCAGAATGGAGTTTGCACATACCTGAGCAATCACTACTATTACCACCGCTGAAGTGCTTGATTCCATGGGCTTTGAGAATTAAAAGTAAGCTAAGAATTGGGGGTATTGTGACCCTCTCAATGTTGTTCAACTCCCATCTTCCCATATCATTGACTATGCTAGTCTAGAATCCCTGACTTAAGAGGATCCCAACTCCACCAACATGTTGTCAGTAGATTAATGCCACTGGTGGTTACACAAGGACACACCAGTCTGTGCCACGTCCCAACCACAAGGAGAAAAATGGGGCATCTTTGGCTGCAAGGAACCCTGGTGCCCCACATAGACCCATTCAAAGAACAGCAATAATTGCTTATTTCCTCTCCTGATTGGTTTGGAAGATCATACCATGGAAAGCATAAACATGAAGTTTGTTTTTCAAGCCAGAGTATATTTTCTTTCGAATGCCCTGGTTATTTTGACTGAAAATAACAGAAGGTGTGAAATGTCTTCTTTTGGCACCAAGGAAGTCTCACCTGGCTCCCTTCAATGTCGCAGTCTGACGTGTGGAGACAATGTCCAAGGTTCCATTGCTTGTGGGTGGGGTGATTTGCCTCCTCCATCCTCTGTCCCAGCGAGTGTTAACAACTTTCCGCCCACTTGGCTTCCTAAGCTATAATTCTCAAGCTCGCTGAGTCCTGCCCCTGCAGAGAATACTGCTTTTGTGACCTTTGAGGACAGGTGGGTTTGTGGGTTGTTAACTCAGCTATATATTCCACAATAGACTATTGAGAAAAGCAACCTCCTCTGGGCATGAGGGTGTGGGTGGCATAAATATATTTCACTGCAGAAAATAAGTTTCTGATAGTTCTCAATGTTATTTATTTACTGCTTTATTCTTTTTGTTGGTGGTGATAATGGATTCTTTCTGGCAGTAGCAACTGGTGCCTTAAACATCTGGTACAGGGGTCAGCAAACTTTTTCAGAAGTCCCACTGTCCCTCAGACCTAGTGGGGGAACGAACTATTTTTTGGGGGGGGGGGAATGAACAAATTCCTATGCCCCACAAATAACCCAGAGATGCATTTTAAATAAAAGCACACATTCTACTCATATAAAAACACCAGGCAGGCCCCACAAATAACTCAGAGATGCATTTTAAATAAAAGCACACATTCTACTCATGTAAAAACATGCTGATTCCTGGACTGTCCACAGGCTGGATTTAGAAGACAATTGGGCTGGATCCGGCCCCCAGGCCTTAGTTTGCCTACCCATGATCTAGTAATGCCAGCAAAGACATTCCTCCATCTCCTCCAGTCATGAGCCCCTCAGTAAATGACATTTTGGTTGTTGTATATGAAGGCCACTCAAAAAAAGCAACCCTGCAGGATCTGACCAATTTAGTCCAATATTCCAAACCCTCCAACATTTCTCCAATGAAAATAGGTATATCCTGTTCAATAACAATTTTATTATTTATACTCCACCTATCTGACTGGGTTGCTCCAGCTACTCTGGGTGGCTTCCAAAATATATAAAAACATAATAAAACATTTAAAACACCTTCCCCATATAGGACTGCCTTTAGAAGTCTTCTGAAGGTTGTGTAGTTACTTATCTCCTTGGCTCGAGGGTCGCATAATACCATACGCTCCAATATTTCTCTGATGAAATAGGGATGTCCTTAGGAAAAGCGGGGCGTTCCAGGATCAAATCAGAAACTGTAAATCTAGGACTGTCGTGGAAAATAGGGACACTTGGAGGGTCTGATATTCTGTTTCCATAGTGGACAATAGGGCTGCCATATGTCCAAACATATGGGCTTTCAAAGGCAGAACTGACTTGAAGAATGGAGAATGAAGTTAATGGACTATGCAGAACTAGATAAACTAACAGGAAGGATTTGAAACCGGCGGGACCATAAATTCGCAGAAGACTGGAGTAAATTTACGGACTACTTGAAATTTGTGAGGATCAGATGACGTTTGTAGGTTTGCAAGAAGTTTTGTGAGGAATATTATTGGAAGTATTGCAAAAATGGAGAAGGGGAAGGATGATTTGTTAAGAGATGTAAAGGCAATATAAAGTTAAGAAATGCATAAGAAGTGGTTAAAACGTATATATATATATATATATATATATATATATATATATATATATATATCTCAAAGGCAGAATTGACATCCGGGGCGAAAGGCGGAGTATCTTGGGGTATCATGGTTTTTATTTTTTAAAATCTGGCAACCCTAACCTCTTTTGTTCATGTTCCTCAGCAGCTGGCATTCATTCAGAGCCATGCTGTCTCCAATAATGGAGGTACTGTATAGCCATTACAACTTGGAACCATTAGAAGCCTCATCTGCCATGATTTGCTCTAATTCCCTTTTAAAGCCATCGAAGTTGGTGGCCATCACTACTATCACAATGGGTGATAGTGAAACCCATCGTTCAACTTATATGATGTCTGATGAAGTGCCTACAGATTATTGACACAATTGCGGTAAATATTGTTGCTGCAAGTCCAAAGTCCGGCTTTCTAAGAAACCATTCCTTTGCCAAAACCTTTTCTCATATGTTAACCAGCATTCAGAACATGATACAGTAGTACCTCGGGTTAAGAACTTAATTCGTTCTAGAGGTCCGTTCTTAACCTGAAACTGTTCTTAACCTGAAGCACCACTTTAGCTAATGGGGCCTCCCGCTGCTGCTGCGCCGCTAGAGAACGGTTTCTGTTCTCATCCTGAAGCAAAGTTCTTAACCTGAGGTACTATTTCTGGGTTAGCGGAGTCTGTAACCTGAAGCGTATGTAACCCGAAGTACCACTGTATTTTAGAATCAAAAGAACAACTTGAATGTCGCGGGCAGTTGGGAAGGTTAATGTTAAACGGTAGGAAATGCATAAAATGTTCAAGTTGACCTTCATTTTACCCCCGAATCTTAGTGGCCCTTCCTGCATCCTGCATTCCTTCCACACCCTTCCTTCCTAAGTGCGCAACCAAGGTTGATCCTTGTGACCCTGGCTTCACCCGTTCCAGCTTCCTAGCGCAGAAGAGGCACTGTGTCAGTTTCACAGGCAAAGATCTATAAAGGTTTAGCCACGTCCTGTGTTTAGGGTCTTCAGTTGGAGTTAGCTGGGAAAGCTAACCTAAAGCCCACATAAGAAATCTTCCAGGAAGGAATAAGGAAATATGGCTGATTTTAAACTGGTCTAGGCTTCCAACATGTAAGAGACGCTGATGGCCTACTTTAGTAAGTAAGTAGTTTAGAAGCTAGAAACAACCGCTTACGTATTTTCACTGCAAAACAGGCAACCCCCCATTTACGCAGAGGTTATGTTCCGAGGCACCATGAACATCAGTGAAATCACTTATACAGTGGTACCTCGGGTTACATAGGCTTCAGGTTACATATGCTTCAGGTTACAGACTCCGCTAACCCAGAAATAGTACCTTGGGTTAAGAACTTTGCTTCAGGATGAGAACAGAAATCATGCTCTGGCGGCAGCCGGAGGCCCCATTAGCTGAAGTGGTGCTTCAGGTTAAGAACAGTTTCAGGTTAAGAACGGACCTCCAGAACGAATTAAGTACTTAACCCGAGGTACCACTGTATTTGAAACACCATCGGAAAAAGCCTGCAAGCACCCCATTCCAACCACCGCCCCATTCTGCCCCTTTTTGTGATGTTTCTGGGTCACTTGGGAGGGGAGTAGCACATACCCTCCAACATTCCACTGATGAAAATCGGGGTGTGCTTCTTCTGGTGTCGTGCTCTGGCAGGTGCCAGCTGGTTGGCACAGGAGTGTGGCATCAAAACGAGACATTCCAGGATCCAGTCAGAAGCTGGGAGGGCTTCTGCAATTCTGGGTTGTCCTTGGAAAATCGGGAGGGTTGGAGGATACGATACCATGTTCTGTGTATTTTGTGGAAAAAACAAACTGTTTTGTTTAAAGTTCAGTTTGTGCCATTTGATCCAAGGGGATTCTGTTGTTGTTGTTGTTGTTTAGTCGTTTAGTCGTGTCCGACTCTTTGTGACCCCCTGGATCAGAGCACGCCAGGCACCCCTGTCCTCCACCGCCTCCCGCAGCTTAGTCAAACTCATGCTGGTAGCTTCGAGAAAACTGTCCAACCATCTCATCCTCTGTCGTCCCCTTCTCCTTGTGCCCTCCATCTTTCCCAACATCAGGGTCTTTTCCAGGGAGTCTTCTCTTCTCATGAGGTGGCCAAAGTATTGGAGCCTCAGCTTCAGGATTTATCCTTCCAGTGAGCACTCAGGGCTGCTTTCCTTCAGAATGGATAGGTTTGATCTTCTTGCGGTCCATGGGACTCTCAAGAGTCTCCTCCAGCACCATAATTCAAAAGCATCAATTCTTCAGTGATCAGCCTTCTTTATGGTCCAGCTCTCACTTCCATATATCACTACTGGGAAAACCATAGCTTTAACTACACAGACCTTTGTCGGCAAGGTGATGTCTCTGCTTTTTAAGATGCTGTCTAGGTTCGCCATTGCTTTTCTCCCAAGAAGCAGGCGTCTTTTAATTTCGTGACTGCTGTCACCATCTGCAGTGATCATGGAGCCCAAGAAAGTAAAATCTCTCACTGCCTCCATTTCTTTCCCTTCTATTTGCCAGGAGGTGATGGGACCAGTGGCCATGATCTTGATTTTTTTGATGTTGAGCTTCAAGTGGGGCACTTAGAAGCCCAAGTAAACTAATCTTCTCAGAATCATAGTAAACGGGAGATATGTAGCCGCTCCAGCAACATATCTCTATTTCCTTGCATCCAGAAACCCAAGAAGGGCTTTCACTCTTGCTAGAAGCTCAGCCTTGCCCTCACCTGTTCTGGAAGGCTCTTATATAAGAGCCTTAAAGAAGGCTCTTATAGCACAGAGACTTTGCGCCTGCCCATTAGAGGAAATAGGAAACCTTGAACATATTTTTTTTAGATGTCCTTTTTATGTTAAGATTCGTAGAGTCACCATTGATCCTTTCCTGAAGAGGGTCGCCCATCTTTCAGACAAGTCTAAACTTAATTCTCTCCTCTTAGGCAAAGATCACAAGACGACCTGGCTGGTAGCCAGATTCTGCGCCCAGATTTGTAGGCACAGATCATCCTCTAGAATAAAATAGCTTACTAGGGAAATGCTGAAGTCACCCTTTGGGGCGCCTCAGGGTCAATTTTTATGGTAGCCCAAATCTCATTTGTACGGGTGTATGTATATATCTCAATTTTAACTCATGAGCTATTGCTGCAGTCTGCTCTGATTGTATATTTTATCTTTATGAACGCTGTTTTTATTGTGTTATGCGAGCAGGTCTTTGACCGTAATAAATTATCTTAAAAAAATAATAATCTAATCTTCTTAGTGTCTGGGGGGGTGGTGGAAGGGTACACATTCTGAACCATGCTCTACTATCAGTTGGGGCAGCAGGATCTCTCTCTAAGCTGTTTTTGATAACAGCTGCCAGACAAAGGAGCTGCGGCCTCTTATTTGGTCTGTGAGAACATTTGCATGATCCTGCTCTGATAGGTTGACTCTGGCCTTCTCCTGGTTGCCCGAGAACTATAAATGCTTCTAGGGTCTTGTTGACAAATGGCAATCGCAAGAGATCCTATGTCAGCTGCAAGTCAGGGCCTCCCCACTCCCTAGAGAGGGATAAAATTAATGATGACACAAGAATCAGTGTCTTTGTAGTGGAGACTGGGTTTCCATTCTTCCAACTGCCTTGAAGGCTCCTTTGGAGACATGTGGCACAATATAAATCTCATAAAACACACAAGCAAATAAATTAGATCACTATCAGCTAGAAATGGGTGAGTATGTCAATACTGGTTTCTCTCAGTTTCTATTTCCCGCCAAGCTTAAATATACTTTTCCACATTTCCATATCAGTTTGTGATTTTAATAATAATAATATCCTCATGAAAATTCACCAGCACTTTAGGACGAATTTATGCTAATATACACATTTTTGCATGTATATGATTGAAATCTCAATTTACTCTACAAGATGTACTGTATATATGTAATGTATTGTAAGACTATTAATAAAGCCTGTTATATTGGGCGGGGAGAGGGGGGACAATAAATAAAGTAACCACCAATACATCCATTTCAGTTTAAACATAAAAGTCTATATGTTGCTTTGGAAAGTGTGGATTAAGAAAAATTTGCCTGTAAATGCCAACTAAATTGAATTTCTCATCCCACCCCTAACCTCGTCCCCAGGCTAACTGGCCCTATGAAAGGCTGTCTACCATCCACCCACCACCCCCTGGTACAGAGACTGTCTAGAAACCCCCTTTCTTAAAAACCAAGAGACAATACAGCTTCTGCACGTGCAAAACATTTCTGGGTCTGAGAATTCAATGGGGAGGGGAGTCTGTGGTTACCTACGTGCGGTTTCCTCCATTCGTGCTTTATTTAGCATCATGGGATGGATTTGGGTCTCGTGTGTGCCAATGTTACGCTGCCCTAACTCAGTTTCTGTCCGTTTGCACTGGTGCGCGCTAGTGACAGCAGAATCGAGCAGTGTGTAATGGTGTCAAAGGCAAAGCCAGGAGACAAGGACGCCTGTGTCTGGGAGGAAATATAAATAGAAAGCATTTTGTTCTGCTTTCTGCCGGGGGGGATGAGGCAAAGCCACCTCGGAGGTTAAATAAATGATTGGGGCATGTAACAGAGAATCTATTCATGCCTATGCGTTAACGCCTGTTTGTAGAGGGTGTAATGTCATTAATGGGGAGTTTGGTGAGTGGGCCTTGGCCTAGCGAAAGCTGTCATCAAGTTACCTATCGCAGCCCATCTTCAGGTAGGTTTGCATGTGCAAAACTGGGCTTATTTCTATGTGGAAGCACCTGAATCTCCACTGCCCACATCCAAAAGCGGTGTTGCTTGTACTGGTGTGTCATTAATAGATATGGGCAACCCTTGTCCATTTCAGTTTCTCATGTTTACAATCTTAAATTCAATTCTCCACATTTTGCTTTTTGCTTTTTTTTTAAGTCTTCATAAAAATTCATCACTGTTTTAGTGTGGATTTCTCCTATTGTACAGCCTTTTTTGGCAATCCGTATTTTTGCAAAGCAGTTTTCCTCAATTTAATGCATTTTGCCTGTTGTTTTCACCAGTACATGCATTTTCCCCAAGACTAATACTATTAGGAAGGTCACCTGGTGAGCATTCTAATATCATTCTACTGTCATTCTAATTTCTGGCTGATATTACATCATTGAAAATTTGGAGGTTTGCATAGGAGACAGTTAACAGGTCCATAAAGACTGCCAAAAGTTGGTCAGACCTACTAGCCAGGTCTAACCAGGTACTAAACCAGTGTTTCCCAAACTTGGGTCTCCAGCTGTTTTTGGACTACAACTCACATCATCCCTAGCCAGCTGGACCAGTGATGATGGGAATTGTAGTCTGAAAACAGCTGGAATCCCAAGTCTGGGAAACACTGTACTAAACCTACTAACCAGGTACCTTCCTTTTGTTACAGATATTGCTGTCTGGCTGCATAGAGTAGCAGGAGAGGAGGTGAAACATGCTGATGTGTTCCGAATGGGTAAAGGTAAAGGTAAAGGGACCCCTGACCATTAGGTCCAGTTGTGACTGACTCTGGGGTTGCGGCGCTCATCTCACTTTATTGGCTGAGGGAGCCGGCGTACATGCTTTCAAACACAAAAGGGTTTTCTGGCACAGCACAGATGTAACACCCTGCCACAAAGCAAGTCCACTGCTGCTGCAGCAGATCTCTGGAGAAAGGCAAACTTCTACGTGGAAATTGATTGTGGATTCAGTGCTGTTGCAATTTCACACAATGCTGTCCTCATGAAAATGCCACCTGATATTCCCTCTATCTCGTTTAATCTGTATTTACCATTCCCCCCTACTTTCTTCTTCTTCTCCTTCTCCTTCTCCTTCTCCTTCTCCTTCTCCTTCTTCTTCCGTAACAGATTTTCAGCAGAAACAGTAAACCCAGATTAAATGGGAATTTTTTCAGTGAGCACAATGTGATCTGGACAATGTGCAAACTGTGCTTGCATGCACACCACTGAATTGGCAATAAACTGCCATGCCAAAGCACTCGCCTTTTGCTTATGTACCACAAAACTCAGCTCGGCCTTCTCTGCCTCTTCCCCCCAAACCTGCACCTTCTGTTGTATTCTTAGCACACACAGATCTCAGTGATCTTGACAAACCTGCTTTCTACCCATTCAGATGCGGGTGGCGCTGTGGGTTAAACCACAGAGCCTAGGACTTGCCGATCAGAAGGTCGGCGGTTCGAATCCTTGCGACGGGGTGAGCTCCTGTTGCTCAGTCCCTGCTCCTGCCAACCTAGCAGTTCGAAAGCGCCTCAAAGTGCAAGTAGATAAATAGGTACTGCTCTGGCGGGAAGGTAAACGGCGTTTCTGTGCACTGCTCTGGTTCGCCAGAAGCGGCTTAGTGATGCTGGCCACATGACCCGGAAGCTGTACGCCGGCTCCCTCAGCCAATAAAACGAGATGAGCGCCGCAACCCCAGAGTCGGTCACAACTGGACCTAATGGTCAGGGGTCCCTTTACCTAACAACCGCAGGCTAAGATGGCTCTTCTCAGTATGAGAGAAGATTGGAACATTTGATATTTATAGTGGACTGCTAGATAAAACTGAGACAAAGGAGCACCCACACATCTGACCCACAGCTGAATTCCTTGTGCCCCTCCTCTCCTTCACCCCACAAACAAGCAGGTGTCATTGTGGTACCTTAGCAGTAGGAGGGGGACGTCAACAACTCCACCACCCATTGTCTGTCACCAGCTGTTGACTGCTTGCGAGCCCCTAGAACCAAAGGGGAAAATGTAGGCTCTGTAGCGCGAGGCCTGTGAAAGGCTTCCTATAATCCCTGCCTAAGCTGCCCAGAGGAAGATAAACAGCCCAAACATAGGCCAGTGAATTACTGTTAATATTATGGAGACCATAAATAGCCAAGTGAAGAGAGAAAGCCACTGGCTGTACCACAGAGTCGTAGGAAGCTCAAACAGAATAATATTTAAAGAAGCAGCCCCACCTCATTAACGAAGGATGAAGGCCAGTATGGCTGGCACTGCAGTTTAGTCAGGCAGGCAAACAGCTGGGGTGTGCGATGCTTGGAAATCAGCTTAGCTTGGCATGCGGACAGGGGCATGCAGTACTGCCAACTTAACTGGCTAGTGGGCACAGAAGAGCCCATTAGCTGCAAAGCTGGCATTGATAGGTAGGATTCAAAGCAGAGGCTCACTTCACTCTTCCACTCAGAAAGATACATATATATTGTCTTGATCAGAACCCAAAACAATAGGCAAGCACCTTCCTTTCAAACCAGGAAAAGGTCTTTTAATATTGCCTCCAGGTTTCCTTTCCCCAGTCAGAGAGGGATGGGATCATGATCTCTAGGCAAAGGTGATGGTGTTGCAGGGGAGGCAAGACTAGGGGTAGGGGAATCTGTTGGTTTTGGTTTCTCTCCATTTTTAATTTTCCTGATCAAAACCACAGCTCTCCACATTTTCACATCGGCTTGCAATTAAAAGGGGGGCGGGAATACTTTATCCCAGCATATGCATTTATGTACACATCATTTTGCTGGGAGCTGCATTGTCAAATTCAGCGCCGTGCAAATTTTGAACATGTTTCAGTTCACATCTTTTTTTCAGAAAGTACAGATTATGTACGGTTTGTTTTTAAATGGGAACTGAATCTAATTTCTCCCCAGTCCATAGCCAGTGCATACTGCCTGTGTCTTGAATGATGTTGCCACTGCCTGTATTCTGGCAGATGGAAGGCAGGCTTCCTAGGCTTACCCCACTCTGATGACTGAGCATCTAACAAGCGCGTGCAATTTTTCAAGACATACCTCAGCCTCTCTCACTGGGCACAGTTTGGAAACGGCTGTTCTGTAAGCAGGAAGCACAACAAGGGAAAGGAACAGCACTAAGACCAACTTTTGTTAAGTGTCATGGTGCTTCAGGGAGAGAGTACCTAAAATAAAAGCAAAAAAAGGGGAAGGGGTAAAAATGTGAAGAAGCAGAGATTAGCTCCTGCATTCATTCTCTGGGCTGTTGTTATGTTCTGAGTTGAATAGGATCCAAAATGCAGCAGTCTGATTGGTCCTAGAACAATAGGATTCAGAATGCAGCAGTCTGATTGGTCCTAGAACAGTAGGATTCAGAATGCAGCAGTCTGATTGGTCCTAGAACAATAGGATCCGGAATGCAGCAGTCTGATTGGTCTGCAGGAGCCACCCAATCCAACTCCAGGTGGAAGTGAATCTGCAACCTAATTGGCCTACAGGAGAATCCCAGAATTAGCCAATCAAGTGGGGCCCATTGTGTAAATAATGTATATAAAGCAGGCATTTTGGGGGAACTTCTATTCCTCACTACTATAAGCTGAATAAAGAGCATGAAATCCACACTCGACTCCGAGTATATTGCAGCTGTATATATCCTCAGCAAGAAATATCAACAACCTCAGATATGCAGATGATACAACCTTGATGGCAGAAAGTGAGGAGGAATTAAAGAACCTTTTAATGAGGGTGAAAGAGGAGAGCGCAAAATATGGTCTGAAGCTCAACATCAAAAAAAGGAAGATCATGGCCACTGGTCCCATCACCTCCTGGCAAATAGAAGGGGAAGAAATGGAGGCAGTGAGAGATTTTACTTTCTTGGGCTCCATGATCACTGCAGATGGCGACAGCAGTCACGAAATTAAAAGACGCCTGCTCCTTGGGAGAAAGGCGATGGCAAACCTAGACACCATCTTAAAAAGTAGAGACGTCACCTTGCTGACAAAGGTCCGTATTGTTAAAGCTATGGTTTTCCCAATAGTGATGTATGGAAGTGAGAGCTGGACCAGAAAGAAGGCTGATCGCCGAAGAATTGATGCTTTTGAACTATGGTGCTGGAGGAGACTCTTGAGAGTCCCATGGACTGCAAGAAGATCAAACATCTCCATTCTGAAGGAAATCAGCCCTGAGTGCTCACTGGAAGGACAGATCGTGAAGCTGAGGCTCCAGTACTTTGGGCACCTCATGAGAAGAGAAGACTCCCTGGAAAAGACCCTGATGTTGGGAAAGATGGAGGGCACAAGGAGAAGGGGATGACAGAGGACGAGATGGTTGGACAGTGTTCTCGAAGCTACAAACATGAGTCTGACCAAACTGCGGGAGGCAGTGGAAGACAGAAGTGCCTGGCATGCTCTGGTCCATGGGGTCACAAAGAGTCAGACACGACTAAACGACTAAACAACAACAACATATCCTCAGCATCTACAACTACACAGCTTTACCATGGAATGGAATTTCAGATAAAGGGATAAGTATTTGAGAGGGGGAAGCTCAAAAGAGGAATGCCTGTCCTCTGCTCATAAAAAAAGTGATTTGGATTTATAGCCATGCCCTTCCTTCTTTCCCCCAAGCTAAAAAAAAAGCTCTACTTTGAGGAAGAGGGAGGGATGGGACTTCTTCCAGAGAGAGGAGACTCTTTTTTGTACTATAAGATTAAAAGTACACATCTGTAAGGTTATTAGGTACTATATTTACTTCACATATTCATTAAGTTTGGGGCATTATTTTTAAGCCCCCTGAGTATCAACTAATAACAGAAACAACTGAAGCCTTTGAACTTGTAATTCATCATGCCACATAGCCTGATAGCTACATTAGTGAAAATGAAAAATATATGTGCATTACTGACAGAATCAATAATGAAAAGATCATATTTTTCTTTGGGGTTCCTTTGTAAGATATCGGAATGGTTAACGTAATGTAAGTCACACTGAGCTGCACTTGTGCTTTATAACATATCTACCTATTTTGGCAAGTCCCTGGGTTTTTAAATAAGTCCACAAAGGCTAAGATATCTTGTCTGTACTGTGAACTTCTACATTTTACATTTCAAATGAATAGCAACAAATATTTTAAACCACAACTGTTATTTCATTCTGATAATGATCTGTCTGACCAACTTGAAATCTCTCTTTCTTCCTTCAGTTGCCACCTACAAGATGGGCTCTTACTTTGTTTCAGCACTAAGCAAGCAAGCAAAACAGTTTGCCCCTTTCCTATGCTTTTAGATTCCAACCCCTTTGAGAGAAAAAGGAGGGGAATGACATTCCCAAAGGTAAGGTATTTACAATGGAAAAGGTCCAAATAGCTGGCAACTGGAATGTCGTCGTTTGCCCCCCCCCCAACCCACAGTGTCCTGATAGACTTCCTTGTGAGCCTGGTGACCTCACACAAAGCTGCCCTTCTATTTTTGCACAGCAGGCTAAGGAATGCTGGCGGGAGGGATGCAAACTAGCCAGAGCTCTGAGAGGCCAGTCTGAGCCAGCTTATGCTCACACAGGGTCCTGTGGCTTCAATGGTGACTGGGCTTACTGGAAATTAGTGGGGTTGGATGAGACAACAAGATTCCACCCTGAACGAGAGAGAAGGTGGCTGGCTGGTGGCAAGGGGAAGAAGGAGAGCAGGATGTGTACTTTGGCATCCTGGGAATCTGGAATGCATTTTGCTGCATCAGGTAGCATAAGGTCTTCTAAACCAAGGCAGGGAATTGGAGATTTCAGTAGCTTTCTCTAAAGTAAGATGCCCAGGAGGGGGTTGCTCACTGGATGGTCAGGGTAATTTGCTACAGGATTTCCTAGAGCCGGTCCCATCCACATGGGGATTTCTTCAGAAGTGTGATTAGTGATTGTGTTGTAGAATTCATGGCATTTGACAAAGCCAGGTCTGACTGGCAGACCCATGGTGGCTGGTTGTACAAATCTCTGGTTTTACCTGCCTTGTTTTCATTAGGGAAAGAAACAGGATAATAAAATAATGATAATCCTTCTTCCAATTCAGGGTGATGCTGAAGGGTTTTTTATGTTCATATTTTGTTTAGATTTGTTTTTTAAGAAGAGAAAGATGAGGCAGATGAGGCTATACAATAATAATCAGCAGCCTTTCCTAACCTGGTGCCCTTCCAATGTTGCTGGGCTGCAACACCCATACAGTGGTACCTCGGATTAAGAACTTAATTCGTTCTGAAGGTCCGTTCTTAACCTGAAGCACCACTTTAGCAAATGGGGCCTCCCGCTGCCGCCACACGATTTCTGTTCTCATCCTGAAGCAAAGTTGTTAGCCCGAGGTACTATTTCTGGGTTAGCGGAGTCTGTAAGCTGAAGCGTCTGTAACCCGAGGTACCACCGTAATTGGTTCCCCCCCCCAAAAAAAAAATCTCCCGAACTTGTATGATAGTTTTAGTATATACAGAAAAAACAAAAAGAGGGAGGAGAAAAGAATCCCTACTCCTTTAAAAAAAAACCTACTTAATCCATCAAACACAATATTTTATTATAAAAAAATTTTAAAGTCCATATCAAAGATAATAGAAAGGGGTCGGTTTAAATAAATAAATAAAAGCACATTAAAACTATGGTTACAAATTAATATATTGGAAGATAATCAGACCCAAAAGGCAAATGGGCATTTGAGGTCGACTGGTACAACCAGGAGGAGTAAAATAAGTCAATAAGGGCCAGCAAGATTCTGGGTGGCAGGAGATGGCCAGGTGTGGGGAACTCCCTGGTCCTGAATGGGGTAACTGTGCCCCTAAAGGACCAGGTGCACAGCCTGGGAGTCATTGTGGACTTAACAGTTGTCCATGGAGGCACAGGTCAATTCTGTGTCCAGGGCAGCTCCATTTGGTACACCGACTGAGACTCTACCTGCCTGCGCACTCGCCAGAGTGGTACATGAGCTGGTTATCTCCCGCTTGGACTACTGCAATGCGCTCTATGTGGGTAATCCCTAGTTTGCCTAATAAGTAACCCAGCGCTGTGATAGCCTGCAGATCTAAATCTGCGACAGCTGATTCACACATGCAAGACATCACTTGCATTTCAGCTATATAGGGCATGTATATCTGAAACAGCTGAAACTCTAGCAGAGGTCATCAGTTCACGTGTAAAAAAAATCCAAAGCAATTCACCCTCAAAATGCTGTTTTCTTTCAACTTGTGCTTTGCACATTATCACAACAAATATTTGCTGCAGGTTTTATGTTGATTGTCCCTGATTTCTTTTCTGCTTGCAAATTTCAACACAGTCCAAGGAACATTTGACTCTGATTATTCCTAATTATTTTCCTCTTGGCATTCTTCTTACATTTCATAACCTTCTAATCTCATCTGAAGTCATCTTCCCAAGCAGCTGGGCACCAAAGCATGTGCTATTGCCAAAGTCCCTCGAAATCAGTAAGACTGCCCAGAAGAGCTTAGTGGGAATTTATTCCAAAAGCCCTCTTCACAAATCTGATGCATTCTGGTCCTAATTAATGAATGTGGTAACTACTGTATAGTAGTTCCTTAAAGATCTGAACATGTTGAACTCCCCACCACCACCACCACCAAAAAAATCTGCTGAAGCAGGAATATATCCTTCTTCTATCACAGAGAAGAAACAAGTTAAAAATTGAAATAATGATGTTTCAGTAGTGCGCATTCCAGAAATGCAGCCATATTAAGTGTCAGCAGTTCATCTTAATAATGTGGTGCTGGGGCTCAAACTTGCTTAGAAGGCCTATTCCCACATCTGCATGCTGTGGTTAGTCAACAATAATGGAAAAGCACTCTGAACATGTTCAGGGGACCTAAATCTAAGTCCTGTGTTGAAAATGCTGACAAATCAGAGGAGTAGGGAGTTAAAGAGATCATATTTCATTAGATACTTTGCCAGATTTATTGACATTTCAATATTCCTTGTATAATAAACCTGTCATGTATACTGTATTATCCATTGACTTCTGAATACCTGAGCTTCGCATCTTGTGTAATTTCCTTCAGATACAAATTTTGTAGCTGATAAAGGCAGTCATCCAAAAATAAGTAAATATACATAGGATTGCACCATTCATATATGGAACTTCTACTTGGGTCCTTCAGATTATACTCTTTGCTTGTTGACACACAAAACTTTATCACTCGGTTTAAGATAGTGAAGTAGAACAAAATAGGTTTTTGGAGGTTTCCCAGATTCCTCCTGGTTCGTTTTCTAGGTGCGTTACCTAGGTGCTCAGTAGAATTAGTGGGTACTGACAGCTTTTATTTTTGGCTGATAGAGGTCAGTGCTAAAACTGGAGAGTCTAAATCTATTTAAGGTCATGCCTGGTCTCTGCCTGACGTAGGGATGGATGCATCAGTCTACTGTCTGCCTGTATTATTTCTGCAAATCTTCATTCATAAATCCATTCCCTTTCATCTATTTTGCAAGAAAGAAAAGGTGGTATTTAAACCAATTTTTACTCAGAGTAGATCCATTGAAATTCATGGCCCTAACTTTGTCATGTTCATTAATTTCAGTGGCTCTACTTTGAGTAAAACTTTGATGGATACCACCCTACAGTACCTGAAACTGAATAAGCTTCTTGTAGAACAGGATTGACTCCAACTCTTATCAGCCCCAGCAAGGACTGATGGGAGTCCAATAATATCTGGACAGCCCAGGGCCTCCATATACACTGCCCAGGCTTGGGTCCCAGAGAGGTCACTTGGGTGCTGCTAATGCAGCAAAAACAATGTGGGGGGCAGCAGTTGTGAGTTACCAGTCTCTGCAGCCACAGCAGGCGCTGTGATTCTCCAGTGGTTTGACTTCACCCCTAGAAGCCCACTCCATTGTCTCTCAAGGCAGATGGATGCCCAAAAAATAACAGGTTCTCCAGCCCTGCTGTACAGAGAAAACAAACAGACTCACTCTCCCCAATGGTCGGGGGAATTCCTAGGCCAAGTTAGCTAAAATGGGGCTGTCTCTTTGGTAGAACACAGAAAAGAAATATGGAATCCTGACCCTGTAGCAGTTTTAAAGCTCCAAACTGCAAACCCAGGCTATGTTCTCAAGCGCATTTCAGACTGGCTGACCTCCTGCTTGGACAACTGCAGCATCCAGACTCTGCGCTAGTGCTTGGATTGCTGCAACTTATCATCATAAGACTGCAACACCAGGCAGGAAAGGAATGGTTCTTTACTATTCTAATGTTGGACACACAATTTAAGCAGACCCAGTGAAGTCAGTGGAAATGACTTAGGTCCGTCAATTTCAATGGCTCTACTTTGAGTTGGAGTAGAATTGGATACAACCCATGGCAGACCTCCAAGTGTCCCTATTTTCCAGGGACAGTCCTGGATTTACAGAAGCTGTTCCGGTTTCTGATTTGATCCGGGAATGCCCTGCTTTTCCTCAGTACATAGCTTTTTCCATCTGAGAAATGTTGAAGGGTAGGGGAGTTTTTAATGTTTGATGTTTTATTGTGTTTTTAATATTCTGTTGGGAGCCCAGAGTGGCTGGGGAAACTCAGCCAGATGGATGGGGTATAAATAAATTATTATTATTATTATTATTATTCTTGGATGTCCCTATTTTCATAGGATAAATGTTGGAGGGTATGGAGTTTTGTGTCATGTTTCATTATGTTTTTATATATGTTGGAAGCCGCCCAGAGTAGCAACCCAGTTAGATGTGTAGGGAATAATAATAATAATAGTCTAAAGGTAAAGGGACCCCAGACCATTAGGTCCAGTCGTGGCTGACTCTGGGGTTGCGGTGCTCATCTCGCTTTATTGGCCGAGGGAGCCGACATACAGCTTCCGGGTCATATGGCCAGCATGACTAAGCCGCTTCTGGCAAACCAGAGCAGCACACGGAAACACCATTTACCTTCCCGCCAGAGCGGTACCAATTTATCTACTTGCACTTTGACGTGCTTTTGAACTGCTAGGTTGGCAGGAGCAGGGATTCGAACCGCTGACCTTCTGATCGGCAAGTCCTAGGCTCTGGTTTAACCCACAGCGCCACCCGTGTCCCTTAATAATAGTCTAGGACGTCCCTATTTTCATGGGAGGAACATATGCCACTGCCCTCATTTTTATTGTGTCCAGGTAAATATACGGTTGATAATATTCACTCTCTGTAGGCGGGGCTAGTCGCCCAGTCCAATTCAAATTCCCAGGTTTTCTGCATGGGGACTTGAGCGAGAAAGAAGCTGTTCACCATTTATGAAGATGGCCTTTTGATGGCCTGCTGGAATACATTACAAACCTGAGCAGACGCCGAGATGCAGGGAGGGACTGTGTGCATGCATGCGTCTCCGTCCCTCCTTAACTTGCAGCGAAGTAGGGCACGGAGCCATTTCTTTGGGGGAAAACTGAGGCATTCTGTCCCAGGAGCTGAATGACCTCTTGATCCTTTTGCAAGGGCATGGCTTAGCCGAGGACAGCTCTCCGGGCAGGCCTGCATTCCTGGCATTCCCAGCGCCAAACCGAGGACGCATTCCTGTCCCAAGTAGGCCGGCCTGTGTGCTTCTGCCTCCGAAGTTGGTGGTGCGAGGTTGCTAAGGAACGGGCCTTCCCCTCAGACAAAGGGCCCACTGTCTGGTGTGCTTCTGAAAGCACAAGCAAATGAAAGGCCCAAAGGTTCAACGAGGGAGAAGGAATTGGGGACCGCGTATCCCCTTTCACGTCCTCCGACTTAGTTAACATCTTCACTGGGAGTCGGCCAGAGATGCGGGGAATCGGCATCTTCTTTCCCACAGATTCAAAGAAGGGCAAACCTAAATGTGCGCCCTTTATTTTCAACTCTGCTTTTTTAAAGCACATAACCTGCAAATGCTGTAATTATTATTGTTGTTGTTGTTGTTGTTGTTGTTGTTATTTATTTGTAACCCGCCCATCTGGCTGAGTTTCCCCAGCCACTCTGGGTGGCTCCCAATAGAGTGTTAAAAACAATACAGCCTTAAATATTAAAAACTTCCCTAAACAGGGCTGCCTTCAGATGTCTTTTAAAGATAAGATACCTACGTATTTCCTTCACATCTGAAGGGAGGGCGTTCCACAGGGCGGGCGCCACTACCGAGAAGGCCCTCTGTCTGGTTCCCTGTAACCTCACTTCTCGCAATGAGGGAACCGCCAGAAGGCCCTTGGCGCTGGACCTCAGTGTCCAGGCTGAACGATGGGGGTGGAGACGCTCCTTCAGGTATACAGGACCGAGGCCGTTTAGGGCTTTAAAGGTCAGCATCAACACTTTGAATTGTGCTCAGAAACGTACTGGGAGCCAATGCAGATCTCTCAGGACCGGTGTTATGTGGTCCCGGCGGCCACTCCCAGTCACCAGTCTAGCTGCCGCATTCTGGATTAACTGCAGTTTCCGGGTCACCTTCAAAGGTAGCCCCACGTAGAGCGCATTGCAGTAGTCCAAGCAGGAGATAACTAGAGCATGCACCACTCTGGTGAGACAGTCCATGGGCAGGTAGGGTCTCAGCCTGTGTACCAGGTGGAGCTGGTAGACAGCTGCCCTGGACACAGAATTAACCTGCTCCTCCATGGACAGCTGCGAGTCCAAAATGACTCTGAGGCTGTGCTCCTGGTCTTTCATATTAACCCTGTATATTATCTGGCTTAAGATTTCTCTTCCACGGCTTCATCTTGTAAGGCTCAGATGACACATTGGTTAGGAAGGTTTGCTCTAACAAGAATGTAACAGATAACAGCAGCAGCAACAACAAAAACCATCCTATTTCTTATTCTTCCCTAGAAGAATCCAGAGCCATCTAGTGACTAAAGTATCAAATGACAGCCAACAGTGTCTGTGAAATGTACAATACAGCATTGGTAAGAATAGGCTTGCCATACATCAGGAAAGTTCCTGACATGTCCTGGTTTTCCGGTTGTAAAAATGGCATCACGGAATCGGCAATATGACAAGGAAAACCCGATGTATGCGATGGGAAAAGCAGTGGGAAAAGCCCCAAAAGCTGGGTTCGTTTGGTTTGTTCCCAAAAAAAAAGCTCAAAAATTTTGGGGCCTTCCTAAAAAAAATTTAGGAAGGAAGTTGACTGTTTTTTGTCTTTGTATATATTTTTTATTCCATTTTCTGATTTACAATTTAAAATACTCATTTACATATCCTTAAAATATCAATGACATCCCTTGTACTCTTTCCATGGTTCATTTTGCATATCATAAATCCCTGCATATTTTACAAAAACTAAACCATTCAGTATTCCATTATTACATTATTACATCCATTGACACTGTTGAATTTATCTTAATGTTGACAATGTTTTCAAGTGTACACAATTTCCCCCCATATATTCAATAAATGTTTTCCAATCTTCTCTAAATGTCTGCTCTTCTTGTTCTCTTATTACTGTATATACGTTAAGTCTGCAAGCTGCACATATTCTGTCAGCTTAAGTTGCCATTCTTCTTCTCACTCGTTTGGCAGGAATTTTACTGTTTGAAATATGGCAATCCTAGGTAACAACAACCTAGGGTAACAACAACAACAACAGTAGTAGTAATAATAAATGCTATTTTTCTAGAAAAAGTGGTGCCTCCCTCTTTCTCTTAGAATGGCAATGGCACACACCCGAGAGGTTCCAGAACCAACTTCTGGCGAGTTCCCTCTGAAAAAAGCCTAATAATAATAATAATAATAATAATAGTATCAGCAGTTGGGGAAAAGGCAGACCTGGTTCTGAGACCTTGAATGGTCTCTGTCAATCAGAAGTAGACAATACTGGTGTTCTAGATGCACCTAACTTGGCGTACATTCATATGACTTAGGTGTGCCAGAACTCTGTACAGAGCAACAGTTGTTTTGCTTGTCAAGCTATGAATAAAACCAGAAAGTCCAGCGTTGCGTCCTACAGCTGGCCATAACTTTAGGAGCTCTTCATACAGGTACCATATTCATAGAGTTGCCAGGAAAGAGACCTTGGCGGTGGCATTTGGCTAACCCTATATTTGAGCATACCCTGTCAAGGTCAATATTGAATCCATTTGGAGACTGGTGGCAATGCTGGACCCTGCTTTGGGAAGGTGGAAGCACCAGAAGACAGTCAGTCAGTCCCTTTCCTTCTATGGACACTTTGTCCGTGGGCAGTGAAGGAAACACAAATTCTGCAGAATTTGAATTATTTTCGATATAAAGCAGCCCAATGGCAGGAAGTGGAGCAAGGTGGGATTAAGCATCATGCTAAATTCTCTAGAGAGAATGAACTGGGATGTTTACTGAATATTGCAAAGAGACAAGTTATTCAAATGTTCAATGTTATTTTGTATTGCTTTGAACTTAAGAAATACATCAGTATATAAAGCCTATTACAAAAACCAGGCTTTATATACTTTATATAGAGAGAATGGACTGGAATTTGTTTACTGAATACTGCAAAGAGAGAAGTTATTCAAATATTCAATGTTATTTTGTATTGCTTTGAACTGAAGAAATACATCAGTATATAAAGCCTGTTACAAAAACCAGGATATGAATCTAGATTCAGGTAGGTAGCCGTGTTGGTCTGACGCTGTCGAAATAAAAAATAAATAAATAGTCCAGTAGCACCTTAGAGACCAAGTTTGTTCTAGGTATAAGCTTTCGTGTGCATTAGTCAATCTCTAAGGTCAGACTTAGTCTCTAAGGTGCTACTGGACTATTTTTTATTATTATTTCAACAGGATATGAATGTGCGTTTCAGAAGTGAATCATTTATATATTTACATATTTGAATGGTGAAAAAAAGAAATGTAGAGTTACATGCGAAAGAAAGAAAAAATCAAAATGGGAGTTATAGAGACAGATCAGTACTTGCTTCAGACTCAAATCCCCTGTGAATCAGCAGGCAGGCAAAGTAAAGTTTTGGGTGGCCTATGTCATGATCACTGCAGAGAGTCCAAGGTACGCATCTTTTGAATATGGGATAAATAGTTCCCATTTTCTTTGAGAAAGAGTTGGAAGTAGTGGCAAGGAATCAATGGAATATTGTCTGCTCAGCTGAAGGTACACTTACAGAAGTTGCTTGTGTGCAGAGATTAAAGATGCTAATGAATAGTTGCTTGGAAAGGGTTAGGTAAAGCCTTGCCCATGTCTAGGAAGAGAATGTTGCAGGGAGGAGAGAGTCAACATGACCTAAAAATCCCTAGCCAGTGGCATGCAGGAAAATATATTAAAAGTGCAAGGAAAAAATAAATTCAGTGTCTCCTCTTCACACCCTGCAATATAGCGTCAAGCCTCCTTAAAGTCCCACTATTGCACTGTTCTGTAATAATGTTAATAGTCTACCTACCAAAGTTTTTCCCCACCTAAAATCGACTGGCTTCTAGAAAAACTCTGTATTTATCTTAGATGACTTGCAGTCAGGGATGGCTGAATCTGACAATGTTGGTTTCTCTGTTTGTCAATTTTCAAGTCCTAAATTTGATCTGCCCTTTTTCTGCATATGTTAATGAATTGATATATGCATTTTGGGGGAAAGGTTAGTGAATGGATTTTTGAATGCAATTTTCACAAAACAGAATGCATTTTTGTATGTTGTTTTCAGCAATATACACTTTTGTGTGTGCACATGTTTCACTAATATAAAGATTTTTGTAAGCATTCTTTGGCTGGAGAACAGCACCAGCTGAAACTTCAAAGGCAGATTGACATAAAATGTATTTTTAAAAGGGGAGAGCAAAGGAAAACGCAAGATGGCAATTGAATAGGCTTCTATTTTTTGGTCTCTTCGGCGCTCAGCCTTGTGTTTAAATGCAAGATGACACCCAGGGCCATCACTGGAAAGGCTTCCCTGAGCCTTCTTTGTTTCTGTTCCGAAATGTGTTGCAGTTGTTTGTGTCCTGGTTTCATTCTGCTGAAAATTACGTCTGATATGGAGCAAGGGCGGGAAAACATTTTGCTGAATAAATTTAAGTCAGTTGTAATGCATGCTTGGGACGTGGGTGGCGATGTGGGTTAAACCACAGAGCCTAGGACTTGCCAATCAGAAGGTCGGCGGTTTGAATCCCCGTGACGGGGTGAGCTCCCGTTGCCCGGTCCCTGCTTCTGCCAACCTAGCAGTTTGAAAGCACCTCAAAGTGCAAGTAGATAAATAGGTACCGCTCCGGCAGGAAGGTAAATGGTGTTTCTGTGCGCTGTTCTGGTTCGCTAGAAGCGGCTTAGTCAAGCTGGTCAGATGACCTGGAAGCTGTACGCTGGCTCCCTCGGCCAATAAAGCGAGATGAGCACCGCAACCCCAGAGTCAGCCACGACTGGACCTAATGGTCAGGGGTCCCTTTACCTTTACCTAATGCATGTTACAGAGGAAGGGATGGGGAAAAAACTGGCAAGGGTCCATTTCTGATAACACGTAGATCCCCATAATAGAAATAGGGCAGAGAAAAGATGCAGTAGGCCAGACTTTGGATAATTATTATTTCAACAGCTGGGTTTATTTAAGAATAACACATTACAAAAAAAATACAGAATTTCAGATCACTTGGAGAAAAACATAGAAAAAGGGTCACCAAAGAGCCTGGTATAAAAAAAACACAGATAGAGGAGAAAAGGTACAAACTTGTCTAGGAAGAGCACGACTTAAGGAAGTGCAATGAAATTTGTACAAAACTATTGTTTACAGGTACAGAATATATAAAATGTTCCCTATCTGATGGCAAAAATACAAGAGGACATTACTTTATTCTTTAGAATAAAAAAATGGTACATCAAGAGGTATGTGTGGCGTGTGAACTTAGTAAGTAGTCCTACATAATTTGCGCCTGAATTCCAACTGCATCTCACCTTTGTTGGCCTCAGCAGGTACAGATACCAAGCACATCTGCTGATGTCCATTTAATATAAGTCAATGATGGCCAAACTTGGCCCTCCAGCTGTTTTACAACTCCTATCATCCCTAGCTAACAGGACCAGTGGTCAGAGATGATGGGAACTGTAGTCCCAAAACAGTTAGAGGGCCGAGTTTGGCCATCACAGAATAAATGGAGTCTCCACTGAAACAACTGGCTGCAGAGAAGTTGCACACAGTGGACTGTGATATTGGCCAGTGGCACTGGAGAAGATCTTTGAGTGAACCAGAGAGTTTAGAGTCCCTCTCATACTGAACTAGAAGTTACATCAATGAGCGAGACTCAAAGTGCTTTGGGCTCTGTAAAAGATCTCTCTGCCTGCTGCTAAATCTCAAGCTGCAGCTGGCAGTGCCGCTTACATTTGTTTCAGAGAGGAACTAAACAGATTCTGTATATTATCCTGCATTAGCACATAAAAGCAGGATTTGAAGAGGAAGCATCTCAGTGGAAGAGGTCCTCCACTTGCCATCGTTAATGGCTATCTGGAACAGAAGCAGAAAGTGGAGGGCAGGAGAGGAAAAAAGGTCAGGATTTCAATTCAGCTGTAGGAGTTTTAAATGGAAACATAAAAGAGCTTAAAACCCAGACATTTGTTCACTGCTGCACCATTGAGAAAGGTTTATAAATATATATATGGTATCAAAACAGCTTACCAATTATTATAAAAAAAGCTTTAAACGCCATATTGTACCTAAATTCTACAAAGGGTTTGACGATCAATAACTGTTCCATCCTCTTGCCAGATAAGCATTCTATTCAGCGTGTAGCTGCTTAGTTGGCTTGCAAATCCTATTCTGTATCAAGAATGCAATGTAACAGTCCTTCCTAATGTCAGGATTTCCTTAGATTCTGGTAATAGCTCAATGGGGAGAGATGCTGGCTTTTATAGGGTCTGACCCCAGGCATTTGGGCACAGGGCCCCAGAAGTGCCTCACAACCCAAAGCTCTACCCTTTCTCTCTGCATCAGATTCCATCCCCACAGCCTGACTTTGTGAGGTCATAGGGGAGGCACCTAAAATGAAGGCTCTCAGTGCAGGATGCCTCAGCCAACACATGACTCATCTTCCCAACAGGTGGGCAGCTGCCTCTGGATTTTGAGTTGGAAGAGAATTCACTAGAAGAAATAGATTTTAAATGCTAGGAAGATCCTCTGCTCGGGCATCAAAGAAAAGGCATTGTTCATCTTTCATTTACCATCTCATGCTACGGAACTGAAGAGAAGGTCACAGTCGTGATGGAAAATGTTGTAGCAAGCTGCTTCTCATGTGCTGGTGTCTATCAGAGCTTCCATTCTCAGGCAATTTTATTTCCACCTAATAACCGAGGAACTAAGGGCAATGCAACACGTCATGACTGCTGTGGGGATAGCCATGTTCTCTTCTGCAACTTATAGAAACAAACACACACATATATATACAACCAGGTTTCCCCAGACACATATGTACATGCATGTTGTACTTCCACATGAATTTATTTGCTGCAGAAGAGCACCAGCAGCAATTGTAACCTGTAGCACTGCCCTTACTGAATGCCATGAAAGCCTTTTTTTCTCCATGCCTTGGTAAATGCAATACAATAGTACAAATGCCCCACACAGTTGAAGCCTGGAAGGTTTCAAGGTGTTTGCAGAAGCTGGCCATTGCGAAAGGACTGAGAGTGTAAAAAGAGGAAAACTCACTGAAGGTGGAAGTCAGTACTCCTCAGCATCTCCAAATGTCACTTGTAAAAAAACAGGGCTCCAAGATAGAAAAAGGCAAGTGTGCTTCCGAAATAGTTCCATGGCACACTGCTCCACGAAATAGAATTCATTAATTTTTTTTAAAAAAGAAAACCACACAAAATGTATTGTACACAGTCTTTAAGCTTCAGCAGGAAACCCATGCAAGAAACCCATGCAGTCTCTGAAGGGTCCTGCATTTCGCATGAAATCACAGCAGCTTGCGATGTAGGATCTCCCAGACCATCCTTTTTCGGAAGTAAGGCATATGTTGCTTTAACAAAAGAAACACAACAACATCAATACTTGCTTCAAATGACAAGGTCATTTGATATATACTGGCAAACTGCAAGCCTCATACTGAGACAGCTATATTCCAAGTGATCTGTTTTTAAACACAAAACCAGGGCTAGTACCACCAGATCTTAAAATCCATTAAAAAGTTACTTTTCCAGTTTGATCTGGCTATCCTAACCCCACATCCACAATTCTGCTTGTCCCTGAGCAGATATAGGTGACACTTCTTTCAATTGCTACAAGCACTAATTCTGCAACACAGACCTGGCCTGCTGTTGACAGAATGAGAATTTTGACCTCCAACGGAGGTAATAGATGAAGATAATTCTAACACAGTGCCATCACGCAACAGGTTCTTGTGCCATACTTTTTAAACATGCTGGTGGTAAGGTAACAAAAAACTGAAAAGTCACCACAAAGGTAGCTGTGGACCTTTAATATAGGTTATAGTCCTGGAATTACTAAAGGGCATAACTTGCTTATCCATATCATAAGGCTCTGAATCCAAATTTAAGGATCTTGCTATGGGGAGCAAAACAGCTGCCCACATGAGCTCCCTATCTTGTGGCACAATTATTACAACAATTACTACAAGCTATACATTCAGAATGTTATTGAAACCCACAATCTTACAATTCGACTTGCATGAGATAAGCAAATATATGGAAAATTATCTACTTGGATTTTCCTTCTTCTGGCCACGGAGCTTTGGTTTTCTTGGTTAAAAATTGGTTTGCTTTGGGCACTATTAAGACTAGAAGACAGCACTGTAATAATATAAGCTAGCATTCTACCAATGCAGTGCCCACTAGCCAGGTGAGCCAACTTACCTGAGTGAAATTGATTGGTTTGTCTTTGGTAATGCAGTCAGCATATTTACAGGCAAACATCCCACAGTCACTTCCATTCATCTGTTGAGGGATCTCCTTTAAAAGACAAACAAACCCAGCCCTCTCTATTTAGAAGACAAAAACCTCATGTTAGCTTCACCAAATAATTATGATATAAACTGCACAAGGTAATGAAAGGTTCAAGAAACCCAAAGAACCCCACCATGCATGAGCGAGTCTTCAGAATTAATGGGAACAAATGAGTCAGTATTTCAGCCAAGATAGCAAGACTGGAATACTTCCATCCTGACAAACAAGGAAAAGGAAAGGAACAGAAATATGTTACAGGCACTGCGCATGTACAGAGACCTTTGGATGCTTGTAGTCTTAGTTCCAACAGCTTATACAGGTACGTATGATCAGAGGCACCCATTCTTGCTCCATTCTCACCGCATGCTCAGGACAATGAGAGAACTGCTGCAATTTGCTCCCCACTTTTTTCTGGCAAAGAAGTCACTCCATACTGTTTCCCTTCCCTGTTCTCCATCACTGGCTGATTTCCCTTCCTTTTTCAACTGAAGGCTAGAGCAGTGAGATCAGGAAGGGAAATATTCAGGAGACATAGTCTTATCTGTCAGAAGTGAGGTGCTATTGAGGAGCGGGGGGGCGGCGGACGGACAGGGGGATGGGGACGGATGACTGATGGCTGCTTTTTGTCCCAAGTGCGGAGGAAAGAGAGCTGGACATGACCTCTCTTGTGGTTGGTGCCTGTAATAGTAGTTGGGAAAGCTGCTGGCACCAGAGACTCCGTGCACATAGAACAGGGGTCTGCAAACTTTTTCAGCAGGGGGCCAGTCCACTGTCCCTCAGACCTAGTGGGGGGCCGGATTATATTTTGAAAAAGAAAAGAAGAACGAATTCCTATGCCCCACAAATAACCCAGAGATGCATTTTAAATAAAAGCACACATTCTACTCATGTAAAAACACGCTGATTCCTGGACCGCCCGCGGGCCAGATTGAGATGGCGATTGGGCCGGATCCAGCCCCCGGGCCTTAGTTTGCCTACCATGACATAGAACCTCCGATCACAGACAATTGCGTGAGGCACATCACACCTTTCTATCTATGAAACAAATAACACTATCTCATTTTCTCACAGTACACATTATTTTCTTTGACACAGGCACGGCTAACCTTTTATGGCCCAAGGGCTAGAATTCAAGGTTGGCCAAGCCTGAGGTACACATGCCACTCACATGGACCCAACCACACTACATACAGCTAGCTTTCTCTCTCTCTCTCTCTCTCTCACACACACACACACACAGGCTCTACCCAAACTCATACACAGACCACACACTCTTATATCTCTCTGTATATATTATATATACTCACCGCTTAACTGCAGTGCTAGGATCAGGCAATTTCTTCATCCCAGCGCTGGGCTGAATAAAGAAGCATCTCAGCCCAGCGCTGCAGTGGACAGAAAAGGGGCCCAATTTTGCCAGCGCTTGGCAAGCTGTATCACCAGGGCCACCCTGATCTAACAGTTACACTCAAAAACCTTAAGAGCCAGGCACACCATTAGTTTAGGAAAGTGGAAATAGGATAAGAGCATTTCAGACACTCATGTGGTCAGCTATGTAGGATCCAAATACCTGGTTCCGTTTACTCTGCTGCACCCAGCCATTGGTATCAAATTCCTTCCGCTTTTTGTCCAAGCTTTCCTGCTTTAGGTACTGCCTGCAGAGGATCGAAAAGAAGAAACACTTTTAGCAAGTACACAACCAGCAAAAAAGGATAAAAACCCAATTAAGTAATTAATTATTGGGGGGGGGGTTACTTTTAATTTCAGAATTGCTTCTCCTAGCCCAATTCTGGACTTTAATTCACAGGACAGCACTACTTTTCTGGATAGAAAGTCCCCTGAAAAATGAACTCTGCATTGCACTTATCACTGTACCCAAGTATTTTATTTTATTTCTAATCCGAAGCAATATTTGCACTAACGGTCCGTATATGAGTGGATCACAAAACACAATGAAACTCTTTGCAAAGAAAATGTGGCAAGTTGACCCTGGACATGTATTCAGACATGAGAAGGACTTGCAGACAACCAGTAACCAATGTTATGCAACCAGTCCACAGTATGTACACCCATACTGTATTAAGTATTTTATTACCTTGAGAAAAGGATGGACAACTTACTATCAGTTTCAGCTAAATTTATATGATAATTTACAACACTCACAAGGTCTGTTCACCTGGTTACATCTTATAGCTGCGCTAAGTATTTCCTACTTTCAAGCGCCTCTAGAGAGTTTCAAACCTTCCCCTTTGAGATAAGAGAAGCTACTGGGTCTAGCATTTAACATGAGGTCAAGCAACCCCAGTAGGATAAATACCGCAACAGACCAGGTCCACATTCCCCCAGTGTTAAAAAGAATAAGCTTTCCAATAGTTTGCTATTGGCTACGGTAGTTTTCTGAAACCCTTTTCCTACCACTTCCCCTAAATCCCATAAAGATGATCATCCAATGAAATGACAATGTTCTGGTTATTGAGGTAGGTCAGAAATGGCCTAATAATAGCACCAGTTCTATGTATCTGAGGCCCAAGGCAGTTGTTTTGAGATATTGATATGCAAGTTCACTGATATGCAAGTTTCAATGGCTGCTCATTCTTCCTGTTAATATATTGTACCTTGTTTCTAAAGCAAAAAGTTCCCAATCACTTTGGGTGGGTTTTTCCCCCTTATGCATTCCCCTGTTGGATGAAAGACCTGACTGCAGCCATAACCCCCTCCCCACTGCTTCTTATTTCAGATGTATGTAACTGTCACCATGGTGTATAAAAACAAACTCAGCTGCTTACACAAAATACACAATAATTTCCTCCTGTCTTATTGGCCCTTCCCTTCTACACAGCCTGATCTCTCACTCATAGTATATTTTCAAGCTCTCATATTCTTATGGTTTTTTGCTCAAGAATCATGCAACTAGTCCTGGGTAAGCAACAAGACTGGGGGCTTTTTCTTGAGCTGCAGCCCCCATGTTGTATAGCAAGCCACTTCTGAGACGGAGGAGAGTCTCAAAAGCAGTCTGTGATATGGCATCGGAGTCTGTGGTCCAAAGGGGGGGGAAATCCACTGGATTCCCACAAATTATATTGGTTGGCCTACGGTAATTTGAGTGATCCCTTTTTATATTTCTAAATAGGCATGAAAGAGACAGCTCTTTAGGTACAGCAGAGGTATAAGCAATAACATTATTTGGAAATAAAACTGAATACACTTAAATTAAGACTTTGTATTACTTGGGATCGACTTGATATTCTGAAAAATGTCAACTTCCCTGTAAGAAATTTCTCAAGATAGAAAAGCACATAAATATATCATACGGGGGGGGGGGGGCGTGCTTTGGGAACCTAGCCAAAGGATTGTAGAGTTTTATAAATAATAATTATATAATTTTATAAACTATACAGTGGTACCTCGGGTTAAGTACTTAATTCGTTCGGAAGGTCAGTTCTTAACCTGAAACTGTTCTTAACCTGAAGCACCACTTTAGCTAATGGGGCCTCGTGCTGCCGTCGTGCGATTTCTATTCTCATCCTGAAGCAAAGTTCTTAAACCGAGGTACTTTTTCTGGGTTAGCGGAGTCTGTAACCTGAAGCGTATGTAACCCGAGGTACCACTGTATAGGATTATATAGTTTCAACAACCTCTTAACTTTGAAGTTGGGATTCCCTCAAGGAATATTTTCTGCTGGACAGCATACAAATATTTTGAAGATGACAAGGACACCAGCCATATGCCAAAGCACTACAGATGGTCTCTGCAAGAGATGTACCTATATCTTGTATACACATCCCTCTGCATCTTCCTTTGTATATTAGGAGAGAAACTTAAAAAGGACTCACACACCTGCTTCATATTTCACTTCTTGTGCATGTCTGATCTCATTCTGAGCAAACATGGGCTAATCGTTTCTGCTTCGCTTTTACATAACGAAGCATGCCTCATCTCAATTCTCTACATCAGTAGAAGGCACGGGTGGCGTAACTAATTAAGGGCAGAAATTGTATTTACATATGAAGCGGCATGATATCAAATCACAACATTATACGTCTATCCTCATATTGTCCACTTTGATCGGCAGTAGTTCTCCGGGGGGTGGGTCTTAGGCAGAAAAACATCTTTCCTAGCCTGGCTACCTTAAATAATTGAGACTCCTTAAATAATTAGGATTAATTCTGTTCCGATTCTTCTGCTGACTAGGATCAGTCCCCTTCTGTATGAATCTGGTTCATTTTCTCAGTATAACTAGATTTTGAAAAATGGGATAAATACATTTTTTTTTAAGCCACAGGAGATTTATGGCATCCCATAAATCTCTCCCTTTTCTAAAAAGGGGCAAGCAAATCATTCAAAACTCACCAAAAATCAGGAAGCTCTAAAGATTGAAAGCATGAAAGGGTCACTAACCATGAATAGGACCTCGGTCCCCTCTTCCCGGTGTGATCCTCCCACTGCATTCAACCAATTAAAGCCTCCTGAAAGGAAATAGAAAGGGAAAAGCAATTACAGGAAGGGCGACAATCAGCTGGAAGCCGAGTCCCTGCCCATTGCCCTACCTGTGCCGCTAGCCATCATCTGGTCAAATTTGCAGGGCTCCTGCTCTAACCATGCTACCGTGTCACCAAATCTGGGATCTAATTTGGCTTTCCCGTATAATCAAGGGAACCCTCTGTGCTTTTATATCACTCTTCACCGTTAGCAGATTTCCTTTGGAGAAGGTCTGCCAACATGAATGGCAAAAGAGCCACTTATAGACACTGTCTGCCTCTTTAAAATCTTATCCATTTTGGGGGCGGGCGGAGGACAGGCTGAGGAACAGGATTTTCTCAGCAGCTGCTCGGAGGCTCTTGGATGAGCACCCAGTGTGGGTTTTACAGTCAAAATCACAAATGCATGATTGCCAGACAGGCACCTGAGGGGCTGGACTGTATGGGGTCACAGATTTAATCCTCAATCCATCTACATTACCCATAATACCAACCTAAAGAAGCTGCTTACTATTTGGAGAACACTTGATTACTTGATAAGCTTTTGGAATTTAAATCATGGTTTTAACTTATTTTTTAATATGGTTTTTCTCCTCTTTTTGTCTAAATGTCGTGCAACAATGCAGACGAATTCAAATGACTCCATTTGTATTAGCTACTGTAGTCAAATACAGTTTTTTCAAGGGTGGCTCCTCCACTTCTGGAATGCTCTCCCCAGGGAGGTTCCATCAGGACTTTGGCTTTTAATTTATCTATGGCCTTTTTGCATGGATGGCATGCTTAAAAAATAATAATTTAGATTTGTTTTCTTTTATGCTGGTTTTAATGTGTGTGTTTGCTTGCTTTTTTGCTTAAAATATTTTAAGTTGCTTTGAGTTGCTGTGGCCAAAAAGCAACTAATAAATTAAATAAATGAATAAATAAAATGCTGCTCAGGGACCCAATCTTAACATCATCCCCCAATTTCATTGTTTTTATTTACGTCACCCGAAAGAGGACATGAATGGCTAAAACTTACCTTTATGCCATTTTCTAAGTTGCCTACTACTTCGACTGGCATTCTATATGAAGCTTCTTATTGGTCTATTTATGAACCTGGTTAGATTGTTTTTATTATAAATTTGAACCATTTTAGCACACTGTGTATGTTGCGAGTGTTAAGATGCATTTTGCTGTGTATATATTTCTTTTCCCTTTCATTGTGATGAGTGCTGCTAACAAAACTTAACTAATAAAATCATCCCAACGCTCCTAAGCCTGGTGCCTGTGCATCTTGTGCCACTTCCATGTTAAAGGCAGGAACTCTGTTCATAAATGGTAGGGTATCTGAGATAGAGGTTAATTTTACCAGGGATACTGAAAAGTGTACAAGTTTGCACTGGTATCTAAAAATTCACAAAGCATATTTTAAATATTTTCAAAGTTTTATCATTCTGAATTGCCTGCTTCATTTTCCTGAATCAGCAGTAAAATATCTGATCAACAATTAAGATCGAAATTGTTCTCCAGGCCAATGCCACTTCAAAGCTACAAGGCAATGCATTCTTAGACTTGATTAATTCCCCCCCACCCTTGATTTGTTTTAGGGAAAACTTCATACTCTTGCAACTGTTGAAAATATTGCAGTCTCTGATGCATGTGTCCTTTTACTCTATATTCCTATAGTCTTCCCGGCATCTTTTTCCAGATGGAAAGGGCAATCAAATACTGGGTTACATTACGCTCAGAGATCCAATTTCCAAGGCATCTCTTTCTATTATTGTTTGGTTTTCTATAGTCTGTTGTTGTAACTGGCATTTTACTTCAAACTTGTAAGTTGCCTTGAGCACTTTTTAGTAAAAGGCTAGTGTTATGCCTATCGGTGAGCGATCAGGCAAGGTCCCTCACCGGTTTCAAAGGCTTTATTATTGGTGCAAAACATTTGCAATACAGAACGCCTCTATTCCATGTCACTCACTAGCAGAATCTGAGAGTGGGCGGTCCTTAAACTTTCCCCAGCAGAGTAGTCTCTTGACCCCCAGCCGACGGCTCCCCTCTCTGCACGAAAGCCTACTGCGCAAGGAAGGCTTGGGTAAAGGGGAACCTCCCTCCTCCCCGCTTTGCTCAGGCACGGTGTCCTGGCTCTTTCTTGCATTCTCTGAGCCCTGCAGCTCGTCCCCACTAGAGGCGGGGCTTCCTTCCTCCGCTGAGGAAGTGCTGCTTCCCACGATTTTTGGAGGCTCTCTGTAATCCATCTGCCCCTCCCCCTCTCACCTCTGAGCCGATGGCAGTTCCCTGACAGCTAGGGTAGAAATATTTTAAATAAATCAATTTCTTATAAGAACCCAGAGGCTGTAGCTCAACAGCAAGTCTGTCTAGTTGAAAAAAACATTTATGTTACTGCTCTCTAAAAAAGTTGGAAGCTACACCTCAAAGAAATGAATGTAACATCTGCCCCTTGGGTTACCAGGGCATGCTTACTGTTAGCTATCCCTTTTGATTTAGTCATTTCTTTATGTAATCTCAGCAATAAGGATTAATTTTTATCCACCCGAAGGTCTTGCATGCTCTCTTCACCTTTGGCTGGGAAAAACTTGAATATATTTAAATGTATTGGGACACTCACAACAATATCTTGCAAGCTTCAGTGTTGGTTCCTCCCATTGAATCGAAGTAGGTGATGCTTTTTTTCCTGAAGTCAATAACCTAAGTAAGACAGAATATCTCATTAAACCACTGACACACTCACAACTCAAAACTTTCTAGAAAACATCCAGCCTTGTTTTCTATAGAAAACAAGAATTTGAAAAGATGAAGCCCTTCACCAAAGTAACTTCACCAAAGATATATAGACTTCTCTTTAATTTAGGAGTAGGGCTGGACGATAACTGGGTTTCTATATTGCAATATATCACCAGCTAAACATCGCGATATATCTTTTTTTTTTTTTAATATACATTTTATTTTATAACACCATACAAACAAAAAAGACAAACACAACACATTCACACCAAAAAAAACTAAATAAAGAAAAATATATATATATAAAAATATATATTTATACTCCTGACATAAGACAACAACAAATTAACTACATTGACTACATAACACACAACACTGACTGACTTCCCTTCATCTCGGTTTCGGAATGTGTTATAAAATTTTTCTATCTGCAGTTTCTTTTCCTCAAAAAAATTTTTTACATCACAAGTGTTATATCACACCTACTGTGTTTTTTAGTTTTTTTTACCTCTGTTTCCATGTATGCCATGAATTTATTCCAATCTTTATTAAACTTTGTGTCTTTTTGATTTCTTATTTTCTGTGTCATTTTTGAAACATCGCGATATATCAATACATCACAATATCCGAAATAAGGAAGGAATAACGCAGAAGTGAACAGGACACTGTCCTGGCAACTGCTACTGCTTAATGGTCTAAAACTGATAAATGATGATATTATCAATCACCTCATGGTCACCTTCAGCAGCAGGCAAGCCAAAATGCATCCCAACAGGACTTTGGGATTTGGGCTAGGCTACCAAATGGCAGTATTCAGGACAATCCAGTGATGAGACTGATGAGACTTGGTGATTACAAATAATCTGGGACTGCCAGCAGGACTGCTAGGAGGCAGAAGTAGCAGTGGCAGAAACAGCCTGCCATGTCTGTGGTACATGTCGGCAGTAGCGGCCACAATCCGCAAGGCCTGGCAATGGTGGCACAATCAGTGGCGGTCTGTGAGTCCTCGTGGCAGCAACAGGAGGGGGCAGCAGTAGCAGCAAGGCCTGGCGGCAGCGGAACAGTAAGTGTCAGCCTGCGAGGCCTCATGGCTCCTTTCTCCATTTTCTCAGTGGAATTTGCCGACCACCCATTGCGCCTCAGTTGTCAAAGGTTTCGGAAGTTGAAGTCTTCTGGAACGGATTACCGTATTTTTCGCTCTATAGGACGCACCGGACCATAGGACACACCATAGGAGGGGGAGAACGGGGGGGGGGATTCTCCCCCTCTCTGCGCAGCGCCCTTTCAGCGAAGCGGGAGGAGAAACGGAGCCCCTTCTATTTCTTCTCCCGCTTCGCTGAAGGGGCGCTGCACAGAGAAGGAAAACTGTGCAGCGCCTCTCCAGCGAAGCAAAGCCTGGAGAGCAAGAGGGATTGGTGTGCACCGACCCCTCTCGCTCTCCAGGCGGCTATCCGCAAGCCTTCGGAGCGCAGCGGGAACTCCTGCTGCGCTCCAAAGGCTTGCGGATAGCTGCCTGAAGCTCCCAGAGCTCAGCAGGAGTTCCCTGCGCTCCGGGGACTTCAGCGAAAGCAACGCGAAGCCTCCAGAGCGTGGGGGGAGCTCTCCCTCTGCGCTTTGGAGGCTTCGCGTTGCTATCGCTGAAGCCAAGGAGCCTGCATTCGCTCCATAGGACGCACACACATTTCCCCTTCATTTTTGGAGGGGGAAAAGTGTGTCCTATAGAGCAAAAAATATGGTACGTTCGACAACCGAGGTACCACTGTATTGCCAGCTCAAATATTACGAAACAATTATCAGAAGGTGAACTTCAAACTGGTTTTGGATGATATTATCTCCCATCCCTATTTAGGAGTTAATATCTTGCTCAGCCACACAAAGATATGACTACATTTGTGTAGCTGAGCAAAACTGATGATCTCTGCGCCAACATGATAGTCCTGTGGCAGTTTTCAATATATCCATAAGCCTGTAGATCTTTATAGCCACTGAGCTTACCTATGAAAATGTTAGCTCACAAATACGTTACAAAAGAGGAGCCATTGTGAAGCCGTTCGGAGCACATTCCAGAGAAGCAGAAGCGAGAATGAGAGGTTGGAACAAATAAACGAAACCTTAAATATACTCACTGCTAGGCACCAGTGGACACCAAGGTGAATAGGCACCAGCAGGATGTCAACAGAAAATACATCCACTTTTTTAGTCCAACGCTTCACAGCTTGGTACCCAGCAGTTTTTAACTTGGTGAAGAAAAATGTGTTGAATGCATGAACCGTTGGAAAGCCCCTCTGTTTACTTCTTTCCATTAGCATATTCATGTAGAAGTTAATTATCTGAGAGGGAGAGGAATACATGTTAGGAAACGACAGAATTTTTCAAAATAGCATTTTTGCATTCAAGAGGAAAAAAATATTCATTAAGCAAATGGTGATAGATAGCAAGCTATGAACCCTGCAGATATCTGCATATTTTTTTTTGAGGGGGGATTCTTCATTAGGTTAAAGATGGCAAGTACTTCAAAACCCTTTCAATCCTCTAAAATATTATGCCTATATAGTAGCCTGCCCAGTGTATTTGATTTTGCAATGTAAGTTACACAGGATTTCTGAACCTATTATGTGCTGCTGAAGGTGCAAAATGGAGGCGGTCGGAGGGATTTGCAAGCAGGGCGGGGGGGGGATGATGAGCAGGAGTCCTTCCCCGGCACCCCTCTTTCTTTGTGCCCTCCTTTCCCATTTGCCCAGGTTCTCAGAGGAAAGAGGGATCATGGGAGGTGACAGCAACTGGGTGTCTAGTAAAGGACAAATATATAATCCATGCACACGAGGCTGTGCCAGGCAGTGCCCCGTGAGGCTGCTGACCTCAAACTGCTACAAGGCTAATTGATTTGTCTTTTTCAAAAAAATCTGTCTCATTTTATGAATGCAGATTGTGGCCTTCTACACCATGGTCTAACTTATGTTTCAAGACCAAGATATTATGGGCCATGATCTTGATGTGCGTTGGAGCTGTCATTCCAAGACCAGCTGATCTGCCAAAAGTGGATAATTATGAGGACTGATAATTATACTGTCTTCAAGTTCCAAGGCAGTTTGCCTGTGAATTACCAAATGTGAGGAAGGAAAGTAGGAGAAGGCTATTCGGCTCTCATGTCCTCTTTGCTGGCTGCGTGCAGGCTTCCAGTTGGCTACCTTATGAAACATGATGCCGAACTAGACGGTGATTTGGTCTGATCTAGAAAGGCTCTTCTTGGTTTATTTGGAGATTTTAAACAAGAACCAAACAACTGCAGTGGACAAAAAGCGAAGATCAGGTTACCTCATCATTGAGCCAATTGAGGTGGTTAAGAGTCTGAATATCTTTCCTAGTTATTGTCAACCGGAAGGCTTCGCTCAGCACCTCATCCTGGTTCCCGCTTCGTAGTACACTCTTTATTTCCCTCTCCATTTCCTAGAGAAAACAAAGAGAGATGCATACAGCAAGTAGTTTTGGCTTTTCCAGCTGAAAAGCTTTGCCTGAGATAACTAGTTAAATTTGTCTCATTACATAGAAAGGGCTATAATAATAATAATAATAAATAAATAAATAAATAAATAAATAATAATTTTATTTATACCCCGCCCTCCCTGGCCAGAGCCGGGCTCAGGGCAGCTAACACCAGTAAAATTACAATAAAAACATAATGGGGGCAGGGGACAATTTAAAATACAGGTTAAAATGCAATTTAAAATGCAGCCTCATTTTAAAAGTAGCCCATGGATCAAAACCGTAAGGGGAGGGAAAACATAAGAGTCAGACTGAGTCCAAACCAAAGGCCAGGTGGAACAGCTCTGTCTTGCAGGCCCTGCGGAAAGATGTCAAGTCCCGCAGGGCCCTAGTCTCTTGTGACAGAGCATTCCACCAAGTTGGGGCAGGTACTGAAAAGGACCTGGCCCTAGTTGAGACCAATCTAACCACCTTGTGACTTGGGACCTCCAAAGTGTTGTCATTTGTGGACCTTAAGGTGCTCCGTGGGGCATACCAGGAGAGGCGGTCCTGTAGGTACGAGGGTCGTAGGCCGTGAAGGGCTTTAAAGGTCAAAACCAGCACCTTAAACCTGACCCTGTACTCCACTGGGAGCCAGTGCAGTTGGTAAAGCACTGGATGAATGTGATCCCATGGCAAGGACCCCGTAAGAGCCTGGAATCATGGTCTTAATAGCTGAACAGTGCTAGGTTTGTGGATGGCCCCGCTAGGAGGAGGAGCCTGCACAAACAATTCTCCAAAAACCACTGTACATAAACCAGCATGTCAAGTGGGCAGGCTAGGCTAGAACACTTCTCCCCATGGTTGCTTTTCTATGTGCAGAGATGTTCTGTTCTGTTTTTTATTAGAGCACAGCATTCATGCAATCTCCGCAAACTAGAATCTCAAATAGTACAACTGAGGAGCAGCTTTATCATATAACCACAGCTGTTTCTGTAGATTATCTCCAAAGCCGGTCAAGCTTTTTAACATTTGACATTAAAATGTTTACCTCTGTAATTTCAGGGAACTCTTCCTCCCCATCAGTGGACTTTTTGTCTTCTGGCACAATCGTGACAGGAATCTCCTTCTCGAGAGGTACTCGCAAATGTAAGTTGACTGAATCAGGTACCAAAAAATCCTGTTTCTGCAGCCTCTGAAAGACACATCCCTAAGATAGCAACATCTCACTTTGCAACTTCAGTGTCTATCTTATTTTTGCACATATGATTCAGGCATGCAATTTTAATTTAGAATCCAACTTCACCAGTGGAAAATATAATGGAGAAAAACTTTGTTTGGCTTTAATAGGTTTTTGAACACATCTTGGTCCATATCTTGCTTATCAATTTGCAATTCAAAGCAAGACAAGCAGGTCATAAAATTTGGGTGGGGGAGAAATATCCATCTTTACTTACAGCCTTTTGGGTGTTTCAGCGATTATTATCACTAGCAACAACAGGCATGTAACTGGAGAAATCAGGCAGCCTTCCCAACTGTGATATGTGTTTAAAAAAACCTTAATCCATTTATGGGCAGGCACCAAGTTTTGTTTTTTATTGTTCTTTGTAATATTTGGTATGAAGAGCATTTGTAAGCCTGATGGAACATTCAATAAACCAAGATTGTTTATTAGATACACACACAAAATGCATTTGAACATCTTACCTGCTTCTGCAATTGCAACGCCAAAGCTTTTTGCTCTTCTATCTGTCGCCATCTCTCACGGGCTCGGGAATCATATACGCTGGTTCTAGAAACATTTTTGTATGCAGCAGATTGAGAATTCAGCATTAGCAGCAATGGACGTATGCATCATTGACACTTTCAAATATAATCAATCTGACCATTTGTTTAGGCTCCTGATCAATTTTTATGGCAGGGCCACTTTGAAGTGAAGGATGGAGAGGGCTGGGTCAGACTGACTCCATCTGCCAAACTGGGATGCCAGTAAGTCCCTGTTGGCACAAGCACACCAGCCCCTTCATGCACCTTTGTATGAAGAGAGAACTGAGCTGTGTTTGCCAAGGAGAAAAAAATGGCCCTGGGTATCATTATTGCTGGGACACGGGTGGCGCTGTGGGTTAAACCACAGAGCCTAGGACTTGCTGATCAGAAGGTTGATGGTTCGAATCCCCGTGACGGGGTGAGCTCCCGTTGCTCAGTCCCTGTTCCTGCCAACCTAGCAGTTCGAAAGCACGTCAAAGTGCAAGTAGATAAATAGGTACCGCTCTGGAAGGAAAGTAAACGGTGTTTCCACATGCTGCTCTGGTTCACCAGAAGTGGCTTAGTCATGCTGGCCACATGACCCGGAAGCTGTACGCCGGCTCCCTTGGCCAGTAAAGTGAGATGAGCACCACAACCCCAGAGTCAGCCACAACTGGACCTAATGGTCAGGGGTCCCTTTACCTTTACCTATCATTATTGCTGGCATCTGATTTAAATGTAAAAACTCATCTTTACCCCTTATGAAGATCTATCTTATGTACATTTTAACTATGCAACCAGATTACACAGAAGGCCCCTTGCCTTCTACTTATGCAGAAACCATTCACAAGTGTCACAAAGGCCACAGAGAGCTGCCTAGTCTTCCTGAAGGGCTTTATTCTCTCTCTCTTTGAGGACAGCTTTGGTAAGGCACGGATTACCAAGATGAAAGGGTAGAATGTGAAATGAAAATTCTTCCTGTCACAAGTGAAGTTAGGTTACTACTCCCAATATCAACAGCATTTACCCCCAGCGAATATGAATTTTTTAAAAAATCAAAATTATGCTTTATGTATGTTTAATTTTAGTTTGCATTCAGTTTTGTTGTTTCTCTTTGCTTTTGGTTCACATGTTCCACTGTGTTCTTGTTTTAATTAAATAATTTTTTTAAAAAATATTACAGCTGAACATTGGGAATTTACATTCTACCAGACTTTCCCCAAAACTAAATTTCCTTGCAGCTAGCAACGGTCAATTAATCAATGCACCCTGGCATTCTCTATGAATCCAGGCCTGCAAGCTATTCTTGGGGTAGTCCTGGCTACTCCCCAGAGCTATGCTGATGTTTAGAAGGGGGTAGAAAAGCAGCTTCTCTCTTGCATTCAACAATAATAAAACCATATCCAAACTGACTGACAAGAAGCATGGGGGAGAAAGCTAGTCATACCTCGGGTTACAGACGCTTTGGGTTGCGCAATTTTGGGTTGCGCACCGCGCCGAACCCGAAAGTACCGGAATGGATTACTTCCGGGTTTTGGTGCTTGCGCATGCGCAGAAGCGCCGGAACACAACCCACGCATGCGCAGATGCGGTGCTGTGGGTTGCGGACGTGCTTCCCGCACGGATCACATTCACAACCCGAGCATCCACTGTATTAGGTAAGTATTTCATTAGCAAAAAATGGGTGGGAGGGAGATCCAAACTTTTGACAGCTGTTTCCTATAGGAGTTCAGGGGTATCCACCTGGCAATCTCCACATGTTTTTTGACAGCAGCTTCCATCAGCCACAGCCAACATGACTAATGGTCAGGGCTGATAAGAGTCGTAGTTCAACAATATCTGATTGTGCTTGCTACAGATCATGGCTGCTTTGACCCATGTTGGGAAGGCAGCAACAACAGCCTGGAAGCTGTGTGCTTAAAGAGAAGGCAAACTCTTGGAGATACTGGATATGATGACTATATGAAACAAACGCAATCATTAATATTAAAAAAACAAAATGACTTACAATTCTTTGATCCACAATTCAGCCTCAAAGAAAGGTGTGCTGAAAGAAAAAGAATACAACAATCTGAGAATGCTTATTCTGTGGGGAAATAGCTGAGAAGAATAGAGGGGCTATTTGTTACAAAAGTGGCAGGTGCCCTGTCTTCTTTATCCAGAAGTCCTGCCTTTTGATATCAAGTTTATACAGCTTGAAATAATTTTTTATGACTTTTTTTACATATAAAAAGTTAGTTTTAGAGCACTGTGTGACATATGAACATGCCCCAAATAGTAGAAAGAACATATATTCTCATGCATCCATTTCTATGGGGTGGCAAGAGTGAATATTTTACCCCGTCCTTAATCCTAAACCCAATATCGTAGTTTCAATGTGTCAGTCTACTGACAACGCTCTATTTAAGTAAGTTTTGTGTTTAGGGTCTTCAGGAGAATCTAGGCATCTTGGATTCCATGGTGCCTCTTTGGAAAGGAACCTATATTACAGCATTGTTCTTAACTGTGATGCAGGTGTAGGCACGTATAATGTTGTTCATACATGCACCTCTCCTACAAACAAAATAAAAATGTGCTCCTGTTGCTCAAGGAAGGAAGCAGTCACGCAAGGTTGGCAGGTCATGGACATGTAGGCACCATGACAAGTCCTGTTCCTACAACGTCATTTGCATCCCTTATTCCTATTGATGGGTTAGTGGGCAGAAGACATGGGCCACACGATACCCTAAAATAAACTTTTTCAAAAAAATAATAATTACATAAATTTTATTTCAAAAAGCGGGTCTTCAGGATAAAAGGGTGTGGGATGTCCATTAATTTCAATCTGACAAATAGTAGTCCCCATTCTTCTGAGGTGATTATTTTAGCTGAAATTCGACTGAACAGTAGTGCCATCCTTGGAAGAAAAGTGACAAAGAGGACTGGTGGTTGCTCAGTCCAGCTGTACAGGCTGCAATCAAATGAAGAGAAATTTCAACTTAAAGGGGCACTGGGGAGCCCCGAGGAGTGAGAAGGTTGGAACGGCCATGAGGCTTGCCTAATAAAGTGCAGACAGGGATGCAGTGCTGGGGATCTCTCACAAGATGGCACTGCAAACAGGCTACAGAAGAAGCCAGTAGCAGCAATGACAGAAAGATCTCTCCCTCTCACAAACACACTCACTCCCAGTACGTTTCCAAGCACAATTCAAAGTGTTGGTGCTGACCTTTAAAGCCCTAAATGGCCTCGGTCCAGTATACGTGAAGGAGCGTCTCCACCTCCATCATTCTGCCTGAGGTCCAGTGCCGAGGGCCTTATGGCGGTTCCCTCACTGCGAGAAGCCAAGTTACAGGGAACCAGGCAGAGGGCCTTCTCGGTAGTGGCGCCCGCCCTGTGGAACGCCCTCACACCAGATGTCAAAGCGAAAAATAACTACCAAACTTTTAGAAGACATCTGAAGGCAGCCCTGTTTAGGGAAGCTTTTAATGTTTAATAGGTTATTGTATTTTAGTGTTTTGTTGGAAGCTGCCCAGAGTGGCTGGGGAAACCCAGCTAGATGGGTGGGGTATAAATAATAAATTATTATTATTATTATTATTATTATTATTATTTATTAATATTATTATTTATTATTATTATTATTATTATTATTACTCTCTAACTCTGTGGGAGTAAGTCTACTTGTTCACCCATGAACTCCCTGCCCATTAACATACATTTGGCACATACTGCCACCTACAGAGCATATTATATTGAATTTCTGTGCTCTGCTTTTGTATTGTTTTATGATGTGTTTTACTACTACGTTATTGTCCATGGCTTTAGATACGCTTTGGTCTAAACCACTAAGCCTAGGGCTTGCCAATCGGAAGCTCGGCAGTTCGAATCCCCAGCTCTTGCCAACCTAGCAGTTTGAATGCACGTCAAAGTGCAAGTAGGTAAATAGGTACCGCTCCAGTGGGAAGGTAAACGGCGTTTCCGTGCGCTGCTCTGGTTCGCCAGAAGTGGCTTAGTCATGCTGGCCACATGACCTGGAAAAACTGTTTGCGGACAAACGTCGGCTCCCTCAGCCAGTAAAGCAAGATGAGTGCCACAACCCCAGAGTCGTTCGCGACTGGACTTAACTGTCAGGGGTCCTTTACCTTTACCTTACTACTACAGTATTGTCCTTGGCTTTACATACTTCTTTAATACAAAGTGGTAGCATTTAAAATGTTATATACACACAGTATCTGCATCTATAAATACCCTGATCCCTGCAATTTCCTGCCTCCTAACTTTCACAGCCTGGAAGCAGAAACAAAATGTGATTGTGAAGTTACAGATTGAAAAGCAAACTAACAAAAAAAAACCCCTTATGATAATCATAGTTGCAGATCAGAAAAAGTGGTCAAGATGCTTTGCCGGATTGAAACCCAAAATTTCTGCCCAAAGAGGGCCACAATCTAGCTGTGGACTGATCAGAATCTTCACTGAGTAGCCAAGCTACTACTACAAGCTGTCATCTGAGCAATCTAATAACAGAGTTAAAACCCACTGGCGAAATAAATTTAGGTAAGACAAAACACATAGAAAGCTAAACCAACAGGCCCAAATCCAGAAGGGACAAAAGTAATGTAACAGTCCCATTGGGCAATAAATGTTTTGAGTGGAATTCAACCTCACCCTATGATGAACATTCCTTCTGTACAAGCATTTTAGCTTACCAGGCAAAACATCCTACGTGTTCTCCACCATTGCCTTTCATGGGTTTGCCTGGACCCCGCCCCCCGCCCAAGTCAAGGGGGTGCAGGAAGGAGAGAGGGAAGCCCTGCTGTACCAGTGGAAGTCCTTGCACAGGGCTTCCACTAACGGAGCTTGCTAAGGTGAATGTAACTAACTTGTCCTATCAATTTCAATAGGACTTGAACACCACTTTCTCTGTTAGAACCTTTCCCCCTCTATTTTGCATCAAGGGGAGCTCTCAGCTGTGGTCCGCACAAGGAAGACACTTACCTTGGTGCTGGAGATTTGAAGTCTTGGCCATTGAGCATTATGACAGAGTCAGATCCTAAATGAAGAACAAGCAATACTAGATATTAATCTTTATGAATGCACCTCTTTAAAACAAATCCATACCATCCAGATCCTCCCATTTTGTTTTGTGGGTTTCAGTTTAGCTATCAGTTTATTACGCGATTGTAGATAATAATAATAATAATAATAATAATAATAATTGCCTTAAGTTGCAATCCTGAATGCAGGCCATCTGAATGTGGAAATTACTTCCATGTAAACGAGATTGGGAATGGATTGCAAGGAAACATATAGGCCATCTTACAAATATGTTGCAACAATCTGTTAATGATCTTCAGAAAGTAAAAACTAAGAAGGGCTGAGCAGGAGGAAGAAGAGTCTAATTCTTATCTATTGTTTTCACCTTCAGCATGCACATCCAATGCCGACACACTATTTTGCCGAGCTGCTGTATTGGTGTCCTTGGCCTCAAAGGTAACACGTGAAGGGAAATTATGGACTGGATGTGGCAGTGGTTTGTGAGAGTGTTGCTCCTGAGTCCTGAGAACACCGGATGATTGGTTGCCTGCGGTGGGACAATAAGCTTCAAAAGGTTTCCTACTCTGATTTTCAGCTTCTTTCACAAGGTTTTTATTGGAACCTGTGCATCTGGGTCTGAAAACAAACAAACAAAAAAGATCAGGGCTTCCACCAACAAACTGAAAACATGAGGAAGATAATGAGCTAGCAGTGTATTTCAGAGACTCACAGGTTGAGAGACAACAACGAAGAGGACTTTGAGACTGAGCATTTCTTCCCTGTAACCATTTGAATCAGCTGCCTGTAAATCTCTTTTTCTTCCTCTCGAACTGTCTGTGGAGAAATAAACATACATATTTCAACCAGCCAAACAGTTCAATCTTGGCTCTGCAGAGACATCCAACATCCTGTAGTATAGAAAGAATCCACATATTTATCTACCAGACACCAAAGGTTTTCACTTAAAAAGAAAAACCAACAAAAAAACCTAATGGTTTAAGGCTCTGTGACAAAGACACACATCATGAGAGGCAAAATTCTTTTTATGTATTTTTTAATACACTGCTTAATTCCAAAATTCACAAACACCAATACGCAAGAAGAAACCAAAGATCAGGGTCAGATGCTCTAAAGATTTCAAAGAAAAGGGTCGTAGAGAAGAATAAAATGCCTCTTCCCAGCACTGCAAGACTGTGAACAGTAAAACATAATAGTGTATGATTTGGCTTATTTGTTTGGACACACCTACTAATTGGTCTAAGGGCATGTCTTCACATCTGTAGATTTATCTTTCTTCCCTACTCATGTTCTCTTCCCCTCTTTCCTTTATCCATCTATTCCTTCCTTTCCAAGGACTCCTTTCCCAAGTAGTTCCCTTAATCTACTCAACCCCTGATTTTTCTACTCCTCTTAGTCTAGGCCCATATCTCCCCCACAACCCAAGATCAGAGAGATCAGTCAAACGTAGTCAAAGACGTGTGCATGTCTAGCAAACCCTTCTGTGGTAATAGGGAAATTAAGCCAAACACTATGAGAGATGTCACCCCCAGCACAAAACAATTGGGGGGAGGGATAAATCTGTAAAACCCATGAGAAGTCAAAGCATAAGGCTCCTCTCACACAGGAAACTTTATTCTCTCTCCTTTTTCCCTTCACCTACCTCTTCTGCGGTGCTGATGGATCTCCTTTGGGATTTCTTGGGACTTAGTAAGCTCCGACGGCATGGAGCACTCCATGATGGACTAGTAACAGACTTAATTGGAAAGGATTTTTCAAATGCAGAAATATGGCAATGGTGATTCGATTTCCCTGCAAAGGAATTTGATGTCGCACTGCAGAAAAAGTTCAAGGTATTCGATTAGTAAGCCAGTACTATAAAGCTATTCAGATTTTTGTTTTCCATGCTGCATAAACCCAAGCAGAAAGCCACAGCAACCCTGCCTCATACTTTGGAAAAGTTAAAAGGTAGCACTGCTTTCCTCCTCCTCTCGAAGAGAATAACTTCAGGCTCACTGTGACAAACCATCTTCTTCCAGTAGATGGGGAATATTCTGGAGCAGGCTTTCATTATCATTAAGAATTCCCACCCCACAGTTTTCTGCTTACAATACGAAAATCAAAATATATAAACTCCATACACTACCCCACCAAAGCACTGCTAAATTTTATGAATACAGAACAAAATCTAGTGAAACCAAATGTACCTTTGACTTTTGCGTGCATCAAAATATATGCTGCGGTTTGCTCTAGGCTTCTGTAAAACAGGACCCAGAGTAGAATCACAATTCCTCCACTGCCCATTAGCACTTGTTCCAAATGGTCTTTGCACTCCTGCTGCCTGATACCTCTCAGGGGATGGAGGTCCTGTGAGAAAGAAGCACTGAACAATAAATGAAAAGCCAACCGATTCACTCCCAAGTTATCCCTTACAAACAACCTAATTGTATCAAGCATGACAGGGCTTCAGAGGAGCTCCAGGAATGTATTTGCATCTCCCTAGTTAGTATCAATTAACTAAAAAGGCTATAGAAGTTTCAAATGAGATTCCACCAGTAAAACTGCAACAAGCCTGTCTCACTATTTAGCAAGCTAGTTGCTCTGGTTGTGAACTGCAGCCTGTTCTTTTAAGAGTACCTGCATGATTTTCGGCAACATAATCCCAATTAAATGGTACTCGGGAGGAGATCACTGGTTAACCCAGGTCTGGTCACCTGGCAGCCCATATTCCAGACTGTACTGAACTATAAGCAAAAATGTAGTAAAAGGTCTTCCCAGGTTTATTCATACATTTCAAAAACAAAAGCATTTCAGTTTAATATTATGCAGAAAAATCAAAGTGAGACAAAATGCATCATGTTTGTAGTGTGTTATGCATACACGTAAAATACAGCAACACACATGTACTCGGTAACTGTTAACTCTTTATTGCTGGTAACATCAACTTTTATTACGGAGCCCAAGTTTAGTCTGCGTTGCAAAATGAACTTGGCCTCTGGACCACAGTCTGCTCTGGATAAGACTGGGCCCCAAGAATACAGAACAGGGTCCTATAATTTAACATGCTCACTGCAAGACACTAAACTAAATCAAGAAGCATCTAGCGAATACAAAGGAACTTGGACAGCTTTAAAGTGAGAAGTGAGGTTACAGGGAACCAGACAGAGGGCCTTCTCAGTAGTGGCGCCCACCCTGTGGAACGCCCTCCCATCAGACGTCCAGGAAATAAACTATCTGACTTTTAGAAGACATCTGAAGGCAGCCCTGTTTAGGGACGTTTTTAATGTTTGATGCTTTATTATGCTTTTAATTTTGTTGGGAGCCACCCAGAGTGGCTGGGGAAACCGAGCCAGATGGGCAGGGTAGAAATTAATAATAATAATAATTAGGGAGGTGTTAGCCAAATTAATGAAGGCTAAGCTTTAAGTAGCTGCTCGTTATGATGGTTGTGTATCAAAGGCTGTATGAATATCAGTTACTGTGGCACATCCCTGGGGGGGGGGGGAGAACTGCTGTACTAATGTCTGGCTTGTAGGCTACCCTTGGGCATATAGTTGGCCATTGTGAATCGGATTCAGTGAAACAGAAAACCCCCAGTATAGTATGTGGAGGGAGGTTTTCCGTTTGGCAGGCAGAAATGCTTGCACTGACAGAGCAATCAACTTAGCATAATGCTGATTTCCACCCTAAGAATAAAGGGTGGTGGGTTAGATGGACCTGGATAAGAACCCAGTAGGACACTTTATGTTCTTAAGGAATATTTCAGTAGAAATAAGGCATCCATTTGGTCAAATGCATTCCTCTATACAGTAGAAGTTTAGACTCAACCATAAACTAGAGCAAGGCAGCAGGAAATTTCACTGCAGTGTTACAATCAGCACATATTTTAAAAGCTTTGAATTGGTTTTTCAATGAACCCAAGTCAGCCTCGCCTTACCTGAATAATAGCCGAAACTGCAGGAAGTATTTCCAGTTGGACAAGTAAAAGGCCTCTCCAGACGATCAAACTTGTTTGATGAAAACTGCACAAAAGAGGCCATAAAATCAGAATATATTCAAAGGAAGGATCACGTCTGGGTGAAGTGTGTGTGTGTGTGTTTTCATGCGTAATAGAAGAACTGTGCAACTCTTATTATCATTAGCCACAATGTTATAAGTGAAACTAGACCTGAAATATATGGAGAACCTCTAGAATTTTGCAACTTGAAAATATCCTAAAAAAGATTACGCAAATGTAAGGAATGGCTCATTTAGGATACAATGCTGCATTCAAAGTTTGGAAACGCTGCAGAACTAATCACATACCTATGGCCAACTAATAATAATGCCTTTTGATTGTCTTCAGCCTTCCTACATTGAAGCTTAGGGGAATTATGAAATAGTGACACATTATAAACCTCAACATCTTTCTCTACATGACTTATTTCTTTTTTTGACAAAGTAATAATCATAAATAAATAAGAATAAAAATGTGCACCCCACCACTGAGACCATTCCATTGTAACTATCCAACCTCCCAAAAGTTCAACATCTCTTGCGATGGTTTGACCCCTTTCCGTTTTAACAGTACAACTTCTACACCCTCTGTATCTCCTCAAAATCATTTCTTCTGCATATTCCCTGTCTTATGTTAATGGCACATGTTAATTTATAATTAATAGCTATATAAATCTCTTTATACCATTCTTCCATTTTATATTCTGCTTGCCCTTCCACTTCCTAGCTATAATAATTCGTGCAGCTGTCAATAAATTTGTGAGCAAATCCTTCATAGCCTGTGAACCTTCCACCCCATCGTAAATTGAAAATAATGCCACCTCTGGACTTTTGGTCAGCTTTATTTAACCCAGTGATTTCTGTTATCTCCTAGAAAACCTCTACATGACTTCTGCCCTTCCAACTCACTTAGTAATTATGCAGCTGTCTAGTTCTAATTGACAGTAGAAAGTTTTACTTTATTTTATGGTATGAAATAATAAACCCAGTGGCCCTGAATACAAATTCATCTTCACACGCTCACGGTGAACTGCCCTGAGATCTATGGCATAATTTTTTTAATAATAATAACAACAAACTTGTAGAAGATAAATATCTGAAGCTCCATTAGAACAGCTGGATATGTCCCCAACTTCATTCTATTTGGTATATATTGATATCAACCAAGTTAAAGGCAAAGCAATCCTAAAAGGGGGCCAGCAATCCAAACACCACATTCTGCCAGTGGTCTCTTACTGCCCACTTGAGTGGGGATTGGGCTTTCACCACAATGGAACACCACCCCCATTCCAGCAGCCAGTAGACTGCAACACTTCCAACTAACCAATCAACATTGAGAAGTTGAGGTTGCAGCCAAGTGTTATAATTCAAAGAGCAAAAATTAGCCTCATTACTTTTGGAGGAAAAATTACAGTAATAAATAAATAAATAAATACAGCTAAGAAATAAAAGCAGCTCATTCTCAAACCTTGTTGCCAGACAATGGAAGCTGATCTCCTGAGAGAGCGTTCTGCTGTAGAGGAAGAGTCTTGAACACAGAAGTGTGATTAGCTAACCCATAGTCTCCAGCCTCCATCTTCATACAATCGGCAGTTTCATCTGAAAGGGAAAAGCTCCTTAGTGTATGATTCTCAGGAAGAAAGAAAGTGTACACAATCCAAGAGAGGTTTTCACTTCTGCAAGCTCCTGTTAAGCAAACAGGAATTTCCAGGTGGCGCAGCTGGGACTTCGGCAGGAGAAATTCCCCGTAGACTACATACCAGTGAAATAACAAATGCCAAAGAAGCAAATACAAACCCCAAGAAAGGAAAACACCAGAAAGAGACCATGCATGAACTTTGTTCACACTTGTAACAAGCTTCATACAGAAATCAAGGTAACTTGGCAAAAACCTTGAGCAATCATATACACTACAACAGGGATTGTCAACCTGGTGTCCACAAATTAGGTTTTAACTGGTATCCCAGACACTTAGTCAGGACTCATAGCTGGCTTCCTATGGTAAGCATAACGTTGTCAGGGATGGCTACCTAGTTTTATGGTATGCCACACTCCCAAGGGCACCTATTTTGTGACTGGTGCCACCCAGCACTCTCTCAAAATTCAAGGTGTGCCCACTGGTCCAAAAAGGTTAGCAACACCTGTACTACAAACTGTAGCTCTCACATCTCAAAAGGTATAATTTACATTCTTCACAAAGCTAAATTTAAGAGAGACGGTAGGTAGCATTTCAGTACGTTCGGATGATAAGCAGCAGCCTCGAGGTACATAAAAATAACCCCTCTCTCTCGCATAACCTTGCAGCAGCTAAAATCATCTGTTTGCCAAATGGAGAAAAATAAGGGATCTTTTCCAACTTGCCAGAAACCTCTCACTACCACTGCACCTGCTCATTTACTGGTATAGATGGCCAGCATATGTTTGCAGGGAACCAAAAATGCACACAGGATGCAAAGCAAGCACATAGTATGTAGAGCAACCCCCTAAGAAGCAAGGTGATATTAAGCATGCCACAGCAAGGTTGAGGAAGCTGCTGGTTACAAAACTAGAGTGAGACAGATCCTAAAGCTCAAGCAGGAGCATAAACTGGGTAAAATCCTAATGTGTAATTCCTGCATATCACCACAGGATTTCTCCAGACTGGGCCATTAAGTAGGTCTGAAAGCGTCTGAAAAGACATGGAGATTCTATTGAGGAGTTCCATTTGATGTAGGTTTTATAATGATAAAGGGTGCAAGACAAAATGGGCTGATATAACATGCACAGACTCACCCATTCCTGAACTGCTCACATAACTGACTCATATGATAGAAGTTTCAAGTGCCTGAAAAGAGCAAGATGTATAACATATTAAGGATTTAGACCAAACCCCATGGAACATTTGTCTAGTACAAATACCCAATTTCTTGAGTAAAAAAGTTGGAAGAAGAGTTGTGAAGTCTAGAACAAAGCACTGTAATCACACATTGTATGGAAAAAAATATACGTACTTTAACAGTGAAGGAGAAATAAAAAGTTTTTAAATATTGCTGTTTCTGCTCTTCAGAAATCAAGACTACAATGTTTTTGTTCTTTCATTACCATGTCTACTCGGAAGTAAGTCCTATTGATTTCAATGGGGTTTATTATCAGGTAAATGGGATTAATAATGCAGTTTTATTCTAATTAAACAAGGGTGCAATCATATTAGTGTTATGTTCATGCATAGTGATGTTAAATTCTCGAGAATAATCTTCTGGAGAATATTCTCCAAAAGATTATTCTCGAGAATTTAACATCATAATTCACGTAGATCACCAAATTGCAAATGTTCATAGCTGCATATTATAGTTCAGAACCCTTCTCCTCTCACCATTCTGACAAGTCAAAGGCCACAGACTCTTTGTTGTACAATTGAAATACAGCTTTATATTCACTGCATCCTTAAGAAAGGAAATACACTATCCTTTTCCACTGACTAAAGGTTGGCAGTGGAACTAGTTTTTCAGGGTGTGGTCACCCTACTAATTGTCCTGTATTACCATGATTTTGCAATTAAATGAACTACTAAACTGCACTGGAGACAATGTTTCAAAACATGGAGGATACATTATATCAGAGCTTTCCAAACTGTGTCGTGACACATTAGTGTGTCGGCTGCAGTGTGTCACACAAACACTCCCCAAACTTTTCCTGGGGCTGGAAAGGGGCTAGTAAAACTGAAACACTGTGTCACGAAATGAAGCATGTCTAAAAAGTGTGTCACCAACATGAAGTTTGGAAAGCTCTGCATTACATATATGATTGGGTGCTTTATCTCCTAACCTCTGACTTCCCCCTCCTGTTCTCAGAAGGCCATTTTACCACTCTTTAGCTAAGAGAATTCTTGCAATTTTGATAAAAGAAATCTAAGGTGAATGTTTTCTTTGAGGCTGTCAATTCCAGTCAAAACAACACAGCCACCAAAGACGGCAAAGGCGGAAATACTGTGTACAGAGTGAAGACACAGAAGATTAATTTTCCTACACTATCATACATAATTCATTTTTATGTAAATCACCAAAGGAATTTTGAGAATTATGTAGTACATAAATCCTGCTAAATAAATAAAATGCAGTTAGGTTTCCACAATAGATTCAAGGGACACAGCAGCGGTGACTATAAAGTCAAACTTTGTGATGTTCTATTAAGCTTTTGTTATTTATTGTTCGTAAGCCGCTTTGCGACTTGTGTGAGTGAAAGGTGTCATAGAGATTTAATAAATAAAATCAAATGAAGTACAAAGCAAGCCGGGTGGTGATGAGCTGCACCTCTCATCTCTTACCTGAACACTCATACGCTCTCCCCTCCCAACCACCCTGCATGAAAAAGCCAAGGTCACTCTCCTGCAGCTTCAGCAGATCTCCTTTACTTTTAGCAGTTGACTTCAAGTGGAAATTCAATTTAATGGCTCATCGTGGCACAATGCAGCAGGTGGGGAGGGGTGGCACCTGTCAAAATCCTTACTTCAGCTGTTAAGCGCATACGATAATTCTTCGCGCAGGTGGGTTACCTCTTGTGAAGCCACGCGGAATATATTATCACCACGATGCATTAAATTTAAATACCGCCTTCCATCCGGGCTTCACAGTACAAACAAAACGCAAATGTACATAGCTGTAATACAGAACATAGCCTTCTCTCCATACCTTGATCCTGCCCAGTGGCCCCGGTTGTCTTCCTCCTTTCCTAGAGATTCCTAAAGCAAGAGATTTCAGTAAGTCAGTTCAGCTCTCCTCTGATAGGGGAGAAGTTCAATTCAGAGGGCCTTCTCGGTAGTGGCACCTGCCCTGTGGAACGCCCTTCCACCAGATGTCAAAGAGAACAACAACTACCAGACTTTTAGAAGACATATGAAGGCAGCCCTACTTCGGGAAGCTTTTAACGTTTGATGTTTTGTCGTGTTTTTAATATTCTGTTGGGTGCCGCCCTGAGGGGCTGGGGAAACCTAGCCAGATGGGCAGGGTATAAATAACCAGTGATTATTATTTAAACTGCATTTAAGCAGCTTGCACTTAATTGGGAGCAAAGCCCATTTGGGTAAGAGTTGGCCTTTACAGTACAGTGGTACCCTGGGTTAAGTACTTACTTCGTTCTGGAGGTCCGTTCTTAACCTGAAACTGTTCTTAACCTGAGGTACCACTTTAGCTAATGGGGCCTCCTGCTGCCGCCGTGCCGCCTGAGCACGATTTCTGTTCTCATCCTGAAGCAAAGTTCTTAACCCGAGGTACTATTTCTGGGTTAGCGGAGTCTGTAACCTGAGGCGTCTGTAACCCGAGGTACCACTATACTTCCAAACAGGCGCACTTTTCGCAGCAGCAACGACAACCACCACCACCACAAGAGCGCCAGCCAGCAGCGAACTCCCCCCGCCCCCTTTCAAGCGCTGTCCAAGGCGAGGTTTGAACAGGGCACTTTCCCGCCCGCCCGCCTCTTTGGCCAGCCACGCTTCCCTCTCTCCCAGCTTCTTCCCGGGTTCAAAAGAAAGCGAGGAGAAGGCGGGCTCCGTGAGGGAGGCGGACCAGGCCTTAGAGGTCTTGGGGGGGGGAGAGAAAAGGTGGGGGACCCCGACGGTGTGGGGGGGGTAGTAGGGCAGTTGCCATAACTACCAACCCCTGACTCTTCCTTCCCCCCCCCCAGCCAGTTTACCGGAAGCGAAGTCAGCGGCCGAGACGGAGGGAGCTGAGGCGAAAGGCTCTTTGTTGCCACCGCCACCTCCTCTTCCAAAGCGCTCCGGGCTTTTTCTCTTTCTCTCACTCTTTTTTTTTTTTCTTTTCTCCCCGACCGGATTCGAAGAGGCGGGAACACGTCAAGGCAAACCGGAAGCGGAAATGCCTCTCCCGGTTTGCTCCCTCTCCCCGCCCTTTTCTGCCCCGCCCACTTCCGGGGGAAGAAGACGCAGAAGAAGAAGCAGAAGCAGGCGACGACTCGGCGGCGGAGGAGGAGGAGGAGGAGGAGGAGGAGAGAACGTTGGCTCAGAGGGGGGCGGGGGGAAAAGGAACACGCCCACGCGCGCGCAGAGTCTTCGGAAGGGAATTGGTAGGAAGGAGGCGGAGGAGGAGGGTTGCGCGTGCGCACGTGCTGCGCGGGGGGGGAATTGCCTGTAGTTTAGCAGAAGAGGTTGCATGCATGTGCATGCGGGGTGGATGGGCGTATATGTACTGTATATATATTTGGAAGAACGTATGTAAGCATGAATGCGTGTACCGGGTATATGTATATATATTTGCAAGTATGTGTGTATAGATTTGCAAGTATGTAAGCGTGCATGCGTGCGTATGTATGTATGTATTTGCATGTATTTATTCATATGCATGGGCGTAGCCAATGGGTGGGCAATCAAAATCAATACAAATCTGAGATTCTGCTCTCTCTAACCAAAGCCTGCCCTCCCCCCCCCCCAAATCCTGGCTCTGCATGTGCAACTGTGCATGTGTCTATGTATATATTTTCATGTTTGTATGCCTGTATGTTTATATATTTGCAAGTATGTATGCATGTATATGGGACGCAGGTAGCGCTGTGGGTTAAACCACAGAGCCTAGGACTTGCCGATCAGAAGGTCGGTGGTTCGAATCCCCGCGACAGGGTGAGCTCCTGTTGCTCAGTCCCTGCTCCTGCCAACCTAGCAGTTCGAAAGCACCTCAAAGTGCAAGTAGATAAATAGGTACTGCTCCGGCGGGAAGGTAAACGGTGTTTCCGTGCACTGCTCTGGTTCGCCAGAAGCGGCTTAGTCATGCTGGCTACATGACCCGGAAGCTGTACCCCGGCTCCCTCGGCCAAAAAAGCAAGATGAGAGCCACAACCCCATAGTCTGCCACGGCTGGACCTAACGGTCAGGGGTCCCTTTACCTTTATGCATGTATATTGGAGCAGGAACCGGCAAGCCACTCCAGTATCCCTGCCAAGAAAACTCCATGGACAAAGACAGTGCCTGGCGTGCTCTGGTCCATGGGGTCACGAAGAGTCGAACACAACTAAACAACAATTCACGTACCGTATATATTTGCGTGTTTATACTTGCAAGTATGAATGTGTGCGTCTGTATTGTATTAATGCGCTTCTGATGGTAGCTTGTGGTTCTGCTCCAGAATAACAGTGGGGTGTATTTTTGAGGGGGGAGCATCTGAATAGATGTGTGCTGGATGTTGGGTGAGGCAGGGGCTGGGTTGTCTTCCAAGGGCTGGTGGGGAGTTTCTCATCATAGTTGAAAACTGGTACTCACAACTTTCTGGGTAGAATAGATTTTTGCAAGCAAGACATGAAGGAAAGCAGCTTAATGGTACCCTGTTGCATCTTTTACTCAGGCTCGCAGTCTTTGAGCATGGAGGCTGCAGCTTGCCACAGTAGCTAGTGCTCGTTTGGAACATAGGGTTATTGGTACATCACATTCAGAGTTGTGTACCATAAGGGTAGGGAACCTGTTGCCCTCTCGATGTTGTCGGACTCCAAATCCCATCAGCCCCAGCCACCATGGCCTTTGGTTGGCGGGTCGAGCAACAGTGGCAGGGTCAGCGGTTCTCCTTTCAGCCTTTCAGAATTCTAGGCAAGCCTTTTCCCCAACATTGCATTTTGCTTGCAAAGCATGCGTTCTACCACAATTATGGCCGCTTCCCCAAGGAATATCTTCCCCATTGAAAGTCCCGCCCTTTGGAAATTGCCTGATCCTTTTTTTGAAAGTCATCAAAGTTTGCAATCCTGCTCAAGGTACCTAGGAGTTCTTCAACACGCTTTTCAGAGTCTAAGATTGATCTGCATACCTGTGGCCATCGCTGCCTCTGTTGGGCAGAAAGTAATGATACAGTGTGTTGTTGTATTTTACAATGGTGAGTGAGCCATTGAATACAGGATGTGAATTTGTCAGAGCATTTATGATGGCATGTGTGTGTTCAGGAGGAGGAGGGTGGTTGCAGAAGGGAAGAAAACTTCTCAGTGGAGCTTTCCTTGTATGTGGCTTGAGGAGAACGAGGTTGCTGTCCCAGAGTTTCACAATTTTTCATATAAGGCACTGCCAGCAAGGAAGATATTCTCCATGATACGCATGCATTCAACCTTCTCCTTGTCATGTCATCTTCATCATATAGTTAGTTGGGTATTGTCCTTTTTGGGTGGGGCAGGGTTTTCTATCATCAAGGCCAAGTTAACTGCAGGTTAATTTTATTTCTCCTTGGTGCAAGTTTTGGCTCACAGTGCTTGCAGATCTTGAACTCATATTTTCCCCCCTTATATAAATTCATTATATTTTGGGGAGTCTGTTAATTCTATTATGCGCAGCCACAGTGACATGTAAAATACATTCCTGATGTAAAATAAGTAATCTTGAAAGGGTGAATCCGAACCTTACAGTTGCATGACAACATGACTGGGACATTTTCAATGAAAGGTCATGACTTTAATATCCACCAATAAGGGTGAGGAACGGCAGAGGCAGCTGTCTAGAGGCCTAGCACAGCATCTATAAATATCACACAGGAAAGCACACATGTTCTGTTATGTGGGCTCCCCTGGACCTCTCTGTAGTAGGGTCCAGTCTTTTCATTTCAGTGTCACTTACCTTTGCAGCTGTTATCTTCTTCTTTACCTTCTACTCATTCTCTGAAGAAAAAGAAGAGCAACCAGGTTAGTGTAGATTCGTGTTCTAGATTTTTATTTTTAATTTGCCTCATAAAACATCTTAGGACTTTAGAACACCACAAATAGAATCTTACCGCTCGGTGGAAGAGCCAAGGCTGGTTCAAATCTCTGTTTAGCCAAGAAGAATACTAGGTGGCCTGGTGCCTATATCTACTTCACACTTCAGGAAGAGCTTGATAGAAGTTTATATGTGTGTATCCTTGGCTAGTGCATGAGGAAATCTTAAAAATAAAAAAGTCACAGCCACTAGTAGGATTATGAGCTTTCCAGAGTGGATAAAAAGCGTCACAGTCTGCCCATTAGGTGATGCTTGAAATTGTAGCTTGCTTTGTAAAGCTGTGCAGGAGAACGCTGTCCTGGCAATTTTTATGAATGTAAAATGAGACGGTAAGGTATTGTAGTATTTTTCGCTCTATAAGACGCACCAGACCACAAGACGCACCTAGTTTTTGGAGGAGGAAAACAAGAAAAAAAATATTATGAATCTCATAAGCCAGAACAGCAAGAGAGATCGCTGCGCAGTGAAAGCAGTGATCCCTCTTGCTGTTCTGGCTTCTGGGATAGCTGCGCAGCCTGCATTCGCTCCATAAGACGCACACACATTTCCCCTTACTTTTTAGGAGGGAAAAAGTGAGTCTTATAGAGCAAAAAATACGGTACCTCTTTGTTTCCGTTGCGATTCCCCTACTCTGCTTGTTTTTTTTAAATTCTGTTGCTGTGTCTTAGCAAATGCCTTGGTAGCAGTACAGTGGCACCTCGGGTTAAGAACTTAATTTGTTCCGGAGGTCCGTTCTTAACCTGAAACTGTTCTTAACCTGAAGCACCACTTTAGCTAATGGGGCCTCCCACTGCTGCCACGCTGCCGCTGCGCGATTTCTGTTCTCATCCTGAAGCAAAGTTCTTAATCTGAAGGACTATTTCTGGGTTAGTGGAGGCTGTAACCTGAAGCGTATGTAACCTGAAGCGTATTTAACCCGAGGTACCACTGTATGAGTTAATTCAAGCAGGGATACAACGCCAGGCTTGTGGGTAGAACCGATCCTTCTAAAACACACACACACACACACACACACACACGGTAAAGAGATAGCAGGCAGATGTCAGTTGACAATTTCTTCACTTAGCGAAAAAAAAGAAAAAAATTCAAAGCTTGCATATGGTTTCCTCTTGTTCTTTGGACCAAGATTGTCAGCTCAACGTTCTTCCTAGAATAGTTCCAACAACTCTGCCTCTCAAGAAGAAACCACGATCCTTCCCCAGTCTTCACTGGAGAATGCAAAGGAGTTAGATCCAATTTTAAGAAGAAGGAAGAAGAGTTTGGATTTGATATCCCGCCTTTCACTCCCCTTCAGGAGTCTCAAAGTGGCTAACATTCTCCTTTCCCTTCCTCCCCCACCACAAACACTCTGTGAGGTGAGTGGGGCTGAGAGACTTCAAAGAAGTGTGACTAGCCCAAGGTCACCCAGCAGCTGCATGTGGAGGAGCGGAGACGCGAACCCGGTTCACCAGATTACGAGTCTACCACTCTTAACCACTACACCACACTGGCTCTTAAGTGAAACTTAATGTTGAAGTGGGCTGTGCAAGAGTTTCAGAGGAGAATACACCCCGTAGTTTTCATTCAGAGGTTGACGTCTCCAGGGGTTCTGAGTTAGCTCTTTAAGTCATGATTCAGTAGCAACTGACCCATTCTCTGTTTCTAGGGTGCGGAGACTTTTTCATCCCAAAGACCACTACTTTCCTCCTGGGCAACTTTTAGGGGTCCACATGCCAGCAAAGGCAAAAACAGGAAGCACAACGAATGTAAATTTCACCTTTGTTTCACAAGTTTCGACACGCCATCCCCCAACCAGGCCAGCAAGAAGCATCAGAATTCAAGGAAAACTTTGCAGCCAGATGAGAAGGCTTAAGGAGGGTGCAAAGTATGGCTAGGCTAGGCCTCTGCAGAGTCCCAAGGGCTACATTTCCCTAGTCTTGCTCTACTTTTACTCCAGTGTCATATGGCCTTCATCCTACCCATTGCCATTGATGAGGTTCCATGGACTGGATCACACCACTGTTCCATCTAGCTCATCATTGTAACAGTGGTTCTGATTGGCATTTCCAGGGGACCACCCAACGTCTGAATTTGGAATTCTTAATACATTTTTTAATAAAAGTTCAGTGATCAACAGCTCCGTAAAGATAAAGCGACCCCTGACCATTAGGTCCAGTCGTGGCCAACTCTGGGGTTGCGGCGCTCATCTTGCTTTACTGGCTGAGGGAGCCGGCATACAGCTTCTGGGTCATGTGGCCAGCATGACTAAGCCGCTTCTAGCAAACCAGAGCAGCGCACGGAAACGCCGCTTACCTCCCCGCTGGAGCAGTACCTATTTATCTACTTGCACTTTGACATGCTTTCAAACTGCTAGGTTGGCAGGAGCAGGGACCGAGCAATGGGAGTTCACCCCGTCGCGGGGATTCGAACCGCCAACCTTCTGAGCGGCAAGTCCTAGGCTCTGTGGTTTAACCCACAGCGCCAACAGCTCCTTACCAAGCTAGAAACAGACTTAACCGCCGGGGTAGAAGACCTGTCACCTTCCTGACTTTGTTGAACTCTCAACTTGCATCAACCCCAACCAGCATGGTCAATGGTCAGGGCTGATGGGAGTTGTGGTCCAGCAACACCTGAAGAGCCAAAGCTTGCCCACCCCTGCGCTCTCTACGGATGACCCAAGATCCCAAGAAACCAGCCATTCTACATAAATGTATGCCCTTTGGTTTAAGGATTAGGAGGTATGAACAGGTGAGTTGTGATTGGCAGATAGAAGAGAGGTTTTTCCATGCTTGTCACTAAACCAGGGTTTCCCAAACTTGGGTCTCCCCTTGTTTTTGGACTATAACTCCCATCATGCCCTGCTAGCAGGACCCAGAGGTCAGGGATGATGGGAATTGTGGTCCAAAAACAGGTGGAGACCCAAGTTTGGAAAAGGCTGCACTAAGTGAAAGTTCAAAGTCGCTGTACATTTGGTTTGGGCATGCTTTGTCATACACTAAGCAACAGATTCTCCTTGCTCTTGACTAACCACACTTCACCAGTTTGCCATAGCGACGGGTTCATGAGAATAAATGTTACTGAACAGAAATGGCAGATCACACAGGGTATTACAGCTAGCGGACTCTGTATCGGTGGTTGCACTCTGCTTCTTGTCAACTTTACATCAATTGAGTTAGCCTCCAGAGCTTTAGAGGGCTGATCTACAAAGCCGTCGACTTATGCCAGGCTCTCTTGTAATCCCAGGAAGGAATTGATAAGATGATACTGAATTAAGAAAATGCTAGAGGAGGACGCTAGCAGCTATGGCAAGATAAACCATATTTCCTGTTTGGAGAAGCCTTTAAAAGTCCACAAAACAATAACAGTTTGCCTGTCTGCAGATGCCTATTTACATTAATAATAATGTGTGGTACATTAAAGTTTGGAGTGAGAGGAAAGGAACAAACTCCAGTTTATGCAAGTTCCTTTGCTTGGTCGATTACAGGGGAATCTTGCTTGCCACAGGCAGCCAGGTGAATGTCGATTTACAAACCTGCTTCAAAAGTTCCGTCAACAAGGACAACCCCTCGATTACAGCCGAAACATCTTTCCTTGCAGTCGCTTTGTATTTAACTGTAATAGAACCCTGTATTAATAATGTGGACTTCTTTTTAAAATGCTGGTTTCTTTACAAGATTTATATTACACCCCTCTCTCTCATGCTTTCAGGGACAGTCCATTCTCATTTGTGTTGCATCAATACTTGGAACAGATTTGCTAGTGAAAGAGGACTTCCTCTTCCTCTCCAGCCGTCCCCGTCCCCCCATATTCTCCAAAGAGTTGGGGAGACCCCCTGGAACAGATTTCAGGGGGCTGCAAGAAGGAAGGAAGGGTAATTCTAATTTGTGCAATATTTGATATCATCCTCTGAGTTTAAGAAGATGCCATGCTACCCATCTTTTTGTTGAAAAATCCATCTGTTGAGATCAGTATTTTGCAAATGTTTAATACCAGAGGGGCACCGTTTTTCTCTCTACCCACCCGTATTTAAAATTGGAGTCACTCTTTATTCTTACGCTGAAGTAGGTATACAGTGGTACCTTGGTAGTCAAACGGCTTGTCTCCCAAACAAATTGGCTCCTGAACGTCGCAAACCCAGAAGTGAGTGTTCTGGCTTGTGATTGTTTTTTGGAAGCCGAACGTCCGACGCGGCTTCTGCGGCTTCCGATTGAGTGCAGGAAGCTCCTGCAGCCAATCAGAAGCTGTATAGTGGTACCTCAGGTTAAGTACTTAATTTGTTCCGGACGTCCGTTCTTAACCTGAAACTATTATTAACCTGAAGCACTACTTTAGCTAATGGGGCCTCCAGCTGCTGCCGCGCCGCCGAAGCACGATCTCTGTTCTCATCCTGAAGCAAAGTTCTTAACCCAAGATAATATTTCTGGGTTAGCGGAATCTGTAACCTGAAGCATATGTAACCCGAGGTACCACTGTACCTTGGTTTTTGAACCATTTTGGGAGTCAAACGGACTCCTGGAACAGATTAAATTTGAGAACCAAGGTACCACTGTATCCATTTCAGTGTAAGATTTTTTTTTTTAAAAAAAAAGGTCCCCAGAGCAATAGGAAATTGTCTTCATTGCAAGTGCATTCAGCTAATATCACTTAGTATCTCACACTCAGTAAGGCTCAAGGTTTGGAATGAGTTTTTCTGGGCAATGCTGCTGCTTTGGTTTCCTTTTCACTTGGGAGCTGTAGCACTGGCTGTATTGAGAAATCCCAGTGCAAATTTACTTCTTCCCTTAAGGTGATGGTATACTCCATACATTGACAGAGTGAAAGGCTGATCAGTGTGCCAAGGGGCTTCTCTGTTTTGACCGAAAATGTTTTGAGTGCAGTTCAAACCCTCTTGTGATGCACTAGTGCACCGTGCAACACAATTTCAGAAACACAAGCCTAGATGTTCATCCTTTGGTTCAATTAAGCTGCTAGCCCTACAAATGGAAATCCGAAAGCTCAATTTGCACTGCATCCAGAAGGTGGCAGCAATGTTCCTCCTTCATTTTAATTTGTGACCAGAGGGGTTTCAACTGAATGGGCAGCATTGCCCTCATGTAGTTATAATTTGGTTTCTCCAAATATATACCTAGATTGTAAGAATTTACTAGACCATAGTGCAAGGTGGCAACGTTAGGGGTTAGAAGCAGGTTGATTGGGCTTTTTGCCGGCAAACACAAAATTAAATCTTGGAATACTACCGATCGGAGCAGTAGAAGAAAGGCAGAGGTCATTGTGCACTTAGCCATATGCAGAGTAATTCAGATTAAATTCCAAATGCAAGCCAATTAAGTTTCTTCTAGGTAACGGTGTAAGTGTGAAAACAGCCAACCTTCATAATTTTGAAACTCGGGAACCTTAATTTCACCACACTGATAAGGTATGAAAAGAGTGGCACAAGTCAAGTGCAAATGTTCTTTCATCTCACAATTCAGTTATGTTTGATTTGTTAGAAGCAAATCACCAGAATTACAATTTATTGCATGCCTTTCACCCTAAGGTCCCAGGGCAGGTTCCAACAATTCTTCTGAACATCAGCAAATAGTTTACTGGAGAGAATCTCCCCGAACCCTGTACAGTCGTACCTTGGTTGAGGAACGGCTTAGTTTCCGAACGTTTCGACTCCCAAATAATCAAAAACTGGAAATGAGTATTCCGGTTTTCGAATGGTTTTCGGAAGCCGGATGTCTGGCGCGGCTTCCGATTGACTGGAGGAGCTTCCTGCAGTCAATTGGAAGCTGCACTTTGGTTTCCAAACATTTTGGAAGTCGAACGGACTTCCGGAACCGATTCCATTTGACTTCCAAGGTACGACTGTATTAGTTTGCTCTATTTGCAAACAGCAACAGAGAAGGGAGCGTTGGTGTTGCCTTACTTTTACAAAATAAGAAGAGGCAGGGGAGTTGTTATTGGAGGCTTAGTGTAGGAGTAGAGGCAGAGAACCTAGCAGTTTGAAAGCATGTCAGAGTGCAAGTAGATAAATAGGTACCACTCTGGCTGGAAGGCTTAGTCATGCTGGCCACATGACCTGGAAGCTGTACGCTGGCACCCTCGGCCAATAAAGCGAGATGAGCGCCGCAACCCCAGAGTCGTTCACAACTGGACCTAACTGTCAGGGGTCCCTTTACCTTTAGGGGCAGAGAACTCTGCAAAATGAAGAAGAAAACTCCCCATATTAATGCCAGTTTCTTTTTAGCCTCAGCTCTTATAACAGATATTGCCTTTATCTTTTATGCTGCTACCATGCGAGCTAGAGCCATGCAATTTAGGAGCTTACCAGATGCACTAGAGGCCAAATTCTGCCTTATGGTATGCTAGTGTCCTAAGAGTGCAAGTGAGCCAGCTCTTGCTCAGTGTCTTTACAATGAGGATAGATTTGGCTTTCTAAGTGACATGTTTTCATTCAGGTCAATGACTCCCAAGCTGTGTTGCAGAGCATACTAGCTAACATGGTGTGCTCAGAATGAGCATTGCGTGTGGAAGCCTTTGGCCCAGTCTCTTGTCAAACAACAAGTCATCAGCCTAGTGGTTGCGACCTGGAAAGCAAGTCGTGTTGGTTTCCTAGCAATGTCACTGTGAACCTTCCATGCCAGGTGCCTGTAGAGTTATGTGGGAAAGGTACCAACTGCAATCATCATCAACCTCTATTACAGTCCAGAGACCCAACAAATCGTTACAAAGCAATACACAATTCATACAGCCTACCTGCGGGTTAAATAAGCATTTTATTCAGAATATAGGGATCATTGGTTCTTGCAACCACCGATAAAAACTTGGCCACTGCTAATGTTCTAGCCTTCCAATAAGAACCTGACATAGTGAGCCTCTGATTTTCCCGGGAAGGGTACCAGCAAGGGTAATATCAGTTCAGCCCTGGCTTGCTCATATTTTGCACAGTGCAACAAAATATGTTTTATGGAATTGATGTCTTGAGCACACGAGCAAAGTCTGTCCTGGTAGGGAACACCTCTCAACCTGCCATCCAACACTGCAGAAGGAAAGACGTTTAGTCTGGCTTTGGTGAAAAGCCTTCGATAATTTGGTACCGTCAGGTTTTTAATGTAAGATGTTAACTTAAAGACCAACTGCAATCATGGAGTAGTCTTCTTTAGACACGGCATCTTTATTTGGGATGTGCTAGGTAATAAAACTCAAATAGGACTGAGGCACGCAGTTGCTACATGCTACCTGCATTCCCCTTTTTCTGTTAAAGTAAATACATTTAAGCAGTGCATCCTGGGAGATACAGATGGGCACTATCCCTGACACACTGTGAGCGTGGGGAGGAATTGTACCAGCAAAGTACAAAATCCCAGTTCCACTACAAGGTAAGCTCTGCTGCTAAGAGGCTTCGCTTAACTTTTGTTGTTTTTTAAGATGTGCAGCGGCAAACTTGCAGAGCCACTGAAAGCTCAACTGTACCATCCATCTGCAGACATTTCTTCTTCATTAATTTGTATCCCACCTTTCCATACAGCTTCCATTCCCCGAATATGCAGAATAAGATGTTTTCCAGAAAGTTAAAATACCTGCAAAATATGCCCATTTGTATATTGCTATAAAATATCTGAGCTCCCTGTTCTTGGGGTAAAGGTAAAGGTAAAGGGACCCCTGACCATTAGGTCCAGTCGTGACCGACTCGGGTTGCGGCGCTTATCTCGCTTTACTGGCCGAGGGAGCCAGCGTACAGCTTCCGGGTCATGTGGCCAGCATAACTAAGCCGCTTCTGGCGAACCAGAGCAGTGCATGGAAACGCCGTTTACCTTCCCGCCGGAGCGGTATCTATTTATCTCCAGTGGTGCCTCGCAAGACGAAATTAATCCGTTCCGCGAGTCTCTTCGTCTAGCGGTTTTTTCGTCTTGTGAAGCAACCCTATTAGCGGATTAGCGCTATTAGTGGTTTAGCGGCTATTAAAGGCTTAGCGGCTTAGTGGCTAAAAGGCTATTAGCAGCTTAGCGGCTTAGAAAAAGGGGGGGGAAGCGGGGGAAAACCTCAAGACTCGCAAGACATTTTTGTCTTGCGAAGCAAGCCCATAGGGAAATTTGTCCTGCGAAGCGCATCGAAAAACGGAAAACCCTTTCATCTAGCAGGTTTTTCGTCTTGCGAGGCATTCGTCTTGCGGGGCACCACTGTACTTGCAGTTTGACGTGCTTTTGAACTGCTAGGTTGGCAGGAGCAGGGACCGAGCAATGGGAGCTCACCTTGTTGCGGGGATTCGAGCCGCCGACCTTCTGATTGGCAAGCCCTAAGCTTTGTGGTTTAACCCACAGCGCCACCCGCAAACCGCGTTCTTGGGGTAGTTATATTTAAAAGGTGGAGTGCATGTTGTCAGGTTGCATGTGTACATATTTCTACATAAACACATGGAAGATTTTGATTTGGGTTTCTTAATTATTATTATTTTCTAATTTTAAAAATCAAGATGAAACAAAAGCCTCTGCTTTGGGTCCAACACTATCATTAGGCAGAGTAAAGCAATCACTTCAGGTGGCTGCTGTGAAGGCCAGGGGCAGAGAGAGTGTAGGCAAAGAGTTGGGAGGATGGATATGTCTGTGCCACACACATTGCCCATCAACAAGCCCTCAGTTTGTGGTGGCTAGGGGACACTGCCAGTGTTTGTGTAAGATTCAACTCCTTCTTACATGGAATGAAGGAGGGTCCCATCTTGTCCCTCACCTCAAACTGCAAAATGTCTGAAATTACAATTCTATAAATCACAAATTAACAGTGCTGGTTTTTAAGTATTTCCAACCGAATCATTTAACTTAGCTTTTGAAATATTCATGTAAATAAATAGCTTTGTAATGAGTTGGCTCCTTTGCAATCTGTGGATTCATTCCTGCAAAGTTCATTATCTGGTGCCCAGATTCAAAGAGCTTGCAAATTCTACAAAGAAGTTAAGTGCAGGGAACAAGAAGGAATAATTCCTCATCGTATGATTTCATAATAACCTGCTTATTGATCCCAAAGTAATGGAGGGCATCTATTTGTGAACATGACAGAAATCCTTTTTCAATGCCAGTGCTCTGTAAACGAGTTTGACCTAGATGTGCATTCATTTCCCTGCATGGTTTATTTGTATTTGTAAAGCTGTCGCTGTTCAACTTTGGTTTTCCAAAGCCTGTTTGGAGAAGACATAGGATGATATTCAACCAAATTTCACTCAGATCCGTTGAAGTGAATGGGTCCCTCAGTCATGTTCATTCATTTCAGTGAGTGTACTCATGAGTAAAACTTAATTGAATACCACCCATAATTTCAAACCACCACCCCTGGAACAATTTTTATTTAATCTTTTGGTGAAACTTGATTGTAAGGTTGTTGCACTTGGATTTCCAAAGCATTTTATTCTGCTGATTACTGAGCAGTAACAGATCCTCCTAGTGTCCCTATTTTCCAGGGACAGTCCCGAATTTACAGAAGCCAATCCTGGTTTCTGATTTGATCCCGGAACGCCCTGCTTTTCCTTAGAATGTCCCTATTTTCATCGGAGAAATATTGGAGAGTATGATGTTACACTGCAATCCTATACAGGCCTACATAAATCCAATTGAGTTCAATGGGGCTTACTCCCAGGTAAATGTTTTGAGGATTACTACCTGGAGGTTGTAAGGGATGTGGGTGGCGCTGTGGGTTAAACCACAGAGCCTAGGACTTGCCGATCAGAAGGTTGGCGGTTCGAATCCCCGCGACGGGATGAGCTCCCTGCCAACCTAGCAGTTCAAAAGCACGTCAAAGTGCAAGTAGATAAATAGGTACCGCTCCGGCGGGAAGGTAAACGGCGTTTCCGTGTGCTGCTCTGGTTCGCCAGAAGTGGCTTAGTCATGCTGGCCACATGACCTGGAAGCTGTACGCCGGCTCCCTCGGCCAATAAAGCGAGATGAGCACCGCAACCCCAGAGTCAGCCACGACTGGACCTAATGGTCAGGGGTAGTTTTACCTTTACCTGGAGGTTGTAGTCAACTCACTCTTATTCATAGTAGACCCATTAAAATCAATGGTCTTAAGTTAGTCCTGGCCATTAATGTCAGTGAGTCTGCTCCAAGTCAAAGTTAAGTATACAACTCGGAGCCTCTTTTTAAAATCTTACCTATGTTCTCTCCCTACTTTGAAGCCACCAAAACCCTCAAAACAGTGGTTGGTACCTGTAGCCTGACATTTCCGCTGTCCATTGGTACTCGTGACAGCTGGCCATGTGCCCTTTAGGATTAGGTGTGGCTGACGCTGCATTGGAGATCATTTACAGGCTGACATTTCCACTTGTCATTTATTGGAGAGTGGGCGGGGTGTCAACTTTGAAAGGCAACGGCAGAGGGCTACAAGGAGCACTCCGGACCCGGCTGTGGCCCCTGTGGCAGGACAAGGAGGCACCGAAGACCAAGGGCATTTCCCCCATCTTTAAGAAACTCTTCTTGTTGACTTTCCAGCCCGGAGAATGTCGCACACAATGGTAAAACATGAGCACGCTGACAAGATGGGGATTGGCAAGGCCATCGCCGTGTTGACATCTGGAGGAGATGCCCAGGGTAAGTGGACTGGTTTCTGGTGTGTGTGTGTGTGTGTGTGTTGTAGTGTTGGGGGTTTCCCTTTGTGGTCTGAGAAGCTAATGACAAAAAAGCCAATAGGCAGAAGTCACCAGGAAAGGGCTTTCATGTCTGGGCACTTTTTAGCATCCAGATTTTCCCTACCCTAAACTTGGTAAGATAACTCAAGTGGAACTGGTCTCGGTTGCAAATTGTAACAGGTAAATGTCTTTCCTTCATCCTGCCCTGCTTTGTGCATTTCCAGAAGCATCTAACTGGCCATTGTTTGAAGCCGAATGCTGGGCTGGATGGACTTTTCATCCAGTAAGGAGCAGTTTTTTCATTCTTTTCTATTCTGTCTCCCCTTCTTTGACTTTCTCCTCCCACACTGCCTCCAGCCTTTCTCCTCAGTAGTTCTCTGCCTTCTTGCTGAATACTTTTTTCTCTTTGATATTATTTGTATTGCCTTTTTTTTTAAGAGCCTTGAAAGCAATTTGTGGCTCATCAACCACAATTTGTCCACCTACCACCCCCATCCTGCAAGCATTTCCTTAGCAAAATGAGCACTCACATAATCTACCCTCAGGTGTCTTGAACCATCATTTCTTTGCTGTTTCTCCTATACTCTTACAAAGTCTGCAGTTCTGCATCTCTTCCTGATCTGGGTTTGCCTACATCTATGTCTGTTGATTGATTGGGGATGGGGGCACTGTGGTGTGAACAAATGCTATGCAATGCTTTAAAAAAAAAATCCCCTCCAAAATATTTTTATTAGTTTTCAATACAGCAAAATACAGGTGCTTTTTTCAAACATGTTGACTTGTCAAGTTCTTCAGCAGACGATTCCTTATTTTCTTTTTCCTGACCTTGAGACACACACACAGAGAGAGCTCTGTTTTGTTTATCTGCACTCATATATCTTCTCTTGGTGTCCAAATCCCGTCTTAGTTTCAAGATGGATTTTTTTTTTTTTAAATGCATACAAGCTGTTGACAGCATTACGAGTGAACATATCACTTGGCAGAGAATTATAAATAGAAAAAAGGCCATTCCTGCCTCCAGGGACTTGCAATTTCATTTAATATTGTATTTTTAAATTGTTGTACCCTTATGGTGAAGGGTGGGTAAGAAATGGAAATACTACTGCTACCAATATAGAAGGGTATATTTTTATTTATTTGTTTGTTTGTTTTTCTATATCACCCTATACAGTCATACCTCATGTTACGTCTGCTTCATGTTACGTTCTTTCAGGTTATGTCCCACTGCGACCCAGAAGTACTGGAAAGAGTTATTTCCGGGTTTTGCCACTCACAAATTGACGTCACGCGCATGCGCAGAAGTGGCAAATCACAACCCGCACGTGCACAGATGCGCTGCTGCGGGTTGCACTCTTTTCATGGTGCGATCGGGCCTCCGGAACGGATCCTGTTCACAACCAGAGGTACCACTGTACCTGAAGGTCTCGGGGCAGTTCACATAAAACATAAAATACATAAAATCAAAACAAAACCAACAACCCAATAAAAAAACCCCAAAGAGCTAGCATCTTTAAAAAAGGGTATAGGATGTAGATCAAGTCAGGCAAAGGCCTGGTTGAAAAGGAACATTTTTGCCTGGTGCCTAAAGGTGTATAGTGAAGGCACCAGACGAACTTCCCTGGGGAGAGCATTCCACAGACGGGGAGCCACTGCAGAGAAGGCCCCGTTCTCCTGTTGCCACCCTCTGGACCTATTGAGGAGGAAGCACACAAAGAAGGGCCTCAGAAGATAATCTAAGGGTCTGGGTAGGTTCACATGGAAAGAGGTGGTCCTTGAGGTATTGTGGTCCTGAGCCATTTAAGGCTTTATAGGTCAAAACCAGCACTTTGAATTGGGCCCGGAAACTAATCGGTAGCCAGTGTAGTTGGACCAGGATTGGTGTACAGTGGTACCTCGGGTTAAGTACTTAATTCGTTCCAGAGGTCCGTTCTTAATCTGAAACTGTTCTTAACCTGAAGCACCACTTTAGCTAATGGGGCCTCCTGCTGCTGCTGCGCTGCCGGAGCACGATTTCTGTTCTCATCCTGAAGCAAAGTTCTTAACCTGAAGCACTATTTCTGGATTAGCGGAGTCTGTAACCTGAAGCGTATGTAACCCGAGGTACCACTGTAATATTTTCAGACCGTCTTGCTTCGGTGAGCAGCCTGGCTGCTGAATTCTGCACCAGCTGCAGTTTCCAAACCATCCTCTATATATATCTGGGTATAAGGCGGTATATAAATTCAAATAATAATAGTAATGATGATGATGATGAGAATGGGGGAGCTAACAGGGAGGAAAGGAAAATAAATGAAAGGCTTGCAACGAAGAAATACTTTGGGTGGGGTTCACCTGAAGAACCCCATCAGTAGACAGGTACACAAGGATTTGGGGGCCCCTTATATGCTCCCTGAAACTGACTCTCCTGACCCCAACCTCAGAACAGTGCATGGAGGGGTGTTGTTCCATCTGGCAAGCTAGAATACTGGTACAGGCAAAAGATTTGTGGGAGTACCATGTTGAATTCCACCCACTGTTACTAAATCACTCAGTGTGACCCAGGCTAGGACTTTCTCTCATACTACTTTGTGATGTGGTGTTGCCATTCTGTTGTGACTTTGTGGTGGTGGTGGAAGAGCTACTACTAATATGCAAGAGGCGGCAGGGTGTGTGTGTTCACATCAGATTAACTGCTGCTGTTGATCTGATGTGATAACTTGAGAGGCTCTTTGCAAAATGTGTTGTCACAATAACATGGCCTGGCAACATGACTTCACAAGGGCTATACTACATCACAAACCCACTGCCCATGCATGCAGCAGTTAAGTATGTATGGTTGTGGACAGGAGCGCAGTATGGAGAAGAAACCTAATCCTTGGCTGGTTTCCTGGAAATCCCAACTATGGACTTATATACCTGTAGTACAACTTTACTGGTATGTCCCGCGGAGGACATTAAGGTCCACAAATGACAACATTCTGGAGGTTCCAAGTCACAAGGTGGTTAGGTTGGTCTCAAGTAGGGCCAGGGTCTTTTCAGTACTGGCCCCAACTTGTTGGAACTCTCTGCCACAAGAAAGACTAGGGCCCTGCAGGACTTGACATCTTTCTGCAGGGCCTGCAAGACAGAGCTGTTCCGCCTGGCCTTTCGTTTGGACTCAGTCTGACCCTTATGTTTCCCTCCCCTTATGGTTTTGACTTTTAAAATGAGGCTGCATTTTAAATTGCATTTTAACCTGTATTTTAAATTGTTTTTTGTTTGTTTTTTCTTATTATGTTTTTACTGAAATTTTATTGATGTTAGCCGCCTTAGTCCAGCTCTGGCCGGGGAGGGTGGGGTATAAATAAAAATTATTATTATTATTATTATTATTATTATTATTGCTGGTGGATATTCTACACAGTTGTGGTGTTTTATGAAGGGCTGTTGCAGTCTAGACAGATGTCAAACAATAACTGCTGATGTAACCCAGAGGTACAGCTTAACATCTAACAGATCAAAGCATGGGCACATCTAGCTTCAAATGATAGGTGACAAAATGACCAGTTTGGTGCTAGTATCTGAGACAGATGCTCGCATTTGCCCTGTAGATAGGCCATACTTGATTAATGGACACATAAAAGGCTTTGAGAAGTCGTAGTCTCATGGTGGTAAGAAATGGTGGCCAATGCGATGCCTTCCAGATGTTGATGGACTACAACTCCCATCATCCCTGACCATTGGCCATACTGGTTGGGGCTGATGTAAGTCAACAGCATGTGAAGGGGCACCCTATATGCTGCTCTTCCCTTAAGGCATATGTGGAAGCAGAACCCAACAAAGCTGCAAGAGCTATGTGAAAGTGGTGATGGTTTTAAGGAAGGTCAAAGGGATGTATTTAATGGAAGGATGTTTCCGGCTCACTCCTGCATCTATCCTCAGGCTGCACAGTTGATGTGGTAGCATTATGCAGCCTTTCTATCTTCTTGGACTCATTTCTCATAACCCATCAGCCCCAGCCAGCGTGACCAATGATCAGGGAAGATGGGAGTCCAAAAACACCTGGAGGGCCATAGGTTATATACCTGGAGGGCAGCACTAGAGCCAGAAATGGATGGGTCCATTTCCACTCGCCATTTCCAGATAGGTCAATGGTTGCCTGCAAGTTATCCCCTACTACACAGTGCAGGGCCCTTCCTTTTTGTCCTTCAGATGATGGGGAGCCTAAGGGATTTCTGACTCAAAAAATGCTTGGTGTGTTGTCTCCTAGGGTGAATTTGGATTAAAAGAATTGGCAGGATTGGCAAGGTGGATGCAATGGCATAATACAAATGAAAAACCTAAAAGACGAATGCGAGAATGTTACATTAAGACCGATCTCAAAAATCTACTATGGATAAGTAAAAAAGGAGAAGAGGACATTTTGCAGAGGGGCATCCTATGTTATAAACATACGTTTAGAAATCTTGGACCAATATAACCAGTGTTTATTATCCAAGACCTCCCTATTGTCTTCTCTATTAGAAGGCAAATGGGTCACTTTTTGAAAAGGCAATTTGGACATTTTCAGATATAAAAATTAAGTAAGATGGAAGCCTATTAAGACTGGAAGAGTGTGCAGACCATTGAACAAATAGAAGCTAACTGTAACATAGAACCACCTTGATATCAGCATTTGGAAATAGGTCCTTTTTCGATAGGCTGATGAGAAGTCAAGAGATTTGGAGAGACGAGACTGAGTCTGAAACAGCACTAGAGACTAACAAGACAGGGCATTTCTCAAAGGTATATAAAACAGTTATCTAAAACACAGGAAAATAGCACATAACGACAGGATGAAATGAAATAAAGATAGGAGCAAAGCAATTCCATGAGATGCATGGCGATTTCTGTTTCACAAGGGTCAAAAAGCACTTCACTGATGAAATACAGTGGTGCCTCGCAAGACGAAATTAATCCGTTCCGCGAGTCTCTTCGTCTTGCGGTTTTTTCGTCTTGCAAAGCACGGCTATTAGCAGCTATTAGCGGCTTAGCGGCTATTAACAGCTTAGCGGCTTTAAGAAAAAGGAAACAAACTCGCAAGAACTCGCAAGACGTTTCGTCTTGCGAAGCAAGCCCATAGGGAAATTCGTCTTGCGGAAAGACTCAAAAAACGCAAAACCCTTTCGTCTAGCGAGTTTTTCGTCTTGCGAGGCATTCGTCTTGCGGGGCACCACTGTATTTTTCAGCTGTGCTGGCAAACGAGCAATTACACCACAGCAACAATAACCTATGCTGAAAGAGAATTGGGTGTAACAGATCCAGGGCAAAATCATTTGTTGCCGTTAAGGATTTAACCCACACAGAGAAAGAGGATATGGTCTTAGATCAATATTGATATATGTTTATGATAGATAAATGTTGATAGGTATGTGTAATGAGTAGGTAATGAGGTATATGTACTTGTGTATAATAATAATCATAATTTGAAGAAAGGTTTAAAAGCGTTGGGGGTTTGGCATCAACCTCAGCCTTCTTGTAGCCCAAGTTTTCCTCAGCTGCATCCATGATCACAGCTTGTCTGTGAAGCTGTCACAAGACTTAGAGAGGATTTTTTTGGTGGGGGGGTATGCAGTGGTATTGAATTACAGTCCCTCTCCTGGTGTGGTATATTTTGGAGCCAGCAAGCACAGTGGCCTGGCAGAGGGGGTACCTCAGGAACTTGTTTTAAATGTCAGCGGGTCAAAAATAAAATGTGCAAATCATCTGAGGGTAGGATCATGGGAGACTTGTGAGTCTGGATCAACAATACTGACCTGAGGCAGTAAGAAATAACACGTACGCCAAGGAGGCTGAGAGATAGAGTGGGTTTAAGGGTCAGATGATGCTATAATAAAGGCTCCACATCACACACTTACCACATTTATTTCTAAACAAACAAACAAATGCATTTCTAGACTGTCCACTTGCAAAAATCAGGGCAGCATACAACAGCATGAAAACATTTAAAAGCAACACGAAGCAATCATTAGAATGACTGTCTGCTCAAGGGAGATTTTAAGCAACGGCATAGGCCTCTTCAGGACATCACCAGTACCTCTATGTGGGCAGCACAGATATATGAGGAAACACAACAATTGTACATCAATGAAGCTTCAGTGTTGTAGGCTGGTTATAAATTGAACGTCACAGCAGCATCAAGGCCAGGCAAATAAGGCAGAGCTCTATAGAAATACAGGCACCTGCATCTAGGGATGTTTTGTTGTTGTTGTTTAGTCACTTAGTCGTGTCCGACTCTTCATGACCCCCTGGACCAGAGCATGCCAGGCACTCCTGTCTTCCGCTGCCTCCTGCAGTTTGGTCAAACTCATGCTGGTAGCTTCGAGAACACTGTCCAACCACCTCGTCCTCTGTTGTCCCCTTCTCCTTGTGCCCTCCATCTTTCCCAACATCAGGGTCTTTTCCAGGGAGACTTCTCTTCTCATGAGGTGGCCAAAGTATTGGAGCCTCAGCTTCAGGATCTGTCCTTCCAGTGAGCACTCAGGGCTGATTTCCTTCAGAATGGATAGGTTTGATCTTCTTGCAGTCCATGGGACTCTCAAGAGTCTCCTCCAGCACCATAATTCAAAAGCATCAATTCTTTGGCGATCAGCCTTCTTTATGGTCCAGCTCTCACTTCCATACATCACTACTGAGAAAACCATAGCTTTAACTGTACGGATGTTAGAAGGTGTCAATTTCTGTTCCAATCTGAGTTCATTGCAAGCAGCACTGTTTCCGTTCCACTTCAGTTTGGTTTTCAACAAAGACCACATTATTCTCACTGTCTTCTGTAGTGGAATTTTACATGCTTAATTGCACACTTAGTTACATGATTGTTACATTATTCCAAAACATTACTTTTAATGTAAAGAAAAAAACCATTCAATTTGGGGGGGAGTAATCAATTACTTGTTTTTCGTTTACAAACGACAACAGTGATTACTGATTATATTTGCGGGATTGATTTCCATTTCAGACATGGGACAAATAAATGAACATCGTCAACTTCTGCTCCCAATTCTGGTAAAATTCTCCAACATCCTTACTCCCATCTTCCCTCATCCACATGGTGCTTCTGCTCTGCAAATGGCAGCTTCCAAAATTTATTTTTTTTATTTAATGAAAATGTTTTCAATCTGCCCTTCATCAACACCAAATTGAAGTACAGAATTCAGAATAAGTACACTACAACCAACTAAGTCATAAAATAATAATATTTATTTATACATACATACAGTGGTGCCTCGCAAGACGAAATTAATCCGTTCCGCAAGAGTCTTCGTCTAGCGGTTTTTTCGTCTTGCGAAGCAAGCCCATTGACGGATTAGCGCTATTAGCGCTATCAGCTGTTTAGCGGCTATTAAAGGCTTAAAGGCTTAGGGATTAGCTGCTAAAAGGCTATTAAAGGCTATTAAAGGCTTAGCAGATTAGATAAAGGGGGAACAGCGAAACAAAATCTCCTGACTCGCAAGACATTTTCGTCTTGCGAAGCAAGCCCATAGGGGAATTCGTCCTGCGAAGCAACTTCAAAACGGAAAACCCTTTCGTCTAGCGGTTTTTCCGTCTTGCGAGGCATTCGTCTTGCGGGGCACCACTGTACATACATACATACATACCCTGCCTATCTGACTGAGTTTCCCCAGCCACTCTGGGCAGCTCCCAATCGAATATTAGAAACACAATACAGCATTAAACATTAAAAACTTCCCTACAAAGCTTATTCCCTAAAAATAAGCAGCAATGCACTCTAAAATATACCATCAAACAAATAAAATAGCTGAAAACAACAGAGCAGCTTAGAACAATTGTTAACAAAACTTACAATGTCTGGGCATATAACTAAGTATTAATCTGGTGCCAAACCTTGAGCAATGTGGGTGCTTGTCATACTTGTGAGGAGATTGGAGCTGTGAGTCACTAGTCATTTATGTTTCCTTTATATTCTGAATTAAGCCCCCAGTGGGTCTTATTAAATCTTCCCATGGCTTCTCCTGTGATTCAGTAAGAACTAGATATGGTTGGAACAGAATCAGATTCCCTTCAATCTCTCTGATTGTAAAGTAGAACAAGACAGAGCCCACTAAAATCTCCTTGGGTTTCATCTCAGATAAGTATGTAATTTATTTTAAAAAAAATTGTCCAGTAGCACCTTAGAGAACAACTACGTTTGTTCTGGGTATAAGCTTTCATGTGCATGCAGACTTCTTCAGATAGGGTATCTGCATATGGAATGCATGCACACGAAAGCTTGCTTCCAGAACAAACTTAGTTGGTCTCTAAGGTGCTACTGGACAATTTTTTATTTATTTCAACTGCGTCAGACCAACATGGCTACCTACCTGAATATGTAATGTATTGTTGTTTATACAATACATTAGCAAAGTGTAGTGCCTTCAGAAATGGTGTTGAACTACAGCTCCCATCAGCCCCTGCCAGGCATGACAAAAGCTGTGGTCTAGGAACACACTGTCTACCTCTGCAATGCTGTCATCCAGTTTGGTTGTGAATTGTGACCTCTCTTCTCCCTTTTCTCTGAACAGGCATGAATGCTGCTGTCCGGGCAGTGGTCAGAGTGGGAATATACACCGGGGCCAAAGTGTACTTTGTTCATGAGGTAGGTCATTTTGCTGCCTTTCTTTACTTGAGTAGGAATTGTATCTAAGGCCAGGTCGACTCATGGAGCAGAATGAGGTGTGAAATCCTGAGATAGCATATCCAATAGGGACATTCCATTCTAAAGCATAAAAGGTAAAGGGACGCCTGACCATTAGGTCCAGTTCTGACCGACTCTGGGGTTGCAGCGCTCATCTCGCTTTACTGGCCGAGGGAGCTGGCGTACAGCTTCCGGGTCATGTGGCCAGCATGACGTAAGTCACTTCTGGCGAACCAGAGCAGCGCATGGAAACACCGTTTACCTTCCCACCAGAGTGGTACCTATTTATCTACTTGCACTTTGACGTGCTTTCGAACTGCTAGGTGGGCAGGAGCAGGGACCAAGCAACGGGAGCTCACCCCGTCACGGGGATTCGAACCGCCGACCTTCTGATCAGCAAGTCCTAGGTTCTGTGGTTTAACCCACAGCACCACCCGCGTCCCATTCTAAAGCATAGAATGTCTCTGTTTTCTAGAGTGGGCTGCACCACTTGAAGCCTCAGGGGGCTGCAGTTTAACCATTATTGAACTTGCACTCGTGTAAAATTCCTGCAAGCTAAACGCACGCGCACACACCAGAGAGGAACTTTCAAGCTCCATCTCTTCCCACCTGTACTAGGTTTCCACTTACTCACAGTGAGCTTTTTCTGCTGGAGAGTATTCACAAATACGATGCTGCATCTTCAGACCCAAATGGTATAGTCCATTCTTCCACCTCATTCTACTGCAAATGGGTTTATTATTTTGTTAACTCTGCTGCTGATTGCTGCTGTTCGACCAAACAGGACTATTAGAGTTGCCATAGGTTGCATAGCAATGGTAATGCCAGACCAACTACTCTGGTGCCCCACAGACCCTATGCAAGGAGCGTCTCCACCCCCATCAGTCTACCCAGACACTGAGGTCCAGCACCGAGGGCCTTCTGGTGGTTCCCTCACTGCTAGAAGCCAAGTTACAGGGAAGCAGGCAGAGGGCCTTCTTGGTAGTGGCGCCCGCCCTGTGGAACGCCCTCCCATCAGATGTCAAGGAAATAAACAACTATCTGACTTTTAGAAGACACCTGAAGGCAGCCCTGTTTAGGGAAGCTTTTAATGTTTGATGCATTACTGTACAGTGGTACCTCAGGTTAAGTACTTTCTTCATTCTGGAGGTCCATTCTTAACCTGAAACTGTTCTTAACCTGAAGCACCACTTTAGCTAATCGGGCCTCCTGCTGCCGCTGCGCCGCCAAGGCACGATTTCTGTTCTCATCCTGAAGCAAAGTTCTTAACCCGAGGTACTATTTCTAGGTTAGCAGAGTCTGTAACCTGAAGCGTATGTAACCTGAAGCGTATGTAACCCGAGGTACCACTGTATTTTAATATTTTGTTGGAAGCCGCCCAGAGTGGCTGGAGAAGGCCAGCCAAATGGGCGGGGTATAAATAAGTTGTTGTTGTTGTTGTTTGTTGAGGTGCTTCCTGTTCCATGTTGCTACAGTAGCTAAAGGAGCTGGAAATATCCCGAGGTCAAACAATGCACCAGCCTGGCAGTGTACAAGGTGCAACTGCATCTTGTCCTTAACATTCCTTCTTCAGAATAGTTTGCTGTAGCAGCAGCTCACAGCTATGGTATCTCTATCTTCTTGAGTTAACCAGCTCTAGAGGAGATGGAGGCTCAAAAAGGCTTCTCTTTTTAAATAATCTCTTCTGACTTTTGTTTCAGGGCTATCAAGGGCTTGTGGACGGCGGTGACAATATTAAGGAAGCAACATGGGAAAGTGTGTCTATGATGCTGCAACTGGTAAGCCGGTCCCTTGGATTTTGTCCCTCAGGGTGTGAGAGGCTTCAGAGCTGTCCTCCTTACCCTAGGTGTCACCAGTGCTAAGATTTCAGGGTTTTATGGTACTACAGAACCACCTGGTGCCCCCCTGGTGCTTTCAACCGTTTATTCATTTCATAAAATGTATATACTGCTTTGTTTAAAAAAGCAAAGCCGTAAATTCTCCAAGTGGATTTAAGAAAAAGAATAAAACGATGAATTATCAGTAGAAAAAGAACAGTTAAAAACAGTTATTTAAAACATCCCCCCCCAAAAAAAATAATTAAAATCAGTGTTAAGCTAAAGACCAAATTAAAACACATGTCAACATTCTACATATCTGGGTTGGCTTGCCTAAACCAGAAAGTTTTTAGCAAGTGCCAAAAAGAATGAATGGGACCATAGTGAAGAATGAGTATTATGTGGTAACGATAACTCCCTTCATCTCTGACTATTGACTCTGCTGGCTGAAGTTGGTGGGAAATGTAGTTCAAAACACCTGGAGGGCACTAGGTTGGGAAAATGTTATGTACTGAATTGAATAGGACCCAAAATGCAGCAGTCTGATTGGTCCACAGGAGCTACCCAATCCAGCTCCAGGTGGAAGTGAACCCGCAACCTGATTGGCCTACAGGAATCCCGGAATTAGCCAATCACGTGGGGTCCTTTGTGTAAATAATGTATATAAAGCAGACATTCTGGGGGAACTTCCATTCCTCCTCACCACTATGAGCTGAATAAAGAGCATGAAATCCACTCTCGACTCCGAGTATATTTCAAGAAAGCTGCTATAGAATTAGGGCATGGTTTGCATTTCAATGGGTTGGATCCAGACATGCTCAGCCAAGTTCTACTTGCACTGGTGAAAGTGGGCGGGTTGGTGGGTTGCTGTTTTGTTATTCCTTCTTTGCCTCTGCAGTCCCCTGTGCCTCCATCAAATCTGCCCCAGGGGTGTTTTTTTGACAGGGGAATAAGGTTTACTTTATTTTATTTATTTTTATTTTATGGACACTATACATGACATACCGTATTTTTCGCCCTATAGGATGCACCGGCCCATAGGACGCACCTAGTTTTTTTGGGGGGAAATCAAGGGAAAATTTTTTATTCCCCCCCCCCCCAGGGTTGCGCCGCCATCCCCACGCTAGAAGAGGGAGACGGAGCGCTCCGTCTCCCTCTTCTGCCTTCAGGGACAGCCTCTCTAGCCTCTGTGGGGCAGCGGCTTGCCCCGCTGTCCCCCGAGCTTGTGGGGCTGGCCGGGGGGAGGAGCAAGCTTGCTTCTCCCCCGCCAGCCTCCAGGCCAGGTCGGGGAATAGCGGGGTGGCGGCTGTCCCCCGAGCTTTTGGGCTGCAGGCTGCTGCCCGCAAGCCTTGCGAGCCCGCGGGACCTCCCACCGGGCTTGCAAGGCTTGCGGATAGCTTCCTGAAGCCTGGAGAGCGAGAGGGGTCGGTGCACACGGACCCCTCTCACTCTCCAGGCTTCAGCGAAGCTTGCATTCGCCCCATAGGACACACACACATTTCCCCTTCATTTTTGGAGGGGAAAAGTGCGTCCTATAGGGCGAAAATACGGTAATCCCCAGTGGGATTTTAATTTTAACCTTGTAAAAATATCTTAAACCACTGGAAATATCAAAGTGTTCAGTGTTATTTTTTATATATATAAAAAGGTTATTCCTTTCCTCTTTGAGACGTTCCTTTGCTCCATCTCCAGTTTGAGGAAAGTCACTGGCTGGTTGAGTGAGGGGCTCCTGTCACGAGGAAAATTATTGTAACATCTTGACCTTTTCGCCAGTTGGGGTCACTGGCAAAGTCGTCCATCTTAAGTGTAATGATATTGCCATAGCTGGGGTCACAATGAATGCCTGAGACCCAAAATAACTCGAAACCTGAGCTGACCTTTGCTTGCAGCCATACTTGCATGAGTCGGGGCTTTTTGAATTTCATAAACAAGAATTGCAGAGGATTCTGGTCTGGCCACAACTCTCCCTAGGCATCCAGACTGTAGAGATAGAGGATCACATGTAGCAAACATGTATTACCTCTCCCAGTGTATCTTTTTTTTTTTTTTTTGTTGTAGAAAAAGAAGTGTCAGGACTCACCATGAACAACTCCCTTGTTCTCTTATTAAGGCAATGGTGCCCACCTGAGAGGTGCCAGAACTGTGTTCCGGCTGAAAAAATGCCCTGATCTCTCCTCACAAACCCTTTACACATAACGGTTAATTGGGTGAAATTCTCAACTACAAAAACTCTTCAAACTGTTGCAGCTAATGGATTTTGGTGATGGTGAAGATGCCTTGATCTTTGTAGTGAGGAGGATTAATTTGGTGGGCAGAGAGGTGTGGTATTTTGGAGCCCTCTTTCTCCTGAATCAGGAGATCAGGCTGGCCATTTTCCTCAAAAGAATGAACCTGAGAATTAGAGGCATAGCTGTCAACTTACAGATTTGAAAATAAGGGACCAGCAGCCTCGAAAATAAGGGATCAGCAGCCAAAATAAGGGATTTTCAGAGCACAGGTATGTTCAACTTCTGAGCCCCTCCGAGCCAAAGGCAGAAAGCCCAGCCAGCAGCCAAACAAAGCCTCAAGCGGTGGTTCCCACAGCGCAGCAACCCGGCAAAGGGGCTGCAGCAAGGGAAACCACCGTCGCCTCTCCGCTGGGAAGCACTGAGCAAAGGCGAGTCCCCAGGCAACGCGGCCAATTTGATCGGCACAAGGCATGCAAGCTCCACCCCCGTTCTTAGACTCCTTATTGGGTGAGCAACGCAGCCACAGCAACACAGTTGGAGCCTCCCTCCTCCCTGGCTGGCAGGGAGGGAGGGAGAGGAGCTGCTTCCTTTGAAACCTGGGAAATTGAAGGGACATCATCAATAAGGGACAGCAGCGGGACACAGCGCTGGGATAAGGGAGTTTCCCGCCAAATAAGGGACGGTTGACAGCTATGATTAGAGGTCATAGCTTTTCTGGGCATTGCCTCTTTTTGGAGTACCTTGGGAACTGTAGTTGAGTGGAGTGGGACTTGGGATCTGTTTACCTCAATAAATAAGCTCCAGGGCAAGCCCAGCCATGAGGCAAAGTGAAGCAGCCACCTCAAATGACAGATAGGGTGTCAGGGAGAGAGTAATGGAGCCAGGCCTAAGTCTCCTAAGCTATCCTGTTTCCCTGATAGTGTTGGATGCTATGCTGTTGTTAACCAGTTACCCTCTCTCAACCTAACCTACCTCACAGGTGTGTTGTGAGGAGAAACTGGGAGAAGGGGGAGAATGATGTTTGCTGCCTTGACATCCTTGGCAGGAGAGATGATGAACTTTTGCTTGCTCTTCTGGAAAGATGTCCAGCAGTGCTCCGTGTGGATCAACTTATTTTTAATACATATTTTTATATATTAAAGTTATACACGATTCTGCAAAATACAGTGTTATCAAATAGGATCTGATGGCAAAATGCATAGTCCATGTAGAATCGTAGAATTGTAGAGAGTTGGAAGGGACCCAAGGGTCATCTAGTCCAACCCCCTGCAATGCAGGAATCTCAGCCAAAGCATCCATGACAGATGGCCATCCAGCCTCTGCTTAAAAACCTCCAAGGAAGGAGAGTCAACAGCCTCCCAAAGGATGTTCCACTGTCAAACAGCTCTCACTGTTGGAAAGTACCGTATTTTTCGCTCCATAAGACACACTTTTTTCTTCCTAAAAAGTAAGGGGAAATGTCTGTGTGTCTTATGGAGCAAATGTGTGGTCCCTGGAGCCGAATTGCCCAGGGGCAAAAAGCAGATCATGCTGTTTTTTGATAGAGGGAAGTGGGTGTTGAAACAAAGCCGCTGATCGTTTGCCAATTGGGGGGAGAGATAAGGGACGCTAGAGATAATTTATAATTTCCTTTATGGAGGCTGCCTGGGAGGGGAGAGGTAAAGACAGCAAACTTGCAAAGGGGGGAAGCAGGAAGACTAAAGCAATAAGGAGAGAAATTAGAAGAAAAGGAGGAGCAAAAAACTTCTCCATCTAAGGAAAAGACACTAAGGCAAACAAGAAGGAAGGGAGTGTTGAAAGGAAACAGCTGATTGGTGGGATCAGAAGAGAGATAAGGGACGCTAGCGGAGGCTGCCTGGGAGGCGGGAGGTAAAAGCCCATGGATCCTCAGGATTTTTACATTGGGTCACCCCAAATTCACCATCAGATCACATAGCATGTCCATGGCTACAGCCTGCACCAAAAAAACCACCCACCCACTGTTGCGTGGGGCCGCAATGGTGTAAAAACGTGGTTACAAAGCACGGATCCACATGGATCCTCAGGATTTTTGCGTTGGGTCACCCGAAATTCACCATCAGATCACATGTTTGTGGCCACAGCATGAACCACAAAAATCATATATCCCCTGTTTCATTCAGAATATTATTTTTTCTTGCTTTCCTCCTCTAAAAACTAGGTGCATCTTATGGTCAGGTGTGTCTTATGGAGCGAAAAATACGGTACTTCCTGATGTTTAGTCGAAAACTCCTTTATTGAAATTTGGAGCCATTGGTTCGAGTCCTACCCTCCAGACCAGGAGAAAACAAGTTTGTTCTCTCTTCCAGGTTGACAGCCCTTGAGATATTTGAAAATGGCTAGCATATCAATAATAGTTCACTGTTGAACAAATACAGACATAAAATAAAACCAAAATAAATAAACCACAGGTATGTGAATGTGTGGAAGGTAGCGACTAAAACTATTTATACCCATTGTTCCCAACGTGGGGCACATGCCCCACAGGGGTGCAATTTGATTTTGACGGGGGCAATTCGAGAATGAGTTAGACCAAGTTAATGGCTTTTTAGGCTTCTTCCACATGAATAGGAGTTCACTTTTTGAATAATAAGAATTATATGTCACAGGATTTAGAGATGCTTAGGTGGGGCATGGCCCCAAAAAAGGTTGGGAACCACTGATTTATACCATAGACACAATGGTTAAACAAAGCAAGGTTGCAAAATATGGACCCTTTTCTACCAATAGAAAGTAATTAAAGTATTCAAAAGTATTTGTTCATGGGCCGAGGGGGACCCCCCCCCCCCATCTGAAGCAGCTTTCTTGTCATGGTACTGTCAGGGAACTGACATCGTAGCCAGAGGCGGAGGCTAGGCTCTCAAGCGATGCTGGAGAAGGGCCCAGCAGGGGGAGAGGCGGCTCACCAGCTGGGGAAAGAAATCAGCGTAACACCAGGGATAAAGAGGGGCAGATGGGGGAATCGGCGAGGGGGCTCCAGGACTCCTCGCTGGAGATCAGCGAGGAGAGCACGGGTCCTCCGCTACCCACGCCCTCCCTGCGCAGAAGACTTCCGCGCAGGGAGAGTAGGAGGAGACTTGGAGTCAAACAACTTTTATGCTGGAAAAGGTTTAAGAAACGCCCACTGACGGATCCTGCTAGCGACTGAACAGCCACGAAGTGCAGGGCTGTCCAGACAGAAAAGGTTTAACAAGGCAACCTAGCCAGGAGTGGCACCAACTTGCGCACGAGCAACCCCTACATTTATTACAGGTACCTATGACCTAAAGTATTTTTTCCTCCCTTGGTTTTTTTCTTCTTCCAGATTTGCTTGAGGGACTCCTCTCTCTCTCTCTTTTTTTCAATTTTTTAAATTGGTTTTCACAACATTATAAACAAACAAACACACAAGACAAACAAACATAAATCATAGCCTTATTGAAAATTACACTTATCAACATTGTTAAGTGACTTCCTCGCTTCCCCTTGGTTGAATTTCATTGCATATCCTTTTAACGGTTTTCCAAATCACAGTTCTTATAAAATTTAACTTAAACATTAACATCCTTAGATCTTCACATTATGAAATTAAACATATTAATTCATCCCTTAACATAAATAAAATCCTAAGCCAATTAAGTATCTGCAAGCTGTTTTCGGTTAATTTAACTTAACATGTTTAACTAAGTAATCATTAAATTTAATCCACTCTTCCTGATACTCCTCCTACTTCTGGTCGCGAACTCTTCCGGTTAGGTCAGCTAGCTCCGAAAAATCCATCATCTGCATCTGCCATTCTTCTATCGTTGGTAATTCTTGGGTTTTCCACTTTTTAGCTAACAAAATACGAGCAGCAGTTGTGGCATACAAAAATAATTTAACATCTTTCTTGGGCAATTCCAAACTTGTTATTCCCAGAAGAAAGGCCTCTGGTTTCTTTATAAATGTATATTTCAACATTTTGAGGGACTCCTTCTCTTGATCATAGCAGCACCTAAGTTAGGCGGCCATAATGTTGTCTTCCAGCTCTCACCTGGTTTGTCCCCCTCACCTAGGGTGGCACCGTCATTGGGAGTGCCAGGTGCATGGACTTCCGTGCCCGCGAAGGACGCCTGAAAGCTGCTCGCAACCTGGTGAAGAGAGGAATCACAAACTTGTGCGTGATCGGAGGAGACGGCAGCTTGACTGGAGCGGATACCTTCCGAGCGGAGTGGACCAGTTTGCTGCAGGAGCTGGTTAAGACAGGTATTGCCAAGGAGGGCACTTAAAAACTGAATGCTACAGTGAGGGGGGGGGGAGTATTTGATCCCCTGCTAAATTTTCCCGTTTGCCCTCTGACCAGTCCATAATTTTAATGGTAGGTTTATTATAGCTGTGAGAGACAGAATAACAAGAGGAAACCCCCCTCCCAGAAACCCAGAAGACAAAAGTCAGAGATTGATGTGCGTTATAATGAGTGAAATACGTATTTGATCCCCTGTCAAGCAGCCAGATGTCAGGCTACCTGGTATCTTCGCTGTATGTAATGAGCTGAGATTAGAAGCACCTGCTGTAAGGTCCCAGCTCATTACAGTAACTGTACAAAAGACACCTGTCAACAGAAGCAATCAATCCACCATGTCCAAGACCAAAGAGCTGTCCAAGGATGTCATTAAAATTATGGACTGGTCATTTCTTCGTCGGAGGGCAAACGGGCAAATTTAGCAGGGGATCAAATAATTTCCCCCCTCACTGTAAGTCCCTGTGCTGGTGAGAGTTGGAATCCAACAATATTTGGAGAACCTCATCTTAGCCACCCTTGCTCTAACCTGCAGGATAAAAGGAGAATATGCAGAACGTTTGCTTTCTTATTAATAGATTTAGGCTAAGAGTGAACTTGCAGGGATGGTGTAATTATATCATATGCTGGTATTCCACTGGTTCTTTGCATAATACCTCCCCAGGTGGCATCACGGCAGAAGAAGCCAGCAAGTCTAGTTACCTAAACATTGTTGGCATGGTTGGGTCTATTGATAACGACTTTTGTGGCACTGACATGACCATTGGCACGGACTCCGCTCTCCACAGGATAATGGAAATAGTGGATGCTATCACCACCACTGCTCAGAGGTGAGACTTGTGGGCATTGTGCCTTTGATTTCTACAGTTCCTGAATGGCACCATGAGAATGTCTTTCTGTAGCTTGAAGAAAGAGAAGAAAACAAAGTCCTAGCCCTTAAGACTAGGCTTGAAAGTATATATAGACAGCAGTTGCAGAGCAATCGCAGAAGCTCTTTGCCCTTCCTCATGCAGAAGCATATAAAATGGGAAAGAATATATTTGCAAAGACAGGCAAAATTTGGCTCAGTTTGCCTACTCTCTGTTGTAGAATTTTTAAAAAATACAGTCATACCTCGGGTTGAAGTTGCTTCAGGTTGAGCGCTTTCGGGTTGCGCTCCGCGGCAACCCGGAAGTAACGGAACGCATTACTTCCAGGTTTCGCCACCTGCTCATGCGCAGATGGTCAAAATGACGTCACGCCCATGCGCGGAAGCGGCAAATCGCGACCTGCGCACACGCATGGACACGGGTTGTGTTCGCTTCAGGATGCAAACGGTGCTCCGGAACGGATCCTGTTTGTACCCAGAGGTACCACTGTATTTTCTTGTTCTCTCTCTCTCTCACTCACACACACACACACACACACACAAAAACCCCCTACCCTTATCTATTTAAGATATATATACATTGGTACCTCGGGTTAAATACTTAATTCGTTCCAGAGGTCCATTCTTAACCTGAAACTGTTCTTAACCTGAAGCACCACTTTAGCTAATGGGGCCTCCTGCTGCCACCGCCGGAGCACGATTTCTGTTCTCATCTTGAAGCAAAGTTCTTAACCCGAGGTACTATTTCTGGGTTAGCGGAGTCTGTAACCTGAAGCGTATGTAACGTGAAGCGTATGTAACCTGAGGTACCACTGTATAAACTAAACAAGCTATAGCTTAGGCCCCCCCAAAAAAATTAAAGGGGAAAAAAACCTGGATGTACATATCCAAAATGTAAGATAAAAAACAAATAAAATAAAACCTACATACAGCAACAGTGTTTTGTGTTGTGTGGGCTTCTATTTGTTATGTGCAAATTGCTTTAGATACCTGTTAGGTCCATAAATTACCACATAGCCTATATTCAACACAAAAAACAGTGACAATTTGTTGTTGACAAAGGACAGCTGGACATATAAAGGGACCCATTACATTCCGTAGCTTAGGGCCTCATCAAACCTAAATCCGGCCCTGATCCCACCCTCCTTGGGGGGCGTGTCCCTTGTGCCCAACCTGAGTGGCAGTAGCATACACTCCACCACTGCTTGTACATGTTTTAAAGAGGTATTTTGAGGGCCTTCTTGGTAACAGCTGAAGTGACCTGGGACTCTCTTTTTTTCTGAGAAGAGCCTGTGCAATCCCTTGTCTTTCTAATTATGTGAGAATCTGTGTGGATAGTAGTATTAAAAAAAAAGGAAAACAAAAAGGAAAACAAGAACAAACATTCGCAGTTAGAAAGCTAGTTCCAAGATGTGGAATGATGAGCAAATGGCACAAACTGAAACTATCCCTAATTTTTCCCTACATACAAAACTTAAATCTTTTCTGGAATGTTTAAAACATTTCTTTAAAAAAATATACTCACAATGCTTTATTATTTGTTTTGCCTTGCAGTCACCAGAGGACATTTGTGCTGGAGGTCATGGGTCGTCACTGCGGGTAGGAATTTCTGTTCTTGTTCCTCTCAAATGTCACGTTTTAAAATGCATTTTGATCATTTTTTTTTAAAACGGCGGTGCCAGAATCAATGAAGTGAATGATCTGAAGCAGACATAGGCAACCTTCGGCCCTCCAGATGTTTAGGCCTACAACTCCCATGATCCCTGGCTATGAGGACCAGTGGTCAGGGATGATGGGAATTGTAGTCCAAAACATCTGGAGGGTCGAAGGTTGCCAATGCCTGATCTGAAGAATAATTACATTCTGATCCACACACTAGCCGAGGAAGTTTCAGAAAGATCAAATTTTTCCAGTCCGAGTGCAGTCTGGGTTTCCAAAGAGAGAGGATGATATGAATCAGTCTCCAATCAGACCTAAGTAACCTTTAAGAAAGCACGTTCCCTGCTTGGATTTTTCAAGCCCTATTGCTAGGTTAAAATCTTGCACCAAATCAGTAATGGCTCATTGTTCGTCTTTTATCTCTTCCTCTAGTTACCTAGCCCTTGTAACAGCCTTGGCAAGTGGTGCAGACTGGGTTTTCATTCCAGAATCTCCACCAGAGGATGACTGGGAGGATCACTTGTGCAGGAGGCTAACTGAGGTAATAATAATAATCTTTATTGCGGTCCAATGACCCATAACATGGATTCAGAATAAAATACAGATTCATACAGACAACCCCCCAGGGAAGGGAGACGGAAGTGTTATTTGTTTGGTCATGGGTATGTTGATCTTTGATTCGTATGACTACTAAAAGAAACTTTGTCACGGCCACTGTGATATCATTGGACTTGTCGTCCAGAAGATATCTGATATAGTAGGCTTCCGATTGACTTTTTTTAAAATAATTTTTTATTAGATTTTTCACAGTGATAACATAAACCACAAAGCAAAATGATACACAAAAACAGAAAAAGAAGAAAGAAGAAAGGGAAAAAAAGAGGGGGGGAAAGGGGGAACAATAAACAGATAAACAATAACAACAAACTTAATTCTTCACAAATCTAACCTTTTAAACATCTTGGTTGACTTCCTCAAATCCCTCCCTTCTGAGTTTCCTTGTAATTAAAAGTAACAGCTTTCCAATATCATTATTAAACTAAAACAATTTCCAATTATAGTCCATCTTATTCACTTTTCTTAACATTCTAAATCCCATTTATTTATCGTATTTTTCACCCCATAGGGCGCACCTAGTTTTTTGGGGGGGAAATCAAGGGGAAAAAATTTATTCCCCCCCCCCCCGCAGCCATCCCCAAGCTAGAAGAGGGAGACGGAGCACTCCGTCTCCCTCTTCTGCCTTCAGAGACAGCCTCCCTAGCCTCAGTGGGGCAGCGGCTTGCCCCGCTGTCCCCCGAGCTTGTTGGAACTCCTGCCGGGCTCGCAAGGCTTGTGGATAGCTTCCTGAAGCCTGGAGAGCAACCCCTCTGCACCGACCCCTCTCGCTTTCCAGGCTTCAGCGAAAGCCTGCATTCACCCCATAGGACGCACACACATTTCCCCTTCATTTTTGGAGGGGAAAAGTGCGTCCTATAGGGCGAAAAATACGGTAATTATAACTTAATTTAATCCTGGGCCTATTTGTTTCTTTCAAGTAATTTCTATTTTTGATATTTCTAATTATATTTCTAATTTTTTATATTGGCTTCCGATTGATTTGCCAATAGTGGTTTAATCAATAGTTCCCTAGCTTGATCCTATTGTCCGCAATGCAATAGAATATGCCTCATGCAGTCGACGTTCTGAGAGCATACACAGATCCTATTTTGATAAGGGATACCTCTCGGTCTGCCGTTTAACACTTCTGATGGGAATACATTTAATTTGGCTTTGGTGAAAAGACGCCAATATGTTAGTACAGGCAAATTTCTAAGATATGCAGGTGTCTGAAACTTGAACCCATAGTGAATTCCATAGTGAATGGGCCACAGCTAACATGAGATTGAGATCGGAGATCACTATGTGCTTTGTCCCAGAACTTTGCCTCAGAGATTCAAGGGCGGTCTCATAGGAGAGAAGGTGGCATGCCAGTCGAAGTGGCTTTTCTAACCATAATTTTCATCCATAAGCTGGTAAACTCCTTGTTGTTCAGGTATGGAAGTAACCTCTTCCCTAGGCCAAAGACTGAGATCTTGAGCCAGTATCTCAGGGCTGTAATATGTTGATGCTGTGTACTGTATTGGCTGGAGAATGTTTAAAAAAGCAAATCAGTTGAAGTATTTGGAGTCAGTGAACGAAGTCTGCACCAAAACAATGGGGCACCCTCACAGGTCCTAAGCCACCTCAAGGGCCTGGTGAGCTGGATAAACTAGACAAACCTAGTGTAGCCTGAGTTTCACAGTCAGACCCTCTCTAGGCTGCACAAAACTGTCTCCAGCCTTGATGAAGGATATGGCAGCAGCAACTGAGCAGAGAAGAGTACCATGATTGATGGCACTGAAAGCTGTAGAGAGGTCCAGGAGAATCACCAAAGTTGGGTTCCCGGCAGCCTTTCTTGGCTGTCCAAGGCGGTTTCTGTCCCCAAACCAGGCCTGGAACATGGTTTAAAGTGGATCCAGTATACCTGAAGGAGCATCTCCACCCCCATCGTTCTGCCCGGACGCTGAGGTCCAGCGTCGAGGGCCTTCTGGCGGTTCCCTCATTGCGAGAAGCAAAGCTACAGGGAACCAGGCAGAGGGCCTTCTCGGTAGTGGCACCCGCCCTGTGGAACGCCCTTCCAGCAGATGTCAAAACGATAAACAACTATCTGACATTCAGAAGACATCTTAAGCCCTGTTCAGGGAAGTTTTTAACGTGTGATATTTTAGTGTATTTTTGGTTCTATGGAAGCCGCCCAGAGTGGCTGGGGAGGCCCAGCCAGATGGGCGGGGTACAAATAATAAATTATTATTATTATTATTATTATTATTATCTCTCCCTCTTTTCTTCTCCACAGACAAGAACCCGAGGCTCAAGGCTGAACATCATTATTGTGGCTGAAGGAGCAATTGATAAGCACGGCAAGCCGATCACCTCAGAAGACATTAAAAGTGTGGGTGATGCAATCCTGTTTCTGCTCGGAGCGTCTGTGTCAATGTTCTTTGGCCTAACATTGAGATTGAGCTGAAATACTCGCTGGGAGGCAGAATGACTGTCTCACCAGAGTCGTGCATGCTCTAGTTATCTCCTGCTTGGACTACTGCAATGCACTCTACGTGGGGCTACCTTTGAAGGTGACCCGGAAACTGCAATTAATCCAGAATGCGGCAGCTAGACTGGTGACTGGGGGCGGCCGCCGAGACCACATAACACCAGTCCTGAGAGATCTGCATTGCTCCCAGTACGTTTCCGAGCACAATTCAAAGTGTTGTGCTGACCTTTAAAGCCCTAAACGGCCTCGGTCCAGTACACCTGAAGGAGTGTCTCCACCCCCATCGTTCTGCCCGGACACTGAGGTCCAGCGCTGAGGGCCTTCTGGCAGTTCCCTCATTGCGAGAAGTGAGGTTACAGGGAACCAGGCAGAGGGCCTTCTCGGTAGTGGCGCCCGCCCTGTGGAACGCCCTCCCTTCAGATGTGAAGGAAATAACCAGTTATCCCATCTTTAAAAGACATCTGAAGACAGCCCTGTTTAGGGAAGTTTTTAATATTTAATGCTGTACTGTTTTTAACATTTGATTGGGAGCCGCCCAGAGTGGCTGAGGAAACTCAGCCAGATGGGCGAGGTATAAATAAATTAATATTATTATTATTATTATTATTATTATTATTATTATTATTATCCTGCACAGTTAAAAAGGGCGGGTTTGTACAACCAAAGGACTCAAAGAGTAACAAAAGCCTGGTTCTTCTTCTGTTGTCCAGTGAACTTTTAATTTTAACTTTGAAGGGATAGTGTCATTATTTTGCACCTCTCTTCTCTCTGCAGCTGGTTGTGAAACGCCTGGGCTATGACACAAGAGTCACCATCCTTGGACATGTGCAGCGTGGTGGGACTCCCTCTGCCTTTGATCGCATCCTGGTAAAAAGCAATGCAGTTTTGTTTCTGATGCTTCATATAGATGACATGCCTGTAAACAATACAGTGGTACCTCAGGTTACAGACGCTTCAGGTTACAGACTCCGCTAACCCAGAAATAGTACCTCGGGTTAAGAACTTTGCTTCAGGATGAGAACAGAAATTGTGTCAAAAGAGGGAGGTATGAGGAAGTCCAGAAAATAAGTAAATTTAAAAAAGGGAAATGAAAAGGTGATATTGTTTTTAATTGTTCTGTTTCTTTTTTGTTGTTGTTTTTTGTTTCTCGTTTTTGTTTTCTTTTTTTGGAATTTGTATTGCGTATTTGTGTATTTCTTTTTTATGTTTTTTCTGTTCAACTTTTTATTGAAACTTTAATAAAAATTATTTTAAAAAAAAAAAAGAGAACAGAAATTGTGCTCCGGTGGCGTGGCAACAGCTAAAGTGGTGCTTCAGGTTAAGAACGGACCTCCAGAACAAATTAAGTTCTTAACCTGAGGTACCACTGTACAGTGGTATCTCGGGTTACAAACACTTTGGGTTACAGACTCCGCTAACCTGGAAGTAGTACCTTGGGTTAAGAACTTTGCCCCAGGATGACAACAGAAATTGCGCAGCGGCAGCAGGAGGCCCCATTAGGTAAAGTGGTACCTCAGGTTAAGAACAGTTTCAGGTTAAGAACGGACCTCCGGAACGAATGAAGTTCGTAACCAGAGGTGCCACTGTATTGCATATTGGAGTGAGAGGCAGGAGGAGACATTTATAGTCCAGGTGTGGGGAACCTTTGGCCCTCCAGATGTTGCCGAACTACAGTTCCCATAATTCCTGGCCGTTGGCCCTGTTTGCTGGGGCTGATGGGAGTTGCAGTTCAGCAACGCCTGGCAGCCCCAAGGTTCCCCACGCTTGATGCACTCCCGCTGTCTCTAGGTTGTTAACTTCTCTGGAATTAATTGCCTGCCGGTGGGGAATGTTACACTTCTGTAGAAGGGCAAAGGGTCTCGTGACAGACTAGTTGAGGTATGAGCTTTCTTGGACTAGAGCCCATTGTGTCACGTTGTAAACTGTGGGGACAAAAGGCCACGAAATGCAGTCTCTCGCATTTTTCGGCAAAGTTTGACATGATAAGAACACTCAGTGGCCATTCACACAGCAGGAGGTAATTAGCAATAACATAATTACGAATTACTTATCACTCCCTCTAATAATGAACTCAGGTGGCAAGTGTTGGCCAGATTGGAGCCAAAATTAGGCCGCTGTGAAACAAGAGAGAAGTATTATAATAAATAATAATAATTTTTTATTTATACCCCACCCTTCCTGGTTCAGGAAACCGGGCTCAGGGCGGCTAACAACAAATTTAAAACACTTAATTGATGCTACAAAAAAACAGCATAAAATATGGTATAAAGCGTAAATAACAATAAAATCAAAAATCAAAAATCAATTTAGGGGGAAAATCCATCCAATAAACATTAGATGATCACCAGGGCTAGCTAGCTAAATTAGTCCCACTTGGGCCAGCGAGGAGGCCAGGGGAGAACCAGCTGTGGGATCCCAGAGCGGGAAATCTTCATAAAAAGGGGAGGAAAGGAAGGGGAACCAAAGATCAGGCCAGGTTCAAATTGAAAGCCAGGCGGAATAGTTCTGTCTTACAGGCCCTGCGGAAGGAAGTTAAATCTTGCAGCGCCCTGGTCTCATGGGACAGAGCATTCCACCAGGTCAGAGCCATCACTGAGAAGGCCCTGGCCCTGGTGGAGGATAATCTAACTTCCTTAGGACCCAGGACCTCTTAACTATGATTATTCATTGACCTTAAGGTCCTCTGCCAGGCATACCAGGAGAGGCAGTCCCGTAAGTACGAGGGCCCTAAGTACTGACATGCTCAGGTGTTTGCAGAAATACAAAAAAACCCCAAACCCTTTAAAAAAATCATTTTTCTGTTCTCCATCTTGCAGGGAAGCAGGATGGGAGTGGAAGCTGTCATGGCGCTACTGGAGGGAACTCCTGATACTCCAGCATGTGTTGTCAGCCTCTCTGGTAACCAAGCGGTCCGCCTTCCTCTCATGGAGTGCGTCCAAGTAGTAAGTATTGTTTGCTGGCATGTGCGTTTATGGGGGTGGGACAAGAAAATGCACCTCTTTATCCTAGCCTTTAAGGTATTTTGTTTTGCTGGGCCCCCACCACATTTGCTGAATGTATACTGTTCTGTTCCATTTGAAGTAGTTGTTTTCATAACAGTATATTATATTGTTGTTACCTCTCCTGGGACCTTATGGGCAGGTAAGAAATCAAAGACTTATAATTTGGCATAAAATTTGGACTGTTTGGTTGCATTATCATTTGGAATGTATTTAACGTGGATTTAAAGGTAAAGGTAAAGGGACCCCTGACCATTAGGTCCAGTCGTGACTGACTCTGGGGTTGCGGCGCTCATCTCGCTTTATTGGCCGAGGGAGCCGGTGTACAGCTTCTGGATTGTGTGGCCAGCATGACTAAGCCGCTTCTGGCGAACCAGAGCAGCGCACGGAAACGCCGTTTTCCTTCCCGCTGGAGCGGTACCTATTTATCTACTTGCACTTTGATGTGCTTTTGAACTGCTAGGTTGGCAGGAGCAGGGACCGAGCAACGGGAGCTCACCCCGTCACGGGGATTCGAACCGCCAACCTGCTAAGGATCGGCAAGTCCTAGGCTCTGTGGTTTAACCCACAGCGCCACCCGCATCCCCAACGTGGATTTAATTGGATTGTTAAAATGGAAAATTTAATAAATATTATTATAAAAAATAAAAAATACTATTTGTCGCTATTGTCTTCCTTCAACAGACTAAAGATGTCACAACAGCGATGAATGAGGGACGGTTTGACGAAGCTCTTAAACTTAGAGGAAGGTAAGTTGGAGCTACAATGTGAACAAGGCCTTCCGGGGCCTCCATGCAATTTATTTTTTATTCTTAGGAAGGGGAAGTGGCCGTAGCTCAGTGACAGAGCATCTAGTTTGCATGCAGTAGGTCCTGGATTCAGTCCTTCGAATCTCCAGGAAGGGCTGGGAAGGATTTCCTGCCAATCCCAGTCAGTGTAGACAGTCTTGAACTAGCCTAGGTTGGAAGGTTGCTTCCTTTGCTCCTAATAATTTGATTCACCCTGCAGGAGTTTCCAAAACAACTGGAATGTTTACAAGATTTTGGCCCATGTTCGCCCACCCTCTGCAAAGGTAAGGGGGGGGGGAAAGGGGCATACAATGGGAGAGAAGGCATAGCTCAGTGGTATGCTTTGTGTGTGTAAGTCCCATGTTTGATCCCTGGCATCTCTAAATAAAAGGATTCATGTAGCAGGCGATGGGAGAGACCCTTCTCTGACTGAGACCGCGAAGACCTGACCTTCTACGAGGCAGCTTCCTTTGTTTTGGTATAGACAGGTCTGCATATCCTGTTGAGAACTGCTTAGGCAGGCCGTTGTTGTTGTGTACTGAAGTTCTCACCCTGGGCCAGCAGGGGGATACTGTAGATAGTTATGCAAATAAGGGGTCGAAAGTGACGTTCAGTGATTGGATAGTTTTAGAAAATTGTTACAGTTACGTTGTACTGGAGCCCTGTATAAGCAGGCTGACTGAACCCTTCAGTTTAGTTCTGTTCTGGCCTGTGAATAAACAAGAGCTGTTTGAAGAATCGCTGTGTCGTCTGATATGTTCATCCACAACTTAACAGTTGTAACATGAGCTATCTTTCTTTTTAACCAGTCTGTATTTGTTTATTGGTGTTTTTCTGCTGATTTTATTCTCATGTGCCTGAAAGACCTACACTGGCTCCCAGTACGTTTCCGGTCACAATTCAAAGTGTAGGTGCTGACTTTTAAAGCCCTAAACAGCCTTGGCCTAGTATACCTGAAGGAGCGTCTCCACCCCCATCATTCAGCCTGGACACTGAGGTCCAGCTCCGAGGGCCTTCTGGTGGTTCCCTCCCTGTGAGAAGTGAGGTTACAGGGAACCAGGCAGAGGGCCTTCTCGGTGGTGGCACCCGCCCTGTGGAACGCCCTCGTATCAGATGTCAAGAAAATAAACAACTGACTTTTAGAAGACATCTGAAGGCAGCTCAAGTTTTTAATTTGATGTTTTATTGTATTTTAATATTTTGTTGGAAGCCACCCAGAGTGGCTGGGGAAACCCAGCCAGATGGGCGGGGTATAAATAATAAATTACTATATTATTGTTAATATTGGAGTACACACACACGCACACACACACAAATGTAATTAGAATTTTTATAAATAAATAAACCATCCTTGTAATGGGAGCAAAGCTGCTCTATGAAATTTCTGTCCATGTGACTGGCTCCTTCCATGGAACCCAGAATTCCCCAACAGGGTGTGCTTTGAAGCACATCCAAAACCCTTTCTGACGTCATCCCCAATCCTTTTCTTTCTCCGCAGAGCGGCTACAACCTGGCAGTGATGAACGTAGGTGCACCAGCAGCTGGCATGAATGCAGCCGTGAGGTCTACTGTTAGAATTGGGTTGATCCACGGCCATAGGATGCTGGCTGTGCACGACGGGTTTGAAGGCCTAGCCGAAGGAAAGGTATTTGTTTGTTTAACTGAGGGATTAATACTCTCTTCTAAGAGAGTTCCACAATTGCCAGTGGCTCAGGAAAGAGCTGCTTTGAGCTAAAGAAACCCTTTCGTCCATCCTTCCTCTCCAGATTGAAGAAATTGGATGGGGAGGAGTTGGCGGCTGGACTGGGAAAGGTGGATCGAGTCTTGGAACCAAAAGGTATTATGATGGGGAGAGGTGCATAGCTGTCAACCGTCCCTTATTTGGCGGGAAACTCCCTTATCCCAGTGCCGTGTCCCGCTGCTGTCCCTTATTGACGAGGGCCCTTAAATTTCCCGGGTTTCAAAGGAAGCAGCTCCTCTCCCTCCCTCCCTGCCGGCCAGGGAGGAGGGAGGCTCCAACTGTATTGCTTGGCTGCCCGCCCTGCCCCCCTCCGGCCTCCTCTCACCAGCCTTGGCCCCCGGGAGCCCCTCCCCACCGGGACTGGCGGGAGCCTTGGGCCCTTCTGCTGCCATCCTCCTCACAGCTGCCGAACTGAGCGTCTCTGCCTGGGGTAGCATCTTCGTAGCTTGGACTTCGTTTTGTGCGAAAAGTGGTTGCTGCTTGTAGTTATTTAATTGCAGTGTTTCATCAGCTTGAGCAGCAACCTCTGGAAACGAAGGGCTAAAAACCGGCGCTGCTCTCCAAAATTATCTGGTCCCTTTTAACTTCATATTTCAGGTGGTTGACTAAAATCCCTTATTTTGGCTGCTGATCCCTTATTTTCGAGGCTGCTGGTCCCTTATTGTCAAATCTGTAAGTTGACAGCTATGGAGAAGTGTCCATGGACGGATGTACTCTGTGTTTAAAATAAACACAGCTGCTAAGAAAAAATGAAGTGATAAAAATAATAAAAAAATAAACACATCTGGCAAACATAGCTGAGGAAAACTTTTTCCTGTTATAAAATTGAAAAAAACACATGTCCCTTTTATAGCTTTAAGCAGAGGTGGCTAACTTGTGGCCCTCCTGATATTCCTGGATTCCAACTCCCAATCAGTATGGTCACTGGTGAAGGATGATGGGAGTTGTAGTTCAGCAAAAAAACAAAAACAAACGTGGAAGGCAACAGGTTAGTCATCCCTGCCTAATTTTTTTTACTTTTAGAGTGTGGAAAAGACACTGGAGACAATTCTCCATATTTCTACAGGAGACATTGTACTCCTGGTTGGAAGAAGACAAGCTCAAGGCAGTGATTTGTGTAAGAATGTGCCCAGCAGCCTCCTCTGAGGCTGCTGCCTTTGTATATGGGTAGTGTGACTGGATGCTCCAATGATGCTGGATGCAGAGGCAAAACAGAATTACCTCAGTCAGCAGAGGCTGATTGGGAAGAGCAGTGACTCATGCAGAGATGCATCAGGCAGCCTCCCCTGAAGCTGGGAAGTTCTTCTGTGACTGCATCAGGAATATTTGAAAGCTCATATCATATCCTTTGCTGAAGCACAGCAGAATTGCCCGTCCCCCTGCAGAGGCTAACTGTCTGAAAACTGAGAGTTACTGGGGATAATGGAACTTTCTATGAGTGAAATCAAAAGGTACCATTGCCTGCCTCCCAAGACTTACTGAATCAGAGCGATTCCTGAATTCTCGGGGGTGTTTTTCTAGCTGGCATGGCCGGTGCTCCTTCCAAAGCCCTTGTCTTGCCATGGAAAGGTGAGATAAGTTTGGCTGTTGACAAGATCCCTCCTACGTGACCTCTTCATCTGTAGGGAGTCTGAAAGGCTTCTTGATTCTTTGAGGGGCTCCTGGCAATTCAGATGATGGCTGGGGCAGAGGTGGCACAGATGACAGAACAAGAGTTTGCCATCGTGTCTACTATGTGGTAGTGACGATGGTGGTGAAGAAAGCTTATTTCTCTGCTTCCTTTGCATCCTCAGCGAACCACTCAGCAAAGCATTTTCCAAGTGGAGAGTGGACTGGCTAAATCTAACCCAGTCTGAAAGCTGCAGTTGAGGCAGAACGCCACTTGCCAGGTTGTAATGTGAAGCAGCAAGATGAGATTATATCGTTTTGATCCTTAAAACTCTGTTCTGACTGCCTGTTAGCCACTGGGCCCAACCAAAGGCGTTGGCACCTTTGTCCAAAGCCATATAAAACTTAGGGCCCAAGGAATGTAAGGTGTGCCTTCGCCAGTACCTGCTGGCCTATGCTTTAAGATGGGCTGGGTTGTGTTAAGAATAATCTTGTGCATAATATAAAAAATACAAAGTGAGACACTAAGGAAATCCAAAGGGAAAATATGAAGAACAGAGGTTCTGACGAATGGATTATTAAAAACGCGTGAGGTAAACGGTGGAAGTCTTTTTTTAAAAAAACACACACACTTTATTTAAGGTAGATAAGGACAAGATGAAATTATACAATTGAATATAAATATAGATGGGAAACGGCTATGTATTGTGAGTACTTATCTACTTTCACCTATGATCTTTTTCTTTTACTTTTTCTTTTTTCGTTGTTCTTTTTTTCTTTTTTCTGATATCTTTCATTTCACTGCTTTATTGTGAATAGCATTTTATAGAGGTATAAATAAGTGTAAATATGAAAAGAGACAAAATATTCTCTAATTTTTTTCCTTGGTTAGATGTATTTTCTTTTTCTTTTGTATTTTCTTTTGTTGTGAATATGTATGTTTTCTAATTTGTACTTAATAAAAATATTTAAAATTAAAACAAAACACAAAAAAACAAAAAAACAAAAGATTGGCTGGGGTAGTCCTGTCAATGGTAGTGATGGTGGGGACAAGAGGCAGGGCCTTCTCAGTGGCAGCCCTCATCTGTGGAACTCCCTGCATTTGCTTTTCCATCACATCAACAACATTCAGGCACAATTTTTTTAAAAAAGCATTTATTCAGCCAGGCATTTGGAATCTTAACTGAACTGGGACCCGTTAGTCAAAGTTGTATTAGCCGCTGTATTATGTTTTAGTTGTTGGCGTGGATTTTGTTAATTACTGCTTTATAATACCTGCATTTTTTGCTTGATGTTAACCATCTGAATGAATAAGAGATTAAACAAAAACAGAGTGCTGATTCTTCTTCTTCAATGACAGGACTCTACCTAAGAAGTACTTTGAGCAAATCAGCAACAACATCGCCAGTTTTAACATCCATGGGCTAATCATAATTGGTGGCTTTGAGGTAGGTCTCTGGCACGCCTTAGGCTCTTTAGAGCACAAGATCTATAACAGAAGTGAAGCACTGTTGAAAGGATTAACAGACTGGTGAATGAGTATGTCAGTTTTCACATTCCACAGAACATTCCTACAGACACAATATAACAGTCATTGACAGTGGACTGGAAGAGGCACTCTCTGTCCAACAACCAAATCCTAAGATAGTCAGGTTATGGCTGGGATGGAGAACTGCCCAGATGTTGCTGGACTCCCAACTCCCATTGGCCACAGGTAGCATGGTCATTGGCCAGGGATGATGGGAGATACAGTCCAACCAGTGGCGGAGGAACCCTCTCCAGCACCCGGGGTGGGATGAACCGCCCAGTGGCGCACATGTGACGTCTGTACGGAACTGTATATGCACAGCATCCCATACGGACTGTGCACACTGCCCGTACAGACTGCACATGCGCGGCAACCCGTACAGACTGCACATGCGCAGCAGCCCATATGGTCGCTGTGTGAGAGCAGCAGCCTGTATGGTCGCCGTGCTAGAGGGGTGCCCATACTGACTGTGCGTACCCTCAGCCGCTCTACAGCTAGGGGTAGGCAGGGGCCATCTTGTCACACCCCCCCCAGAGTGGCAACCCAGGACAGCCCGCCCCCTCCACCCCCCAGTTCGTACACCCCTGAGTCCAACAACATCTGGAGGGCCACAGTTTCCTCAACTTAATAATGGAGGCTTTCTTCTTTCCCCTTTACGTAGGCTTTCACCGGCAGCCTGGAGTTGATTGAAGGCCGAGCCAAGTTCGAAGAGCTCTGTATCCCACTCTGTGTTATTCCTGCCACCGTCTCCAACAACGTTCCTGGCTCTGACTTCAGCATTGGTGCAGACACAGCCCTCAACACCATCACATCAGTAAGGCATTCATTGGCTTCCAAGCTCAATGAATTTCAATACATGCAGGGCCAGGTGGGGTGTGGCAGCTGCCTAACATAGTGTTTTGTGGTGCAACAGCATAGGAAGCTGCCTTATAACTGAGTCAGATCATTGGTCCATCTAGTTTACTACTGTCAAAACTGGCTGGCAGTGGCTCTCCAGGAGCAGAAATACACTGTGCGAATTTGGAGGATTTTGATAGTCTGCTGAGATCAGCTTTTCGTGATGCAGAATTTGGTTGTTATTCCTTCGGCGTCTCTGATTAAAAGACATGCCCGCCTGATAAAACCCTGGATAGGTGCTGCCAGCCACAGTAGACGGTCCAATGGTCAAATTTGGTATTTGGCAGTGTTATGTCTTCAGAAGCAATGGGGAGGAGCCGTAGCTCATTGGCAGTGTGTGTGCTTGGCTTGCCAAAGATTCTAGGTTGGTCCCTGCCACGTTCAGCTCAGAGGATATTGGGCGATGGGGAAGACCCCTTCTTTGCCACGAAATCTTAGGAGGGCAGATATCAGTCGAGAGAAGGCAGTATGTCTGACTCAGTCCGAGACAGTTGTTGTACATTTTTATATCTTCTTTTAGGGATGTGGGTGGCGCTATGATCTAAACCACAGAGCCTAGGGCTTGCCGATCGGAAGGTCGGCGGTTCAAATCCCTGCGACGGGGTGAGCTCCCGTTGTTCGGTCCCAGCTCCTGCCCACCTAGCAGTTTGAAAGCACATCAAAGTGCAAGTAGATAAATAGGTACCGCTTCGGCGGGAAGGTAAACGGCGTTTTCGTGTGCCGCTCTGGTTCGCCAGAAGCAGCTTAATCATGCTGGCCACATGACCCGGAAGCTGTCTGTGGACAAACGCTGGCTCCCTTGGCCTATAGAGCGAGGGAGCGCAACCCCCGAGTCATCTGCCTCTGGACCTAACGGTCAGGGGTCCCTTTACCTTTTACCTTCTTTTAACTTGCAAACATGAGAGTTGCCAAAAAGTTATACAGAGAACTTGCCCCATTCTGTCTTTCTGAGCAGGATGCCATTTGTTTGTTTAATTCCCTAGACTTGTGACCGTATCAAACAGTCTGCAGCTGGCACCAAGAGGCGGGTGTTCATCATTGAGACCATGGGAGGATATTGCGGCTACCTGGCTACCATGGCGGGACTGGCTGCTGGCGCGGATGCAGCCTATATTTATGAAGATCCTTTCACCATCCATGACTTGGAAGTGAGAACCGTTTGCAGAGGCCAGAGGGGGTTGTTTCCTTTTTGAAAGCTCCTGGGAGAGCAGTATAGTCTAGATTGACTTCCTCTCTCCACTCTTAGCAGCCTCTGCTGTAAATTCCTGAATAGTCATTCCAAAACTGTGTGCTGGGGCAACACCAGTATGCTGTGAGAGGACTGCTTGTGTGCCATGAAAATAAATTAGAGGAGCATTTCTGCAAGAGCATTCCTGCCTTCACTGGAAGCAGGTAATTCTGTCTAGTCTCTGCTTTGGATGTGACTGGGGTGTTGAATCGCTCCCAAGAAGAAGAGCACAGCAGAATTGCCTCTTACAATCGCTTCCAATTCAGACTCATTAACAGAATTGCCTGCCTACAGAAAAGGCTGCCTGTTGTATCTCTGCATGAGTCGCTTCTTTAGGCTTGCTCCGAAGGCAATGACTCATGCCTAAACATAGCGGCTAATCTTCTTTAAGAATGGGCAGTTCCTACTCTTGCATACTCTAAAAGCCAATGTTTTCAGAGGCAAGAGTGAAAATACGTACCGTATTTTTTGCTCTATAAGACTCACTTTTCCCCTCCTAAAAAGTAAGGGGAAATGTGTGTGCGTCTTATGGAGTGAATGCAGGCTGCGCAGCTATCCCAGAAGCCAGAACAGCAAGAGGGATTGCTGCTTTCGCTGCGCAGCGATCCCTCTTGCTGTTCTGGCTTCTGAGATTCAGAATATTTTTTTTCTTTTTTCCTCCTCCAAAAACTAGGTGCATCTTATGGTCTGGTGCGTCTTATAGAGCGAAAAATAAGGTACCTATAGTTCTCATTCAGGAGGAAAGTGAGCCTCAGGCATCTCACAGTGTAACACTTTGCAACTGTATGTGCAGATGACAACCGTGTGAAGTCACTAATGTGAATAGTTTTGGGCCTGCAGTTTGACTTTATTAAGTGGGTTAATCTTACTCCTTTCATATTCACAATCCAAAACATGATGTCATAGGCTTTAGTGCAAAGTTTGCATATCCTATCTTCACACAGGAAAGGCTTTCCAGGAATACTCCATTATAGAAAATAAGTCTTGACTGTATGATGATGGGGACTTGGCAGCAAAAGCTATGATAGCTGGGAGATGTGCTCACATGTAGTTTCAGAGACGGAAAGTGAAACCATGATTCTCTCTTTGGTATACAGATGAATGTGGAGCATCTGACTGAGAAAATGAAGACCACAGTGAAGAGAGGTCTCATATTGAGGTATCTGACTAGGCTTAGCCATCAAAAAGCTGGGGATTGGATGCTCAGAAGTGGTTTCCATTAGCTAAAAAGAGTGAAGATGGGCAATACCATTGTGGGAGTGGTGGAAGCAGTTTTCTTCTTCTTTTAAGCTTTAACCATGTATGCTTATAACTTTCTATTCTGAGCTGGGTTCTAAAACATCATTGGTTCTGCAGCTTTTCAGCATGGTGCATTTTGAAAGGGGAACATTTAGATAAGGAAACAATTGTTTTTCCAGAGTTTCCAGTATGTTTTCCAGGCACTCATTGCAAAAAAGAAGAAGACTGATTTGGGGGAGGAAATGCATTTGTTGCTCCAAGCCAGCTTTAAGTGCACAATCTGAATGTGCCAATATGTGGTTTAATCCCATATATACCGTATTTTTCGTCCCATAGGACACACTTTCCCCCCTCCAAAAATGAAGGGGAAATGTGTGTGCGTCCTATGGGGCGAATGCAGGCTTTCACTGAAGCCTGGAGAGCGAGAGGGGTTGGTGCGCACCGACCCCTCTCGCTCTCCAGACTTCGCGCAGCTCTCCGCAAGACGCGGGAGCCCTGCGCTGGGCTCCCACGGCTTGCGGAGACTTGCCTGTTCTGGGGGCTGGGGTCGGGAATAATTTTTTTCCCCTTTATTTCCCCCCCAAACAACTAGGTGCGCCTTATGGGACAGTGCGTCCTATAAGGCAAAAAATACGGTATACACACACACACAAACACACATATATACATACCGGTGTATATATATAATATACCTGTACCCCACCCATCATCTATGCTGTCTGTGGTGGAGTAAATAGGGCTCATTTTGTTTTATCCTCACAACTTAACCTTTGAAGTACGTGATGCTGAGAGAAATTTGCCCAAGAGTGGTGTGGAACTTCATGGCAAAGTAGAGGAATTTGCACCTGGGTCTCCCACCACTGCCAGGACCACACTGACCTTCGCTTATACTAGAAGAGAAAGCAGGCTATGGTCAGAATAAAATTATGGTGGGCAGAGGCAGTTTATTATGGAGCAATAATGCATTTCCAGTATAAACAGGTTGCAGAACAAGGGAAATATTTAGTTAAGCTGTAGGGCCCACTAGCCAATCAGACAAATGGATGTGAATCCTGGGTCTACATTCATATAAAATACAGAAAAAATCTACACACACACACACACACACACACACACACACACACACACAGCGTCCCTCCACCCAGTCAGCCAAGCAAGAGGCATTATCACAGTACAATGACACATTCCAACCAGGCAAAAGTAGTTGAGGAGAGCTCAACTCACCTGAGGCTTTCCACCCGCTCTTAGCACAGTGTTCTAACATTTCATCTCTTTTCTTTTAAAGCTAGTTCTTAATCAGTGTAGCCCTGTCTTCCTGCCTCATCCATGCTGGGTATGTTCTCTCTTTCTAGGAATGAAAAGTGCAATGAGCACTATAACACCGAGTTCATATACAACTTGTATTCTGAGGAAGGGAAAGGCGTCTTTGACACCAGGAAGAACGTCTTGGGACACATGCAGCAGGTATGTCTGGAGCCTGGCTATACTGCTACAGCTGCTCAAGCAAATAATACTGCTTTTAGTTCCACAAATGCAGAGAAGTAGAACTCCGGCTGAAGACAGAAATAGACCCAAAGGACTGGTTCCATCTAGAGGCCTCCAGTTGACCCACACTGTGTAATGTTTTGTTCCGAAGGGAAAACACACAGACACAACACACACACAGAGAATTCTGTCTCTCAAGCGCTCTTACAAGGCCTCCCTACCAGCATCAGAGGTGGAGAAATGCTACTTTTTTTACTCTTCATAGAAAGATGGCCATCTGTCATGGATGCTTTAGCTGCATTGCAGGGGGTTGGACTAGATGACCCTTGGGTCCCTCCCAATTCTATGATTCTATAATAAAAGGGGGAGTTTCCAGGACCTCTCTCCAGCACTGGGGCAGTGGGAAATGCTGTCTCTTACCCTTTACCTGTGAAGAGCAGACAGAGGGATTTATGTCCTGATCACAGTATGGACAGAAATTTTACCAGCAGGTTTCAAGTGCTGAGCACCAGGCTGCTGAGATTGGAAGATAAACCTGGAGCGGTTGGTGGGCCACTTGCTCTGCCAGGCTATACAAGGCCCATAGCCACTCCCGCTGCAATTGATCTTCCATTTGGAGGCTTTTAAGCCACAGAGCCTAGAACTTGCTGATCAGAAGGTTGGCGGTTTGAATCCCCGCGACGGGGTGAGCTCCCGTTGCTCGGTCCCTGCTCCTGCCAACCTAGCAGTTTGAAAGCACATCAAAGTGCAAGTAGATAGGGAATGATCTGCCAAAAAAGCTGAAAAACTTCTTCATGTATGCGACAACGGCCGCGAGAGTTTTAATAGCACAAGGATGGAAGACTGAAGAAACCCCAACTAAAGAATCATGTCAAGAAAAATTGATGGACTATGCAGAACTGGCAAAACTGACCTACAAGCTACAGGACAAGGATAACTGTGACTTTAAAGATGAATGGGAATCCTTTACAAAGTATTTGAAGACACAACAAAATGAACTGGACTCCTTGGCTGGCTTTGAATAAACATTCACAAAATTTTTATTGATAATAATCAGCTAAATAGTTTGAGGATCTATACAACTGTGTAACATGCAGAAAACAGCATTTTTAGAGAAATCAAAGACTAGAACTGAGGGAAGTCAGGGGTGGGTGGCTTCTGTGGGGGGAGGGAGGAAAAATGGGGGGGGGAAATAAGGATGATATGTTTCTGGATATGTTTTGTTTTAATTTTGAATAAAAAAGTTATTATTTTTAAAAAGTGCAAGTAGATAAATAGGTACCGCTCCAGCGGGAAGGTAAACGGCGTTTCCGTGTGCTGTTCTGGTTCGCCAGAAGCGGCTTAGTCATGCTGGACACATGACTCGGAAGCTGTACACCGGCTCCCTCGGCCGATAAAGCGAGATGAGCGCCGCAACCCCAGAGTCGGCCACGACTGGACCTAATGGTCAGGGGTCCCTTTACCTTTACAGCAATTCCTGCAACTATGCTTCTCAATGACAATCAAGCTGACTTTCCCTTTACCCATCACAGGGTGGCTCACCAACTCCGTTTGACAGAAACTTTGGAACGAAAATGGGTGCTAAAGCGGTGGCATGGATGTCCGGCAAGATTAAAGAGTGTTCCAGGCATGGTATGTGGATGCTTTTGACTGGGTAGCCTGTTACACCAGGGGGTTAACTATGGCTGCTGGAGAATGAGGGATAGGAAAGAGAGAGAACAGAATCCAGATGTTTCTGCCTGCTGCATCATGCCATTAATGAATTTGGAAAGAGGCATCGCCCTCTAAAACTGCATAGCCTACTTGTGCTATCAAAACCAGCTCCGTATTGTCCACGGGTCACTGATAGGTTGTGCTCTCTAGGGTTTTAGATGGATCTTTCCAACGGGGATCAACCAGAGATTAAATCTGGGATATTTTTCATGTGAAGCAGGTGCACAACCACTACAGCCCTGCTTACAACTCCCTTGCTCCTGTTTTCAGGTGACTATGAGGGAGCCTTTGTAACTATACAGTGGTACCTCGGGTTAAGAACTTAATTCGTTCTGGAGGTCCGTCCTTAACCTGAAACTAATCTTAACCTGAAGCACCACTTTAGCTAATGGGGCCTCCCGCTGCCCCGCTGTGCAGATTCTCATCCTGAAGCAAAGTTCTTAACATTTCTGGGTTAGCGGAGTCTGTTACCTGAAGCGTCTGTAACCTGAGGTACCACTGTACTTTATAGAGTTGTGTAGAAGTTGCCCCGGGCTGTTTGGCCCTTTTAATAGCTCTCTTTTTTCCCCCTTAGAAAAACCACGCAACACTTGCTTTAAAGTTTAAAAATAACATGGCTTTGACTTGCTGTACTTGCTCTTGTCGGATTGAATGTACCAGAGAGGTAGTTGATACTTACGTTACTGAAACAGATTTACCGTATTTTTTGCACCATAACACTCACTTTTTTCCTCCTAAAAAGTAAGTGGAAATGTCTGTGCGTGTTATGGAGGGAATGCCTACGGATGGCATTATGGAGGGTGGCATGCCTACGGATTTTCCTCCTCTAAAAACGACGTGCGTGTTATGGTCGGGTGCGTGTTATAGAGCGAAAAATATGGTACAGTGGTGCCTCGCAAGACGAAAAGAATCCGTTCCGTGAGTCTCTTCGTCTTGCCGTTTTTTCGTCTTGCGAAGCAAGCCCATTAGCGGTTTAGCGGATTAGCGCTATTAGCGGCTTAGCGGGCTTAGCGGATCAGCTGATAAGCGGCTTAGTGGCTTAACGGATCAGCTGTTAAGCGGCTTAGCGGATCAGCTGATAAGCGGCTTAGTGGCTTAACGGATCAGCTGTTAAGCGGCTTAGCGGATCAGCTGTTAAGCGGCTTAGCAGCTTAGCGGATCAGCTGATAAGCGGCTTAGCGGCTTGGGAAAAAGGGGGGGGAGGAAAAAAAACCCGCAGGAACTCGCAAGACATTTTCGTCTTGCGAAGCAAGCCCATAGGAAATTCGTTTTGCGAAGCACCTCCAAAGCGGAACACCCTTTCGTCTAGCGGGTTTTCCGTCTTGCGAGGCATTCGTCTTGCGGGGCACCACTGTACATGAATTCATATCCGAGACTGACTGATATTTACAGACTGGCTCTGAGGCAGGCAGCACCATAACACAACACACTTGCTGCTCTCACAGCTAAAGCTCCACATACAGTGATAACTGAACAAACTGGGGGGAAACTGCCTCAGTATATATATTTATGACATCACAAGATTCTATGCTACAGCATTAACCCTCTGCATAGTATTTTGGATGCAGCAGTCCCACACCTTTGGCGCTGCCTGTTTTGGGGAATTGCCAATTCTGGCCTCAGTTACATTTTTAGTTTTGTGCCACTGGGGAAGTGGTAATTCTGTATTGATTTGTTTTTGATGTTTGTATGTGATGCCAACAAAAGGTTTGATGATGATGAGTTACATTTTTAATGTTCACCTAATGCACTGTATTGTGTTTCATTATTGGCGGGTTTTTTGTTTGTTTGGTTGATTTTGTAAGCCAATCTTGAAGACCCATTGGCTAAACTGTATTTTAATGGATGGTGATATCAGTTACAGAATGGGCAGCAAGGGAGAGGGAGCTGTGGTCACCCATCAGGACCTGTGTGTACAGATTTTACCAGTTAACGCTTTCTTCACATACACAAAAGTCCTTCCTGATAATTAACCAATTCATATTTTCTAATTAATATTAAAATAAGAGCAACTGGGGGGAAAATGGTGCCTTCTAGGACTGTAATAACTTATTACCTAGTATTCATTGTATATGGAGTATATAGCATTGTATATAATATTCACTGGATATTCATTGGATATATATTCAGAATGTATATGGGCCGAGTTCATTATTTTCTTTATTATCCCTTTAGATTCCCTTCAACAACAGAGGTTCTCAGGGTGGTTTATGAATACTATTAAAAGCGCAGTAAGTGGGTGATAGCCAACGTTCATCATACTCAGAGAAGACCTACTGCAATGAATGAACTTAAATAACTTAGGCCTATTGAGTTCAGTTGATCTATTCTGAGCATGGTTTCAGCTTGCTATCACCCATTGTGGCATTGATAAAAATACAAACAAAATAAAACAGTAAACAATCATCAGTATTTTTAAAAAAACTTAAACAGAATAAATTCAGCAGTGATAACTAATACATCACCCCGAACACTCTGGTGTTTTGCCCTATACTCTTGCTATACTGCATATCTGCTCACAAGCATGGATTTTGACATAGTATGTTAAGATCTCTCCTGACATGATACTCTATTATGTTCTTTAAAATTTGATGAATTCACATTTCTTCTTAATCTTCTCATCTCACACAGTTGAACCATTCCCAAATAGTAGCAATCCTACATGCATCCTAATACTTGGGGAAATCTGGCAAATTCACTCTGAACTTTTCCCAGGGCTACATAATACATTAAAAGCAAATTGTGGGGGAGGGGTGTGTGTGCCCCCCCCCATATAAAACCAGTACTGTACAGATTGTGCCACCATTTTAATTTTATTGTCAATTGCTCACCACCCTAAGAAATTACGTTCAAGAGTAGTCAAGGATTATTATGATTAACGGAAGGTTCTGCATTTTAACTGTAGACAAAGGGTTGACTTTAACTTGTAACTTACTATATAACTTGTTGTGGACTTTTCTCCACCAATCTCTTTCACATGAACAGGCATAAATGCACTCAGATATTAAATTCCAGAAGATTTCCTTGAGAGTATTATTACTGCTTTGCTGAACTATTTATTCATGTTTAGTCTGCATTTCAGAATAAAATCTTTCCAGGGTATCTAAGAATATTAAGCAATAAAAATGCTTAATATTTTCCAGATAATGAATTTGATGAGCATTTCCCACGATTTCTTTTTTCAGGTCGTATCTTTGCCAACAGCCCTGATTCAGCTTGCCTCCTGGGCATGCGCAGACGGGCCCTTGTATTCCAGCCCCTCTCCGAACTCAAAGAGCAGACTGATTTTGAGTAAGTGTCTCCTCTGTCTTGTAAACTCAAGTAAGTGAGGCTTCTGCAGTCAGGGTAATCTGCAATCCACAATATACCGTATTTTTCGCTCTATAAGACGCACCAGACCACAAGACGCACCTAGTTTTTGGAGGAGGAAAACAAGAAAAAAAAAATTCTGAATCTCAGAAGCCAGAGCAGCAAGAGGGATCGCTGAGCAGTGAAAGCAGCAATCCCTCTTGCTGTTCTGGCTTCTAGCCTGGAGAAGAGGAGGTTAAGGGGTGATATGATAGCCATGTTCAAATATATAAAAGGATGTCACATAGAGGAGGGAGAAAGGTTGTTTTCTGCTGCTCCAGAGAAGCGGACACGGAGCAATGGATCCAAACTACAAGAAAGAAGATTCCACCTAAACATTAGGAAGAACTTCCTGACAGTAAGAGCTGTTCGACAGTGGAATTTGCTGCCAAGGAGTGTGGTGGAGTCTCCTTCTTTGGAGGTCTTTAAGCAGAGGCTTGACAACCATATGTCAGGAGTGCTCTGATGGTGTTCCTGCTTGGCAGGGGGTTGGACTCGATGGCCCTTGTGGTCTCTTCCAACTCTATGATTCTATGATTCTATGGGATAGCTGCGCAGCCTGCATTTGCTCCGTAAGACGCACACACATTTCCCCTTACTTTTTAGGAGGGAAAAAGTGAGTCTTATAGAGCAAAAAAAATACGGTATCTGTTAGAAGTCCAAGAACCTCACTAAAAATAATTATGCAGAAGTGGTTGCTAAAGACTCCCCAAGGCTGAGCCTTTTTGCAAAGTGAGCGATTGTGCCATGGAATCAATTGTGCTCCAGGGCTTTCCATAGGCTTCCGATGCTGGATTACAATGGGCCTTTGAACTGCTCCAACAAGGCTCTTCTGATATTCTTAGGTGTGTCCTGAAACGCTCATGATCTCTCTCTTCCAACAGGCACCGCATCCCCAGAACACAGTGGTGGCTGAAGCTTCGTCCCATCTTGAAGATTCTTGCCAAGTACAAGATTGAGTTGGATACCTCCGAGACAGCTCAAATAGAACATATCACTCGCAAGAGAGTATCCGGAGAAGGCGCTCTGTGAACAGCTAGCAGCTCTCCCTTTTAGTTATGACACTTAAGGAGACCTCTAAAGCAAAGTATTTATTTTTTTCCAGTCCCCTTCCCCAGTTTAGCATGCAGCTGTCTCATCTAGTGTTTTGTGTAATGACTGGGACTGCATGCCTGCCACGAATGGAGGAGGCAACGCCAAATGTCATCTAGTGCCATATCTGCAGTATGTGAATGAATGAGTTAATGGGAAATGTATGTTATTATATTCTACTCTTCCTTTTAGAAAGCTTAAGACAGCTGACATGGGGCTCCTGATGGTCTTCTATTCAGGCACCAGGTCTACTTTTTCTTCTGCTTTACTGGTGCTTATAAGGTTAGGTGGCCCTCTGTCTGAGGGTGGAGTGGGGATTTCAAACAGGAATGGTCATTTCAGCTTAAGTTCATCATGTTGAAATCTGGACTGGACTGAATATATTATTTTGCTATCAGGCCCTCTCCTTTGAACAGTGGCAGCTACCCCAGAACCCACACTTGGGGTAAATTATAGCTTTGTGATTCAAGCTCTTCCAAATGCTGAAAATAAAATGGGAACTGTTTCACTAGAGGTTGCTGTTTGGATCTGCCATTTCAACACCATCTTTTTTCCTTCTTCAGTAACATGCACAATGCAGGGGGAGCTGGACTGCAGGTATGGGAGATTTTTAAAAAAAACCAAGCAGCCAACTGGCACCCAGCATTCAAAATTTGCCAGGCACATTTTGCACCTGGCTATCACCTGGCAGGGACGCGGGTGGCACTGTGGGTTAAACCACAGAGCCTAGGACTTGCTGATCAGAAGGTCGGCGGTTCGAATCCCTGCGACGGGGTGAGCTCCTGTTGCTCGGTCCCTGCTCCTGCCAACCTAGCAGTTCGAAAACACATCAAAGTGCAAGTAGATAAATAGGTACCACTCTGGCAGGAAGGTAAACGGCGTTTCCGTGCACTGCTCTGGTTTGCCAGAAGCGGCTTAGTCATGCTGGCCATATGACCCAGAAGCTGTCTGCAGACAAACGCCGGCTCCCTCGGCCAATAAAGCGTGATGAGCACCGCAACCCCAGAGTCGGGCACGACTGGACCTAATGGTCAGGGGACCCTTTACCTTTACCTTACCTTTACATTTCAGCCACTTGCGACTGAGTCAAGATGCCCGGGTGCTAGGATGGCGCCTGAAGTCTCCCACCATCTGGAGGTGCATGCCTAGGAATCCTTGACTGTTTTCACACACTAGCATCACATCACGTAGAATTCTACCAGTTATATTTTATCTGCACAATCAGAATAAATTGCAGGAACTAAAAAGTCATCTTGAAAAATACAGTTTTTGAGCCGTCTGGCCCCAAAATGGCAACTTTGGAGACTGTAACCCAGATTTAAAATGAGCCATTGGGGTCTAGCTTATATATCTGAGTTTCTAACACTGCTGGCACCTGTACTAAGCTAGACTGCATGTAAACTTCCATTTGCCAAAATACACACACCTCTCTTCTTATCTGGGGCAATCTCCACCTCCGTGGATTTAAAACAGCCACTGTGAACATTGTTTGAAACCACCCTTATTAGGTGCATAAATATACAGTGGTACCTCGGGTTACATACGCTTCAGGTTACAGACTCCGCTAACCCAGAAATAGTGCTTCAGGTTAAGAACTTTGCTTCAGGATGAGAACAGAAATCGTGCTCCGGCGGTGCGGCAGCAGCAGGAAGCCCCATTAGCTAAAGTGGTGCTTCAGGTTAAGTACAGTTTCAGGTTAAGAACGGACCTCCGGAACGAATTAAGTACTTAACCCAAGGTACCACTGTATGTAAAAGTGCAACAGCAGCCCTTAGACACATGGAACAAAGCTACATGCAGACACTGGGGTTTGTACAGTCATACCTCATGTTACGTCCGCTTCATGTTATGTTCTTTCAGGTTCCGTCCCGTGGCGACCCGGAAGTACCGGAAAGGGTTACTTCTGGGTTTTGCCGCTTGCGCCGAAGCGCAAAATAACGTCACACACATGCGCAGAAGCGACGTTCTTTTCATGTTGCAAATGGGCCTCTGGAACGGATCCCGTTCGCAACCAGAGGTACCACTGTAGTGCTATATGCTTATTCTCCAACCTGCTAATTGATGGCCCAGCTAGCTACAAACAGTAGTGCAACTGTACAACAGGAAGGCAGACTTCAGGCTTGTAGATTCTAGTTTGTTCCTGACTACAGTCCCAAAATCTACTACCCCAAAGCTGGTGCAAAATACAGCCAACACTTAAGGGAATTCAGTGGCACAGCTGAACGGAACTTGCAGTTCCTACACATGAAAACCCATTCTGGTTATCTCCTCCCTCCAGGCTTCCTGCACTTTGGCACACACACAGAGGGAAATAAAATGCACACATAATAAAGTAACAGTGACCCTATAAAATGGCAATGGTGGGAAATAATTACAAAAAGGTTTCCACCAGTGTCTCCTACCAAGTTCCAAAAAGTAGAGGCAACAGCAGCAGGCAGCCCTCCAAGTCAGTGCCTTAACTGAAAAGGCCTTCTTGCAATTCATCTGGTGGGAGGACTGAAGTAAGTAAATTTTAGTAACTATGTCTTAAGTACCTCAGGCAGTTGTTGAATGAGTGTTTCCTCTCTTTTCTAATCATGGCCCCCTTTTTTGCATGTGCACTCAGAAATATGTACATGAGGGAGTTTTGTCATCCACATTGGACAGTGCTGTCTGTATATATTCTCTTCCCTAGTAAAAAAATGTAAAAACAGTCACCTGAAAAACAGCTAATTACTTTGAAAATGCCAAGCTAGCCTCCGGCTTAGTCATGCTGGCCACATGACCCGGAAGCTGTACGCCGGCTCCCTCGGCCAATAAAGCGAGATGAGCACCACAACCCCAGAGTCGTCCGCAGCTGGTCCTAACGGTCAGGGGTACCTTTACCTTTAATAAACTTACAAAACTGACAATAAAACTCAGGGAAATGTTTCACTGGCAGTGGTGTTAGATGCAAAGTTAAAAAAAAAAAAATCACTCCAAAACATGATAGAGGCAGGAACTGTTTGTATACATTTCTTCCCAGCTACTTATCCTTACTGAAAAGGGAAGTGCTTGATGTTGTCATCCTCTTCCTTTGGCAAAACCCACTCCACATTAAATAGAATCCAGGTTAGTTGCTGTATTATGCCATACTGTGCACACCAGAAAGACTTCTGGGTTCGTAGTGGTGCGGCAATCTGACAGCTATCTGCTGGAGAGATGGCAAGAGGAAATAGCAGGAGACCAGCAGCATGACACTCTCACAATGAAAACACACAGCACAATAAATTGCTTCTATACCACCATTTTTAATTAGCAAACTTTTAATACTCCACACAAGTTATTTGCTCACCTAATGAACCTTCTTCCTCCATAGCAACCAAACACTTGGGCAAAGGGAATTTTGAGCTCATGGCATGATTTGTTCCTCCCAATATGTGGCTTATGACTGTCCAGCATGTACTCAGGTAGGCTTAACTCAATGGGAGAGAGGTGTTCCCAGAGTGGATGGCAACTGCATTGCCACTGTTATAAGGAAGACATGATTTCGGTTCTTAAAAGTATGGTGCAATGTTTCTGGATTGCCTGTGAATGGAAAGAACTACATCTCCATATAAGGTTATGGCTCTCCTTATATGAAACAGCCTTTTAACCACCCGACTCACGGCTTAGGACACTGTTCATTTTACCAAGTGATTAGAGCAATCCCACACTGCCTTGAAATTTAACGGTGCCCAGTTGGATACATTCACTGCTCAGAATTAGTTCACACTCCCTACCCAACCAACAGCAATATCCTGAGGGATGTAAGGGAATCCTAGAAGCATCTCCTATCCTCAGAAAATTTCATTTCATTTTTAAGCCTTGGCTGAAAGTAGAAGGAGCTGGGCCTTCAGGCAACAGTATCACTGGGCTATCCATCCTTCCCCGTGATCTAAGGAAATTAGGTTATCCTAAAATTGAAATATAGCTATAATTTTACAATCAGGGAAAACCCTGTGTGTCAGCTATCGGAGTTTAAGAACTGGACTGAGCAAACAAAAGCTGGTCCAAAACCTTGGGAGATTTGCGACAGCACGTGGGCTCAGATGTAGCTTCTGTCCTCTAATCAATTTGCTGTAAATAAATGCAGAATTCATAGCTGCAGGTAGTAATAAACTTTTACTGTTGCTTGGACACTAAAGGGACCTGTGTTTGATGGAAACACCTTGAAACCTTTAGAGGTTTTTTTGAATGCAGCAGTGTTTTAAGGACTAAAATACCCCTTACCCCGTGAACACTCTGTTGCTAATTAAGGAAAACACAGTAAAGCACAGCTGAAATTGAGTAATGTGACAGCAAACCAGAAATTAACTGAATAGCTATAAACCTATGACCCTCCAGATGTTGCTGAACTACAATTCTCATCAGCCTCAGCAAGCATGGCCAGGGATGATGGGAACTGTAGTTCAATGAGGCTCAACAGAGGGCGCTGAGACCCACTTTCAAACTGCAAGGAGACTGAAGAATATACTTACTAAGCTCTAAAGCCATAAACAAGATACATGAGCACACTATGTAGACAGCAACCAACTTCCTTATCATTCAGGGTACAAATCTCATACATGTACTTCTTGTACCTATCTTGCTACTTGACTTTTTAAAGAAAAAACTCACTGTGATTTAGTCTGACTGGCCTGCTTTCTGGGGCTCAGCTGAACCCTTCCCCGATGAAAGGTGGATCTAAACATGCAGGAGAACATGATTAAAAGGAAGATTATCATCTCAGAATGTCGGTTTGAACCTGCACACTGCTTTTGCTTTACATTATCACTTTACATTCGGACAGCAAATAAAGGACTGCTGAAGAACTTGTTGCCCTGAGGCGTTTGCTTTCTACTTGCAGGGGTTTGGTTCCTCAACCTGACTCCCAGCCAAGGACCATTCACAAATCATATTCTCCACCTACAGTCTGAAGTGAGACAGTCCACTACCACCTTGGGATTTGTGGTGGAATTTCATTCTGCTGCACATGAAGATCTGGCCAAAGTATCAAAACATGATCCACTACTTTGGAGAGAATTCTCCCTCTCCTGCCAATCTGATGAGTGGATAGGAGAGACACAAAGGAGGCAGTGTAACAGAGAAGGGCTGCCATTGTTCCAATCCATCAAGCCACTTTACCTTGCAGCAGAAAATGAAATAGCAAGACAGGCCTGCTGACTCAAGAGTGTAATGCTAGAAGCAGGAAGGTCACCAATAATTCGGCTTTTGTGCCTTCCCCACCACCTCCTCCTCCAGCCTGATACGTAGCTCCACCTTCCCTTTGTGCAAAAGATTCTCAGGAGAAATCAGATCTAGGAATTCAGGGAAGAACTGCTGCAGGAGGCGAAGAGCAGGGTTCTTTCTCAAGCACCTTCCAGCCTCTCTCAGTGAAGAAAAGAAGGGGAAAAATGAGAAACTAAGGGAAACCACCAGCCAATGTCAGAACCAGTATCCCCTGTGCGGTTACACACTGATCTGCAAAAAAAAACCTACTTCATATCACTGCTACAGTCAGTTGAAAGCACCAGGAAAGGAGCTGCAAAGTAAGTCAACCAAAGTGAGCTCTTAACAGAGCCTTGCGAGGCTTTAGCTGTCATTTAAGCAACACATACTCTTTCAGAGATTCTGGCAGAGGGAGCTCCTTCACTGCATCTGGCAGGAACTGGACTCCCAGGCTGCGGCGCACAGCATAGCGCGAGAGCGTCTTTAAGGTGCCCGGGGCGGAGCACAGGGTGGTGAGCTTTTCGCAGAGTTGCTGATCCCGCGTGACTTCGCGGGGCATCGTGCCGTTCTTCCGCAACTCAAAGTGTCCTACGGCTCTGTGGAGGAGATCGAAGCAGGAGTCTTCCCTCTCGGTGCCGAGTCCTCTGACCAGCAGGGCAACCAACCTCGAAATCGGGGTCTGCCCCTTCATATTGACCACCCGGACCTCTGCCCCGTATTCCAGAAGGATGCTCACACTCTCCAGGTTTCCCTTCATGGCTGCCCAGCTCAGGGGGGTGTCGTTGTTGTAATCCAGAGCATTGACAAAGGCGCCGCTTTCTAAGAGTGTTCGGACGCATTCAGCATTGTTCTTGAAGGCGGCCCAATGCAGTGGCGTGTCTTTGTTGCCGTCCAGTGCATTGGGATTTGCCCCGTATTCTAATAGGATCTCTACGCAGGTCTCGTCCTTTTCCGCTGCATAGTGAAGTGCTGTTCGGTTGTAGCCATCAAGGGCATTGACCTGAAAAAGCAGAGACGGGATTCTTCATGTGTTTGGAGTTTATTATCGGCAAGAGGAAAATGACCCAAAACTTGGCTAAGAAAGATGGGTAGTGGAATAATTCCACTGCAATCCCCATGAGCCAAAACACTTGTCCCATGATCCACTAATACCAGACCCATTCAACGACTTTCCTCTGAAGCAGATCTCAAAAGAAAACTCTCAAGTACAGTGGTACCTCGGGTTACATACGCTTCAGGTTACATACGCTTCAGGTTACAGACTCCGCTAACCCAGAAATAGTACCTCGGGTTAAGAACTTTGCTTCAGGATGAGAACAGAAATTGTGCAGTGGTGGTGCAGTGGCAGCAGGAGGCCCCATTAGCTAAAGTGGTGCTTCAGGTTAAGAACAGTTTCAGGTTAAGAAAGGACCTCCAGAACGAATTAAGTTCGTAACCCGAGGTACCACTGTATCATGCTGCTGCTCTGGCCCTTATTTTTTAGAAACAGCAAACAAAAAGGGGACGGCCATCTCCCATCTTGCTCTGTGTGTGAGATTTCAGGGGCCAATATTTATTTAAATACTTCCGCCACTGCAGTTTCTAAGCAGTGCACAACAGTGATTCAGGAGGGATGCTATTTAACTAACCACTGTCAAAGAAAGAATGCTGGAGGAGATGAAGGGTTGTTGTAATCCAGCACAGGCAAGATTACTACGTTCTCCAGGCTTTAAGCTCCGTACGAGGATGGCAACTTGTGTGATTTCACTAATTCCTTGAGAACTTAACTTGGATCCAGACTTTCTTCCTGACAGCAGAAGGCAGAGGAAGTTGACTTTGAATAATTCCCCTTGTGCCCTTCAAATGTCTGCTCTGAAATGATGTAACACCAGAGAGGACAGGGAGTTGCTGCAGGGGGGAATGGAAAAAAATCTATTCCCTTTACTTTACCACCAGGATCTCTGAACTGGGATTTTTGTGTGGTGTTTTTTTTTTTACATTCAAATGGTGTATACATTTTATAAATTAAATAAAATAAAAGCCTTCTGTGGACAGAAGGAGCCCTTTTATTTATAGACAGCTTTTTGGATACAAACCTAAAAGCCACTGAGATTTGATAATCTTATTTTTATATTCTCATTTTAGGAATTCTAAAACCCAGGATGATGATGATAATGATGACGATGACACATTTGGTCTCGTGCCTTGTCATTTTCCTACCTGTAAAAACTTTTGTCAAAATTAAAGGCAATGCTGAAACACAAGAGAATGTGACTATTACTGAGGGGCAGCAACACCCCCCCCCCAAAAAAAACCCAGACTGACCATAATTCAACAGATGATCAAACTGGCACAGGAATAAACTGGGCCATGTCAATCAATCAGGCAAATAATTTTTGAGCCAGAGAGCTAAACTCCAGCCACCTATTCAAAATAATGGTCAGGATCCTAACAACTGTGCAAGCCATTCACTATGCCCAAGAGGGCTTGACCCTAAGATTCCCAAATGGCACATTTCATTACCACTCAACCTCAGCCCCCAGAAGGCAAACCGCTTTGAAAACACATAAAACCCTGTTTCCCCCCCTCCAAGCTCTTGCATCTAAAGGAATATGTCTCAATCTAGTTGTGTGGTATGTAATACTGTGATCAGGATGTGTGGGGGGGGGTCTATCACAAGGATAACATATAAGAACCCCTTTGAACATTCAGAAGTGCTCTACAACCCCCCTCACATCTGTCATATATGAGTAGGTTTGCTGGACCTGTTCTTAAATAGGCTCTTCTTACCTCAGCTCCTTTTTCCAAGAGCAGCTCAATGCAGTCGGCGTCAGCAACCATGCAAGCACAGTGCAATGGCTTCAGGGTACCGTGCATACAGTTAACATCTGCTCCCTGGAAGAACACAAATAGGGAAATCACAATAAGAGAGGTTCTGCCAGCTCATTTCTTTCTGATCTCAGTGGATCATGAATAACTTTTGCAATACAGTGGTACCTCGGGTTACATACGCTTCAGGTTACAGACTCCGCTAACCCTGAAATAGTACCTCGGGTTAAGAAATTTGCTTCAGGATGAGAAGAGAAATCGTGCTCCAGCGGCGCAAGGCCCCATTAGCTAAAGTGGTGCTTCAGGTTAAGAACAGTTTCAGGTTAAGAACAGACCTCCGGAACGAATTAAGTACTTAACCCAAGGTACCACAGTACACATTTGCCAACCAATAGCAAGTGATACCACATTGGGGTACTTCCTATTTATGGTGCTTCTCTGTGATTTAAGCCAAAAATCTAAACCCCAAATCCCTATCAGTCTCTTCACATTTATTCCTCTCACAGCTATTTATTTATTGCCGTAGCATTCCAAAGGTGGCTAAAAAATGGGAGAGAACTTGCATCCCACAAGGCCTACTCCATTTGCTTGAGGAAGCTAGGAAAGTAAAGAACTGCATCCTCTTTCCTCTGTAGACTCTACTATGGAGAACACAGCCAATGAGACAAGGAGCTCAGGTTCAGTGGCCTGTTTCCATACACATCTTGGGGTCTCCTCATGTCACAAGGAACTGTATGGATTGCTCATATTTAATGACATGGAAATTATTGCTAGCAACACAGGTTGTAATCAGGGGAACTGAGTGACAATTGAACCGGAAGGGTTTTTCTTCTTTGTACTTCAGATGTACCATATTTTCCGCTCTATAAGACGCACTGTTTCCCTCCTAAAAAGTAAGGGACCGTGTGTGCGTCTTAGGGAGCGAATGCAGGCTGCGCAGCTAAGTCAGAACAGGGAGAGGGAGCGCTGCGCAGTACTGTTTTGCTTCTGGCTTAGCTGCAGGAAGCCTCCACAGGGCAGCGGGGAGCCTTCATCCCGCTGCCCTCCGGAGGCTTCATGGACTATCCCAGAAGCCAGAACCGCGAGAGGGAGCGCTGCACTCCCTCTAGCTATTCTGGCTTTGTGATAGCCCCGCAAAGCCTCCACAGGGCACGGGGCTGAAGGCTCCCCGCTGGCCTGCAGAGGCTTCCCATGGCTCTTGCGGGAGGTGGGGGGGAAGGGACAGAGCGCGCGGCTCTGTCTCTTCCCCCACCTCCCGCAAAAGCCAGCAAGAGCCGCACGCTCTTTAAAGAGCCGTGCCTAGCGTGTGTGCGGCTCTTGGGGGCTTTTGCGGGAGGTGGGGGAAGGGACAGAGGGCAGCTGCCCGGGAGAGGCTTCAGCGGCTATCCCAGAAGCCAGATCCCTCTTGCTGTGCTGTTCTGGCTTCTGGGATTCAGAATTTTTTTTCTCTTGTTTTCCTCCCCCCAAAACGAGGTGCGTCTTATCGTCTGGTGCATCCTATAGAGCGAAAAATACAGTATATTGATAAGCCATAGTCAAGTGATCAGCTGACCCCAGCCTTCAGCCAAAGCTTGCTTTCCCCCTTCTCTCCCGGAGAGAATTATAATATACTAGAGACAACCGTTTTGCACGGGGGGGTTGTTCCTGGTCCCCACATGCATAAGCCTGCTCCATCCCCATTCTGTCCTATTCTGGGTCCAAATGGTGGTCACATGTCAGCTGAACTTGCCTAAAATGGTCACCACCTGTATTTTCAAACACCTGCTTTAAAAAGCTAATCTCTTAACTCTGGCGTCTCCAAACAGGCCTCCCTCTTCTTTTCCCTTCCCTTGTGTTTCTGTCTTACCAAACAGATTCAGGCCCAAGCCTCTAGCTATTTTTATTTATGTACAACACTCTGTTACCGTGTGCATTCTGGAAAGATTACTATCTTATATTTTATTTAACAGCAGAGAGAGGAAGAACGAGGATAGCAAACAAACATCAAGAACCATATCGGCTTCCATGGGCTCTTTTGCCAACAGGCTGACTTATAGCACATTTAATGGGCTCTGGCAGACTAAGTACCTGGGAATTAATATAGCAAAGCAGTTGGCAGCATCAATCAAAACTAACGTGGAGCTCTGCGACTACAAGTGCTGAGAAATCAGAAACTGAAGTAGTCTTAGCACTGCCCTTTGGAGCTAAAGACTGACTACATATTCTTTTGAATATCAGAAATGTCACATTTAAACTGGCCTGAGGAACACTATTCAATACTATTTAACACTGAGACTAAAATTAACATCTATCCTCCCTTCTCCTTTATAGAGCCAAAATCCACATGGATCACCTCTTGACTCCCCCAGATTTCTGGGCAACAAGGAACAGCTATCTGGCCAGTAAAATTGTTTTAATGCTCTTCCAAACTTGCCTCTACTCACTGTAAGCTGTCTGCTGTACATACACTCTAAAAATATTCAGTAGTTTAGATTTACACTTAAGAGGCATCAAGGGCAAGTTAGGAAGCAGGCACAGCCGACATAACCTCTCCCATCAGAAAGGAGGATTCCTATCCCTACGGTTGTAGTCCAAAATACAGCAGTGGCCACAATATACAGATGATCTAAGATCTGGGGTATCTTGGCTGTATGACATAATGCATACTTCACAGAGCGCAACTTCAGTCCAAGTGTCTATTACATGCTCAACCACTGGTATCTGTGTGGTCAGTTACAGCACAGCACATTTGTTCTGGCAGGGGGAAATAGAAGTTAAAAGGAAATAAGGAGATCTTTCTCCTCTAATGGAGCAAAAGCAGCCCATGCTTGCCATTCCCAGACAGTGTTGTTCTGCTCTAGGTTCACTAGGAACAGGAAGCAGGTTAATGCCACCCTATCTTAGTGTATTTGGGTCTTTGTGGAAGCCATCCAGAGTGGCTGGGGAAACCCAGCCTGATGGGCAGGGTACAAATAATAAATTATTATTATTATTATTATTATTATTATTATTACTACTACTACTACTACTACTACTGCTGCTGCTGCTATAGTGGCCTCAAGTGCATTCCTTTACTTTTATAAAAGTATAAAATGAATGGTTACCGTCCCATCCCATAGGGGAAAGAAAGTGTTACACTAATTCAGCCGTGTCTCTCTCTGGCACCCTGAAGGCAGTTTGCAGAAAGATGCAAGATATGTTACTATGGATGCACAGGATTGGTCCCCACTTCTTAAACTCATTAACCCTGGTTTAAAAGTGTACGTGAAACAAACAGCAGCCCAAAGGAAATCCTGCCTAGGACTGTAACTGAGCCATATAACTGAACCAAGACATACAGAGGTTTTTTGGAGATTCCAAAACACAACTTCCAGAGCTAAAACATCTCTGTAGTCTTCCAACATACCCTCCTGATCAGGTCTTCGACATTGTCATGCGGGAAGGATCGGATGGCTGCAATAGTTCGGATCAAGCGCTCCGACAAAGAATATTTACTCTGAATGCTCTGCATAATATACCACATACTGGAACTCAAGTTTCCTTGGGTTAATTCACATGCTCAATGTTGCCTGTGGTGGAGACAAAAGAGAAATGCGGAAGAAAGCTTTAAAAAGGAAGAAAGCGCACAAAAGTTCAAGGGAACGACACCTATTAATAATAAAAATTGTGAATATGAAAAGACTTGGCATCTTGTTACATTTCGCCCAGCACAAGATTACTGCAGCATCAAGTGATGGTTTGCATGGCAGGGTGGGTGGCGCCAGAGGCAAGAAGGGGATTGGGCAACAGGTGTGACTTAGCTATGCAAAACCAAGAGGTTTCCATACACTCAGGTGCACATACTCCACAACCTACCTCACCCAGGCATGCAAGAGGCATGATCACATCAAGGACATATTGCAGTTGGGCAAAAGCACCCAAGGGCTACCAAAAGGCATGGACTGGGAAGAGGCCCAAGCACCAGACAGTCAGGCATTCAGGGTCTGAGTCTCCACTCATGGTCTATTTTGACCAATAGCCGCTCTATGTGGTCTCCTGGATAGGTTTTTTGTTCTGCCTACGATCATTTAACTGAAGGCTCTGGTGGAAGAATTTTGGATCATCTGCATATGACGCATGTGCTCTGGTACTTTGCTACTGCCTCTTCTAATCCAATGCCCTATGCATTTTGAGCTATAATTTTTGAAAAAATAGCAGAGCAGAGCTCAGAAATATCTCTGCTTTAGGCTTAGAGAGCCCCAGCCAGTCAAAGGGGGCAATGGTGGGTTAGAAACGCCAATTATTTGACTGGTATATTAATACTTTGGCTAGAACAAACTAAGGCACATGCTGCAACAGTTCTTAAGACGGCCAGTCAGACTCAATACAGCTTTAACAGATTAACACTGGGTCACTGTGTGTAGTGGGTTTGCTTGGTACAGTATTGATCTTCCTTTCACTTGCTAAGAAACAGGTCATCCAACACCTGTACAACTTTACTCCCAACTTCACTACAAACAGAAGGCTGAAAATCATTCTGTGATAAGTTACTGTGACAATGGGAAGAGAATAGGTGGATATTTTTTACTATAAAACAGAGGTCACAGTGAACCAATATGGTTTGTATGGCAAACTGCAAAATGGGTGAATCTGAAACCTAAGTGAGTAGGAGGTTCTGCACTGTAAAATTCAATATTGATAACCTGCAGTATTTAGGACCTAAAAGTCTAAATAGAGGCTTTGTACTGTTTGTTTTTTTTAAAAGCAACAGGACCCTGACCACAGGGATAATAATCTAGAGATAAACAGAAGCAGTGGAAGAGTTTTTGTGTTTGTTTTTTTAATGGCCTCTTCTGAATTGTTCAGTGCACAGCTAATTAAAACAATCAGGACCTGAGGTATGCTTTCTAAAGGGACCTGGTTAGCCAAGTACACTGGTACAGTACTTTGGTTGTCAAACTTAATCCGTTCCGGGAGTCTGTTTGACTCCTGGAAACATTTGAAAACCAAGGTGCAGCTTCTAATTGGCTGCAGGAGCTTCCTGCACTCAGTCAGAAGCCGGGTCAGACATTTGGCTTCCAAAGAACGTTCAGAAACCGGAACACTTACTTCTGGGTTTTCGGCATTCAGGAGCCAAAATGTACGAGTACCAAGGCATTCGAGAAACAGCTGAGTGACAACAAGAGAGAGTGTGTGAAAAAGATAAGAAGATGGGGATTAACTAAGGTTATTGAACTGGAAGAATACATGGGGAAACTAGCATCTAAAAGTGGGAAGGGGGCCGGTGGTAAGCTTATTCTAGATGGATGTTCTCTGTTATTTTTGGCGGATTACTGTAACTGTTTTTCTCATGCAGGATGACTTTGGGGCAGTCACTTCACAACAGAAATCTGTGTGGAACCCATTCTAGGCTATAAGCATGCCAAACACTCAACAGAGTTCATATGCAATGCAACAATACTGAAAAAATAGCAGACATTCAAGGCACACTGTGGCAGCAGGCAACAGAACTCCTTTTATATGGAGGATCTGGATGCATTATTTGCATGTTTGGAAGAACAAAACATGAAACCAAACTGCATGATGCAATCATATCTATTGTGCAAGTGTTACATCCTAGACTAGCCACCTTTAAAATACATTGTGCTCCTTTTTCATCATTCTTGTTTTCGTTTTAGAAGGGTTTCAAATTTTTTTTAAAAAAGACAAGGCCCTGCAAATTTTGCAACCAGAATAAAAGTATTCAATTCAGCAAGTCACCCTGATTTCAATAATCTGCTCCAGTTTTGCAAGCTGTCAGTGTACAAGTAGCACCCAAGGCTATTAAGTTATAGTATCTGTGATGCAAGCATCATCTCACTAATTTGTTTTTATAAACAAGATGAAAAACTGGGTGGCACCAGGCACACTTTATTATTATTAGTTGCTTTTTAAAAAAGAAAAAAGAAACCCAAAGCAGCTTACAAAAATGAACATTAAAAACAAGGACTGAGCAACCTAACATAAACTATCTGTATGTATCTCTATATACACAGGTCCCACCCCACTAAAATGTAAGCTGAAAATTAAGATCCAAATGCATAACAATGTTTTTGCCCAGCATATGAGAACAAAGACAGCACAAGGCTTGCCTCCCTGGAGAGAACATTCCATAAAGGGGGAGCCACCACTAAAAAGGCCCTTTCTCTTGTTGCCACCCTCCACACCTCCCTTGGAGGGGGCACATGGAGAAGGACCTTAGATGAAGAACGCAGAGGGAAGAATGGTTCATGTGAGGAGAGGCAGTCCCTGAAGTACTAAGGTCCTGAGCAGCACCAGGCTTCCTAGGTCACAACCAGCATTTTGAACTGAGCCCAGAAACTACTTGTGCCAGTAAGCAACCTGGCCACTGAATTCTGCACAGCTGCAGTTTCTGAGCCATCTTTAAAGGCATATAACACATTGCAGTAATCTAACCTAGAGATAGATGCTGCAGTCTCAGTGACACATAAAATACTGTCAGAAGCATTCCTTCTTTTTTACTCAACTCAGGTGGCCAAGAGAACTATAGAGGGTTGTATATAAGATGAAAGTAAACTAAGCAGACAAATACACTCCCCATTTCGGGGAGAAAGGGGGAGCAAGAAAAACATGAAACTGTGGAACATTGCTGTGACTGACACTGCCTTCCAATTAGGAATTAGATGAAACAGATAAATACCGGCAATAAACCACTAATTCCCAAAAGGTGTGCTGCAAGGGAATAGCTATCATGCCACGAGAAACAAACAAGAAGCATTCAGCAGCCTAGTTCTGCCAGCTCCCAGACAGCTGTACTGCCTGCCTATAACTCTTGAATGTATTCTGAGTGAAAGCACTTTAGTCACAATGCGTGATGCATCCCTTCCCTGTCACACATTACATGCATGCCATGTATCACTGCTCATACCGAGATGCACACCTAATAAAATAGGAAACATGTATGCTTCACTGCTGACCTGATGCAAGGGATGCATTAGACACCATTTGACATATTACTACATAAAACGTCTTCTAATAGCCTTAGTGTAAGCGGACTGAGGTGCCAGTTAGCTCTGTTGGTTAATTAGAAAACAATTCAGAAATAGCAGTAGGATTAACTAACACCTTTCAGTTAAGACCAACTGAAAGATCACAAAGTAATGAGCAAGAATTCAGATTCCCAGAACTCTTCAGCAGCAAGCTTAACATGCCACCTGAAGAATAGCTTTGAGGACCAGTGTGTCTCTGTGGCAAGTCTTTTTCATCCTATTACAGATGTTAAATAGGTTACAAACACCAGAATGTTTGTGTTCTCATCAAACACTTCTTTGTGACTACCACTGTGCTTTACACATATGCAAGTTTTTAAGATAATTGTCAGTTTGCATTCTTGCATTTTGCTTCCCTCACACTTCACTGCTTATGCCCAAGTGCCTACACCAGCTAACCTGGGCTAACACTTCACACACCTGATGACATGGGCTCTAGACCACACAAACAAAGCATGTCATCATAAATGCTTAAGAGACAACAAGACTCTCTTGCGGTTTTGAATTAAGAAGCACTGCCTCTGCATTACCTTTTGCATTTCAATGCAAGCTGCTTAATTGCCACATACCCTCGCCTCACACGCAGGCTTCCTATCTAACTTGACATATAAGGATATACATTTTCATGGGTGTAGCCAGGATTTATGTTGGGGGGACAGGACCACCACCTGTCATCATCCTCTATCTGGCTCTGTCTAGCAGATTTGGAATGAACTCTCACAACAACAGTTAATTTACATTACTTTCTTTAGACTCCAAGTGCTCAGAAAAACCTGTCCAAAATCTTTCTACAATTTCAAAATTAAGCATTTATTTATTTTTATTTGATGGGGGGAGATGCCCTCCCTGCCTACGCCCATGTACATTTTGAATACCTCTCTCTCTCTAACCATCTAGATCTCTGTACGCACAACACAGAAGCTTGGCGGGATTTCTGTTGTTGTACTGTTGCTGTGCGGAGAAATTAAAGAACCCTTTAATGAGGGTGAAAGAGAAGAGCGCAAAATATGGTCTGAAAACATAAAAAAAACAAAAACAAAAAAAACAAACAAGATCATGGCCACTGGGCCCATCACCTCCTGGCAAATAGAAGGGGAAGAAATGGAGGCAGTGAGAGATTTTACTTTCTTGGGCTCCATGATCACTGCAGATGGTGACAGCAGTCACGAAATTAAAAGACACCTGCTTCTTGGGAGAAAAGCAATGACAAACCTAGACAGCATCTTAAAGCAGAGACATCACCTTGCCAACAAAGGTCCGTATAGTTAAAGCTATGGTTTTCCCAGTAGTGATGTATGGAAGTGAGAGCTGGACCCTAAAGAAGGCTGATCACCGAAGAATTGATGCCTTTGAATTATGGCGCTGGAGGAGCCTCTTGAGAGTCCCATGGACTGCAAGAAGATCAAACCTATCCATTCTGAAGGAAATCAGCCCTGAGTGCTCACTGGAAGAACAGCTCATGAAGCTGAGGCTCCAATACTTTGGCCACCTCATGAAAAGAGAAGACTCCCTGGAAAAGACCCTGAGATGGAGGGCACAAGGAGAAAGGGACGACAGAGGACGAGATGGCTGGACAGTGTTCTCGAAGCTACAAACATGAGTCTGACCAAATTGCGGGAGGCAGTGGAAGACAGGAGTGCCTGGCGTGCTCTGGTCCATGGGGTCATGAAGAGTCAGACACAACTAAACAACAACAATTGTTGCTGTTGTTGTGGCAGACATTTTTGGGCATGGAAACGAACGGTTGGGAAAGAGGCGAGCTGGAGCCCACAGAGGCCTCCCAGAGGTGGTGGTAGTGCTGGGGGTTGTCGCACCGCCAAGCGAGCCCAGCCCATGCGGGGGTCCCAGGGGTCGCCTCTCGCTCACCACCAGCCCCACCAGCGCCCCTCCCCGGCGGTGCCGCCTCCGCCGCCCGCGGAGGCCAGACGGAGCGGACCCCGCACCGCAGGGCGAGCCTTGCCCGTCCCCTGCCGCCGCCGCCGCTGCCGCCGCCCCAGCCTCGCTCACCGACCCGGCGTCGACCCCGGCCCGCGCGCCCTCCAGCAGCGCCCCCGGAAGCTCAAGCGCCGCTGACCCCGGTGACCCGGAAGCGGTATAAAAGAAGAAGCAGCAGAAACCCCTCAGGCAGGCGCGGGCCGAAGACGCTCTTTCCGCTCCGTCTCAGCGGGCCCCGCCCTCCTCACCAGTCTCCTCCAATCATTGCCGAGGGCCTCAGGGTAAAGCCCGCCCCGCTCCTCCCTCTACCTGCCAATCCTCTCGCGGCTCTCCGAACGAGGCCTCTTTCCCCGGCGAAGGGAGTTCCAGGAATACGCCGCTTAGCAGCTTCTGTCAAAGGCCGGGCTCTTTCTTCCCCCCACGGGGGCGTTTTCTGGGCCTGGCTAAATTTTAGGCCCGGGAGGGGAGGAGGAAGAGGCAAAGCAGCGCTTCAGGCCAGTACGTTTCCGAGCACCATTCAAAGTGTTGGTGCTGACCTTGAAAGCCCCAAACGGCCTCGGTCCAGTACACCTGAAGGAGCGTCTCCACCCCCATCGTTCTGCCCGGACACTTGAGGCCCAGCTCCGAGGGCCTTCTGGTGGTACCCTCACTGCGAGAAGCCAAGTTACAGCCTTCTCGGTGGTGGCGCCCGCCCTGTGGAACGCCCTCCCTTCAGATGTGAAGGAAATAAGTAGCTTTCCTATCTTTAAAAGACATCTGAAGGCAACCCTGTTCAGGGAAGCTTTTAATGTTCAATAGGTTATTGTGTATTAGTGTTTTGTTGGAAGCAACCCAGAGTGGCTGGGGAAACCCAGCCAGATGGGCAGGGTATAAATAAAAAATTACTATTATTATTATTCAGGTCCCGTGCGCAAATTTGTTTGGCTCTGCATTACAAAGAGGTCTGCAAACGTGACGTGAAGGCTGGCAACATCTGGGAATTCCTTCTTTTTTATTTTAATTCATTTTTTTATTATATATATAAATCCAAAAATACATTCCAATACATGATAATTTTCTCTTTGGTTTTATTGACTTCCCTTCCCGTTTTCCATGGTGTTTTTAATTTCTCCCCCTTGCTGCACCCTTGTCTTCTCTCTCTCATAACCATGACAATAATCTCTAAGCCTGCCTGTTGCTCATAGTTCAAATCTGCTCGGAAATTCATCACACTCATGGGCATAGCGGGTGGTGGGGTGGGTAGCATCGAAAGTACTCAACTAACAGGTTCTGTCCACCCCCAACCAAAGCCTGTCCCCCTTTTGGGGTGGCATTTTTACCCGTGACTTCTCCAAAGAAAATCCTGCTTACGCCCATGATCATACCATAATATTTCTTTAAATATTCCAAAAGGGGCTTCCATTCTTCCACAAAACAATCATTAGTCTCTCTTATTTTTGCTGTTAGCTTTGCCAACCCTCCATTGTCCATCCCTTTACTTATCCATTTTTCTTTGGTGGGAACTTCCTTCCAGCTTTGTGCATAAAGAATCCTAGCTGCTGTCATTACATAGAGCTTAATCGTCTTTTTGGGGAATTCTGTTCCCACCGTCTGGGAATTCCATGCCTGGAGGTTTCACTTAAAATAGCATCATAATTATCATTGTTAATAGGGTTCATTGCAGTCTACAGGTGGTAAAGTTAGACTTGGAAGAATATATCTTCATGCTTGGGTGGATAATGTAAGGGGAGGCATCGTGCAAATAAAACAAGGGCATCACTGAGGATGCCACTGGCTGAATCCGACCTCTGCTGTCTCTGAACAAAAGACAGCCCTTCCCCTCATCCCAGACACGCTCCTCCAGCCGAAGAGGAGCAAAGCCAGCCAGCCAGACGCTCAAAGGGGAAGGCAAGGATGAAAGCAGCAGCGAATGCAACCACATCTGTCTCCTCCTAGGATCAGAGGTGGAGGCTGGGGCTGGATGGAGAAAGGACCTTCCATTCCTCAGAATCCACCTTAAATGTTGGTGGAGCTGAGCAAAATCTGGCTCTGGGTTTCTCAGTCTCCACCCTGTGGTGCCTGCAGTGAATTCTTATCTCTCCGCACATGCAGCAGCCAAAACCAAAAAATCTTCTGTGCCCAAAGCAGCGGTGAGTAGATGCAAGATGGGGAAGCGTGGAGGACGATTTGCTTTAGCAGCAGCAACTAAGTCCGGACTCTGCCTGCTGGAAGGAATCTCTGTTTTTTATCAGATGTGCTTTATTGGATAGATGGACTCTTGTCAGGGACAGGATTCTGGGAAAAGTGCCGCACTTGGGATCATTGTAATAAAATGCATTCCAGTTAATACATATGAAAAACAAAAGAAAATCTGAAGCTATTTCAGCAGCCCACTCCCAAATCTCATAATTTCACTATGCTCTGAATCAAGCCACACTCCTGAAGTGCCAGGACTGGGGGTTGATGTTCTTCCTTTCCCGTTGTGGGCGTGGGTGTTTAATTTCATTGCTGTACAGTACAATGAAGTGCAAAGCATTGAATTCTCTATCTCTCTGCAACATAGCTTTATTCTTACCATTTTACAGATGCCAAGGGTGGGGGCTGACTTCTGTTGCTCTGGTGGGTTCAACATGCAACCAGACTGTATCTCAACATGCCCTTGTCCAGAGGGCATTTGGAGGGGGGGGGCAAGCCAGCAGGTTAGTCTTTATTGCAAGTAGAATCAAGGCTGAATTTGAAAATATTTTGAAATCCAGTTTTCATTTGTGTTTTTCTGCTTGTTGTGTAATCCCCTATTTTTTTAATACACCCTTACCTCACATCAGGGGGACGTGGGTGGCACTGTGGGTTAAACCACAGAGCCTAGGACTTGCCGATCAGAAGGTCGCGGTTCGAATCCCCGCGACGGGGTGAGCTCCCATTGCTCGGTCTCTGCTCCTGCCAACCTAGCAGTTCGAAAGCACCTCAAAGTGCAAGTAGATAAATAGGTACCGCTCTGGCGGGAAGGTAAACGGCGTTTCCGTGCGCTGCTCTGGTTCGACAGAAGCAGCTAGTCATGCTGGCCACATGACCTGGAAGCTGTCTGCGGACAAACGCCGGCTCCCTTGGCCTATAGAGCGAGATGAGCGTGCAACCCCAGAGTCGTCCACGACTGGACGTAATGGTCAGGGGTCCCTTTACCTCACATCACTATATCATAATCTGTGACAACCAGAACAATCAGTCTTTGTTCCCTGGATAGACCTTTGTCCTGCTGTAACAGGAGGAACCCAACAGACAAATGGTGTGGCTGAAAAGCCAGACCTGGGGTTGGACTCACTCATAACTCTAGATTGAATATTATTAATAACACAAATTCTCCTGTTGGACTGTAGCACACACCTTTAGCACACATGGAATGTTTTCAGAGAGGTGCTGGTGGTAAGGAGTGTGCCAATTCAGTCTCACTTGACCACTCTGCATTTGGGACACGGTTCCCTGTTCCTGTGTGTGTACACTATTGCCAGTTGCAGCAACAGTGTCAAATATTAATCCTGTGGTGTACCACCTCTTGAATATTATATAATACTTAAACACCACGGCATGTCAAGTGCTGTACTGCAATTAGAATCGAGGTGCCCCAGTTGGGTATCTCTCAGAATTAGAAAATGATGCCTTTCACATTCAAAAGCTTCCAGTAAAAGGTAAAGGTAAAAGGACCCCTGGCCATTAGGTCCAGTTGTGACCGACTCTGGAGTTGCGGCGCTTATCTAGCTTTATTGGCCACGGGAGCTGGCGTACAGCTTCTGGGTCGTGTGGCCAGCATGACTAAGCCGCTTCTGGCGAACCAGAGCAGCGCACGGAAAAGCCGTTTACCTTCCCACCGGAGCGGGGTGCACTTTGATGTGCTTTCAAACTGCTAGGTTGGCAGGAGCAGGGACAGAGCAACGGAAGCTCACCCCGTTGCGGGGATTTGAACCGCCAACCTTCTGATCATCAAGTCCTAGGCTCTGTGGTTTAACCCACAGCGCCACCCGCGTCCCCATAAAGCTTCCAGAGTTAACACTAAATACATTACTTCTGGTAAATGAGCCACCATAGACAACATTAGAGGGCTATGAAAATTTGTGTCCCGGGCTTTTTAGACTCATCTACCCATGCACTATCAGAAACCAAAGGGGAGCATTGGTTGTCAGGTGTGAATTATTTCCCCCCCAGCTCTCCTACCCCACTTAGATATATTCTGCTGATAGTTGAATTCTCTTTCCAGGATACAAAATAATGGAGAGCAGAAGGAAGGAAGGCAGCCTTACCCAGAAAGACCCCATAAGAACAGATCTTCAAGGGGCAGAAGAACACTCCCAGGGGAGAAATTTGGACAGCGGCAGTCAGGAAAGAGACTGCGAGAGCCAGAGCGAGCCGGGGAGGCAGCGGAGGAAAACCACAGCCCTTAGTAGGAGGTTTGGTGTATCGTCCCAGTGCAAAGAAGGCATTGGAAGGCTGAAGGACCTCCTGGCCCTGCAAAGACCCCTCGCGAGGCCCACCATCTGCAATGAGTGTGGCAAGGGCTTCAGCCGCAGTTCGGACCTCGTCAGGCACCAGATCACCCACACAGGGGAGAAGCCCTACACCTGCGCTGTCTGTGGCAAAGGCTTCAGCCAGAACTCCAACCTGCTGACCCACCAGAGGATACACACAGGTGAGAAGCCCTACCAATGCAGGGACTGCAGCAAGCGCTTCAGCGAGAGCTCTGCCCTCATCTAGCATCAGAGGACCCACACGGGAGAGACGCCGTACGCGTGCGTGGAGTGCGGGAAGCGATTCAGCGTGAGCTCGAACCTAATCCGTCACCGGCGCACCCATATGGACGAGAGGCCTTATATCTGCGGGGAGTGCAGGGAGGGTTTCCGGCACAAGTCGCAGCTCAGGAGGCACCAGAAACTGCACGTAGCTTAGCGTTTGGGGTGGGGATGAGCTACAAAACCAAAGCGCATATTGTGTAAACGAGCAGGCCAATATGTAAAACTGAAATAAGTTTTGTAGGGAATGTTCTTATGCACATTTTCTGAACTTGGATTTACCTGCAAAAAGAAAATAAAAGTTGATCCTTCCAATTTAATTCTCCCACCCATTGCTCTCCTTTACAGATACTATTGGCTTTGGGCTGCAATCCTATACACACCGAACTCAATGGAACTTAAATCTAAGAAGGCATGCAAGGAATTGCACGGTTGATGGGTTTAAGAAAAACTTGGGTGTCAGAAACACTTCACTATGACCACCTTGAAGTTCATCAGCAAAGCTGAAAAGTTAGGCTTTAAATATACTTCCAAGTCAGGTTTTGAAACTAAACTTTGAAATATCACTCACATTCTAAGTTTTGGCTATAGTTTGGTTGTATATGGGATCAAAAGCACGTGAGGCTTCTATATTTTAGGACTCAATGGCCTGGTTCTCATGCTGTGCTAAGACAAGTCAAACACACACAGGATCCAGAAGAGATGGTAGCAATTTACTCCTTTTTAAAAAATTATAATTTTCATTTTACAACAAACAAAAGCAAAACCTATTAAAAAGCAACTTACTGCATGTGTCATATTTTGACTCCCCTCCCCCCCTTTCTGTGGTTCCTTACGTTTATAATATTTTTACTGCATTTCCAAATTAAACCTATTTATTATTTATCCCATATATTCAATATATGTTTTATATCACTGCACATTTTTACATTAATCCTGCTAATGTCTTAATCTGTTTACGATAGTCTTGTAAATATTCAATAAACGGTTTCCATTCTTTATTAAAAACTTTGTGCTCTTGATTCTTATTCTTTGGTCAAACTTAGCCATTTCTGCATAATCCAGTAGTTTCTGTTGCCATTCCTCTTTAGTCAGGACATTTTCTTTTTTCCATCTTTGGGAAAATAGCATTCAAGTGGCTGTGGTCGCAAATATATATATATATATATATATATATATATATATATATATGTAGGACTGTTTTAGGTAACTTTGCTTTACTTCTGGTTGCTCAGCTGTTGTGTTGAGCTGTGCTGCGGCTTGGCTTAGTGCATGGGTAGGCAAACTAAGGCCCGGGGGCCAGATCCGGCCCAATTGCCTTCTAAATCCAGCCCGTGGACGGTCTGGGAATCAGCGTGTTTTTACATGAGTGGAATGTGTCCTTTTATTTAAAATGCATCACTGGGTTATTTATGGGGCATAGGAATTCGTTCATTCCCCCCCAAAAAAATAATAGTCTGGCCCCCCACAAGGTCTGAGGGACAGTGGACCGGCCCTCTGCTGAAAAAGTTTGCTGACCCCTGGCTTAGTGTGTCATCCAAACCTGAGCTCATGGTTTGGCTCTCTTCAGACAAACCAAGAGCTGTAGCCAAGGCTTGTCCTATGGTTTATGATTTGTGGTTTGTTTGGAAGAACTAACCCACATACCTGGGTTCAGACTACACGCTAAGCTTAGCTTAGCTCATCCCAATGGCAGAACCACCAGGGAGCAGCAAAGTGTCCGGGATCTCTTCCTTAGGAGCCCACATGCTTGTGTGTTCATGCTGAGTCATGGTTTGGCTTACTGTGATCTGCAAACTAAGCCCATAACACGCCCCTTGAAGCATTTCCACCCTTAAATTGAGTACATTTAAGACATATACCGTATTTTTCACCCTATAGGACGCACCGTCCCATAAGGCGCACCTAGTTTTTTGGGGGGAAAATAAAGGGGGGGAAATTATTTCCCCTCCTGGGGCGGGGGAAGCCCGAACTTCCCCCGACCCCAGCCCCCAAACAGGCAGCTCTCTGCAAGCCGTGGGAGCCCAGCCAGCGCCGGCTCCCACTGCTTGCGGAGATCCGCGAAGCCTGGACGCGCTGAGCTCAGCGCGCCCAGGCTTCAGCATGCAGGCAACTCTCCGCAAGCCGCGGGAGCCCAGCGCCGGGATCCCGCGGCTTGTGGAGAGGTCCGCAAAGCCTGGAGAGCGAGAGGGGTCGGTGCGCACCGACCCCTCTCACTCTCCAGGCTTCAGCGAAAGCCTGCATTCGCCCCATAGGACGCACACACATTTCCCCTTCATTTTTGGAGGGGAAAAAGTGCGTCCTATAGGGCGAAAAATACGGTAGATTATGGCAGACGTCATGCTTCAAACACCAGCGTTGGAAGCATACAGGAGCTAGAGTAAACAGCAGTGTGTATACCGCCTCTGTCATCTCCATTAAATCCAGTGGGCCTACTTGTGTGTAAAATTTAGTCGACTTCCACCCCTTGGTAGGTACGTTAATAGGTGGTGTTTACTCTGGAGGAATTAATGCAGAGTGCGACAATGTCCCTCACATTGCTTCCACTGAAATTTATGAGACTTTCTTCCGTATGATCCGGGATGCTGTGGTACGCACATCCTATCAGTGGCACCCTTACATTATTTTAAAACCTGCACTTAAAGTGCTGTAATGTCACAAATGTGACATTATCTTTATTCTGTGTATGGCAGGGTATGCCAGTCCTCCTTTGCTTAAGGGCCTTGGGCTTAAGTACACGAAAACCCTACCCAATATATTTTGGCACCTGAGGCGAACCACTGAAATAAAAAAATTAAGGTCTTTTATATATATAATAAATGTTCATAAATGTACCAACCAAGCACGTACATAGATCAGCACAGGAAGACGTCCTGAAACCATTTTGACTCCCAAACTGACCAAATGTTTTCTCTGCAAGGAGGGAGGGGGTCAGGGAGCCTTCCCATTGTCTCAGGAATTGAGTAATCACCATTTCAAAGGGTGACAGACTTCCAGGAAAGGCAATCAGATAAGGCATTATCAGATAACCTGGCAGACAGGAAAAACAACAACATTCAAATTTCTGTTGTAGACCACCGTTTCTGTGATGTATGATGTATGGAGGGGTGGTTTTGAGCTCCAGGGCAGAGAATCTAAAATGTCTATACCGTATAAAGGCAGGCACACCTTGATTCTGGGTCCTCCTCCTTTCCTGCGAGTGAGGGGAGCACCCTGTTGCAACAGATCAATAAAGATGAGGCTCACTAGCTGCTTTGCTTCTCAATATTCTCTGGTTGGCCTCTGTTATTTTCTCCTACCAATAGGGAACCCACGTAAGGACTCTATACAGGCTCTTGGATACCCCATAAGGGGAAAAGGGCAGATTTTGTTTGTTGTTGTTTAGTCGTGTCCGACTCTTCGTGACCCCATGGACCACAGCATGCAAGGCACTTCTGTCTTCCACTGCCTCCCGCAGTTTGGTCAAACTCATGCTGGTAGCTTCGAGAACACTGTCCAACCATCTCGTCCTCTGTCGTCCCCTTCTCCTTGTGCCCTCCATCTTTCCCAACATCAGGGTCTTTTCCAGGAAGTCTTCTCTTCTCATGAGGTGGCCAAAGTATTGGAGCCTCAGCTTCAGGATCTGCCCTTCCAGTGAGCACTCAGGGCTGATTTCCTTCAGAATGGATAGGTTTGATCTTCTTGCAGTCCATGGGACTCTCAAGAGGCTCCTCCAGCACCATAATTTAAAGGCATCAATTCTTCGGCTATCAGTCTTCTTTATGGTCCAGCTCTCACTTCCATACATCACTACTGGGAAAACCATAGCTTTTACTATACGGACCTTTGTTGGCAAGGTGATGTCTCTGCTTTTTAAGATGCTGTCTAGGTTTGTCATTGCTTTTCTCCCAAGAAGCAGGTGTCTTTTCGTGGCTGCTGTCACCATCTGCAGTGATCATGGAGCCCAAGAAAGTAAAATCTCTCACTGCCTCCATTTCTTCCCCTTCTATTTGCCAGGAGGTGATGGGCCCTGGGGTCATGATCTTCGTTTTTTTTTGATGCTGAGCTTCAGCCCATATTTTGCGCTCTCCTCTTTCACCCTCATTAAAAGGTTCTTTAATTTCTCCTCACTTTCTGCCATCAAGGTTGTGTCATCTGCATATCTGAGGTTGTTGATATTTCTTCCGGCAATCTTGATTCCGGCTAGGGATTCATCCAGCCCAGCCTTTCGCGTGATGAATTCTGCATATAAGCTCTCAGCCAGCTGCTGACCTCCCCGTCCCTAACTCGCCCACCTACTTTTCCGACGGCATCTTTCACCCCTCAGGGTGCATATAGACACCGCACTTTCCTTTTCAAGAAAGCATGTTGATTTACTAGGACAACACCGCCCCCCTCCCCATCTCTTAACCATAGAGCTAGGAATACCTCCCTCTTCCTAGCGATCACCAGGAAATACAGCAGCGGAGAGGAGGTGGAATAGGGGATTAAATCTAACTGGGACCTTCCTGTTCCCAGCAGCCCCCTGAGCTGAGCCGAGAGTTGAGCTGGAGTGCAATCGCTACCGTGGCTCAGCCTCCTTTCTCTTGCCTAAGGTGGGGGTGGTGTCTGGAAAAATAAAAATAAACCAGAACGGGTTACCTTGCTTCCTTCATCTTCCCAGGGCAAGTGAGTTTGAATCGAGGGATCTGCGGGGGGTGAGGGGGATACCGGGAAGGGGAGGGGGGAAATCATTGCATTTGCAAGCGGAATTGGCAAGATTTGCAAAGGGAGCATCGCCAGGCACGACCTCCCTCCCTCTGCAAACCGCAGCCCGAGTGGGCAGCATTGCGCCCTTATTTTCACTTTGCAAAAGACTTTGCATGCTTATTATTGATCAGATTTCTTCCTTGCTTGCCACCCTTGATGAGAGTTTCCTTGTTCTTCCCATTGCTCCCGTCTCTCTCTGTCGTTCTCACGTCGGTGCAATCTCGAAATGGTTCCCTCTCTCCGGGGATGTGGCATCGCGGCTCAGATCTGCAGGATATCGGGGTCCGGCTGGCCGCCGATTGTCCCCCCCCCTTCCACCACCACCTGCTTGCTCGCCTCTGCCCCCAATGACATTGCTCGATCCCAAGATGGCCACCTCGGGCGAGATAGAAAGCTGTCATTTTCAAAGTTGCGGCTCCGGGGGTGCAGCGAGGCATCGCGGCGGGGCATCAAGTTAGAGGTTTCTGGGGCTGAGTAAGGCGGCCATGGAGATGAGTCTTTTATCTTCCTGAGCGGTGCAAAATCGGGGGTGGGGATTTGGGGTACCGGAAGGTGCTGTTGGCTGGTTTTTAACTTTAGAAGACACTATTTAAAGCTCTCTCTAAGTACTGCGGCTAACAGATTTATTGTGGCATGAGCGCAACAGCCACGTGATTGCTCTTTGTATTTGTTTGTGTGTGTGCAAGGAGCTTACATGGCCGTTCCTCTGTAATATGTGCTGTGGGATGGTGCTGTGGGTGAAGCCACAGAGCATAGGAATTGCAGATCAAAAGGTCGGCGGTTCGAATCCCCGCCACGGGGTGAGCTCCCGTTGCTCGGTCCCTGCTCCTGCCAACCTAGCAGTTCGAAAGCACGTCAAAGTGCAAGTAGATAAATAGGTACCGCTCTGGCGGGAAGGTAAATGGCGTTTCCGTGCGCTGCTCTGGTTCGCCAGAAGCGGCTTAGTCATGCTGGCCACATGACCCGGAAGCTGTATGCCAGCTCCCATAAAGCGAGATGAGCGCCGCAACCCCAGAGTCAGCCACGACTGGACCTAATGGTCAGGGGTCCCTTTACCCTTTACCAGCATTGGGCTAGATGGGCCGATGAATGATGGGTGCAATTTATCTGGTATTTTATTTGAATGGTTCCTTTTGGTTCCTCCCTTAATAAAAGTGGAACAGAAATCAAGGTTTAAGTTGTATACTGGTCTTCCCCTGTATCTTTTCAGGAAATGCAGGGCTGGTAGCACTGAATCCCGCTTCGGGGCCCTGCACTACAATTCCCATCTTCCCTGACAGTTGGCTATACCGGCAGGGGCTGATGGGAGTTGGAATCCAACATCCGTGGAGGGACACTGGTTCTCCATCCTCCATCTGCGGTAGTTTCAGAACAAAGTAGCTGATTCCGCATCTCGTGAGATAGGAGGCGTTCTCATGTTCCCAGTGAAAGGATGAGATTCAAATCACTGGTAACTGGAGTGCTTTTGCTCTGTATTCCGTGGTCAAGGCATAGTTTGATTTGGGAATACCCCTGGAACATATTTTCAAGGTTGGGGCTCTGAACCCTCTCAACCCTGAAACGTGTTGAGGCACTACAAAAAGAGTGTTGCTTAACATGCGCAGAGTGCATTTTGGTCACCGCTGAGCAGGGTGGGCTTTACAGGACAGGGCTTTTAGATCAGAGCGTGCCATTTTGTGAAGCCTTGGTACTTTTCGGTGTAGAGGTTGAGTCCTCCCAAGTGGAGGTCATAGATTAGCAGAGCTAGATAGGCCTCGCTGTACCAGCATGGCTCCCACCAGAAGACAAGAGAGAGCATGGCTTGTTAGTCTGAGGAGAGGCTATTCAATCACAAGCTGTAGACAATTATGTTCCCTTTCGCCCAGTACTACTTGTTTGTGAACATCTGTTACCAACTCCAGAAATGCTTGATAGTTCCTCTGATTTCAACTCTCTCATTCACCGCATAGCAGTAACATTCTGGCTTGGAGGGGGAAAAAGCTCTTTGAGATGGACTGTGAAGACCCAGGTCGTGTGGAGATCCACAACTCAGATGATGGCGGGATTGTACGGAGAGTCTACGTAGGTGAGATGCTTGGCCCAGTTGCACATCCTTGTGTGGATCCTATTATTGTTATTACAATATTTTTATTACGCCCTGGTCTAAACCACTGAGCCTAGGGCTTGCCGATCGGAAGGTTGGCGGTTCGAATCCCTGCAACGAGGTGAGCTCCCAATGTTCGGTCCCTGCTCCTGCCAACCTAGCAGTTTGAAAGCACATCAAAGTGCAAGTAGATAAATAGGTACCGCTCCAGCGGGAAGGTAAACTTGAAGTTGAACTTGAAATGTAGAAAAGGGTCGTGGGCAAACACACTAGCTATCATTTTGGTGTTTTGCATGCAGACAGGACAACCACTGGCAAGTTTAAACCAAACCAGCTTTTCCTGGCCACTTAGGGAAAATAGTAGGAATGGTGCAATAAAACTAAGCCAAATGGGAGAAATTATACAAACTATTATAATAAATGTGGGTTGCACCATTAGCTTTTTCATAACACTCGGGTTATCTAGGAGCAGGTGTGCGGCTGTTTTTAAACTCAGCCCTGGTGGGTTCCCATTTTTGAAAGCCTCAGACTTAAAGACCCGTTCTTCTGACTTCTGGGGATCAGCTTGTGGGTCTTGGTGCATTGCTCCTGTGGCTGATCTATGTGGCTCTTTTCCCCTACAGCTGACAAAAGTGAAGATGATCTGGAGCACGAGACCATCCAATCCAGCATTCAGCATGGACAGTCCACCTGGAAGGCAAATTCCCAGCAGGAAGGATCAGCAGTGGACCGGCAGGGGAGCCCGCTAGCCCCTGACAGCTATGGCAAGGGCGAGGGGGCGGTTGCCGCTGCAGTGGTCTCGCGCTCCACCAAGCAGCGCCCCTTCATCTGCAACGAGTGCGGCAAGAGCTTCAGCCACTGGTCCAAGCTGCTGCGGCACCAGCGCACGCACACCGGCGAGCGGCCCAGCACCTGCACCGACTGCGGCAAGAGCTTCTCGCAGAACTCACACCTGGTGCAGCACCGCCGCACGCACACCGGCGAAAAGCCCTACGTCTGCCGGGACTGCGGCAAGAGCTTCAGCTGGAGCTCCAATCTCATCCAGCACCAGCGCATACACACGGGAGAGCGCCCTTACACGTGCGGGGACTGCGGGCGCAGCTTCACCCAAAGCAAGAACCTGGCCAAGCACCGGAGGACGCACACGGGTGCCCGGCCGTTCCGCTGCCCCGAGTGCGGGCGGGGCTTTGCGCACACGGCTGGCCTGGTCAAACACCAGCGCCTGCGCCACGACACGGACTCTCCCATCGGGCACCCATGCCCGGAATGCGGGCAGCGCTTCCGGGCACCTTCCGAGGTGGAGCGCCACCGCGTGGCTCACCATGGCGTCGCCCCCTCGGAGCCCTTCATTTGCGTGGAGTGCGGAGAGTCTTTCACCAAGAGAACCACGCTCATCCGCCACAAGAGAGTGCACAAGCCCATCTTTGTGCGTTGAGGTTTTTCGTTCCCCCGTGTGGGATAGGAATTCCAAACGTTGATGCCCAGGCTTGGGGCCTGAAGACTACAGGTTGAGGTCCAAAGTGACTCTGGACTGCAACCTGGGTGTTGCTTGACCAGGTCAAAGGCCCTGATGGGGCCAACGTGCAAAATCCACTGGGTGGTGACGAGGAAGAAGAGGAGGAGGAGGGAAGAAGAAGAGAAGACAGGGCTCAGAGCTTGGACTTCAGGCCCCTGTCGGGAGAGAGACTGGTTGCGGCCCAGATCTCGAACTGCCGGTGGGGCAGAATGAAAGCGGAGCACAACTAACTCACCTGCTGAGAATCTACAGGCCCTAGACCCTCCTCCTGTACATACAATGTGTGTTGGGGGGGGGGATTCTTTAGTTAGAAGCCATAATAGAAAACCTTCAAGGGGAGGGAGGGGGAAGAGATCCAGTCAGCAAGTCTCCCTGAGACTTGGATGGAAGAAAGAATTCAGACGAGGAAGCATCTCGCAGCAGAACTGAGTTGCCTCAGGGAAGGAGCATGGACCATTGAGGCAGGGGAGATTGGACGGCGGTTGAGGAGGGGACAGGGAGATTGAACAAAACCTTGTGAAATAAAAGTTTTGTGTATCTCCTGATCTCAAAGTGCCAAACTCATTCTTTCTTTCAGAAGTTTGCGATCGAACAAGGGCAGTTTGAGAGACCAAGGTAGGCAATGTGGCGGAATGGGAAGATGGACCAAATTCTGAACAGGAGATGAACAGCACTGATAAAAAGGCCACTTACTGGGAGACTGTAGTGGCTGATGGGCTGTACAGAAGAAGAAAAGGAGACACTATGGACTAGAAGACGTTTAAGCCCAACAAGAGAACATAGCAAGTCTTTTTTTGCAGTGCAGGGTACAAACTGGGCATCTGGGGCAGAACGTAGTTCATTTTAAAGCTGTTCCTTGTGTTTATGGCGATGGATTCTAGTTATGCAAAAGACAGTTTTCATAGATAGGTCTTGGTCTTCCCAGCCTCATGTTCCTCTCCTGATAAATACTTTTTGCATACCCACATTTCTCTACCTATCACTATATTACTACAAGCATACTTTATCAACTACAGTCAAGCAAAAACTACAGAGGATAGACCTCTACAATAGTAGTAACAGTATTATCTGGCCTATAAGCGAGTCCCTCAGATGCTGAGGGTTCCTGCAGGGGAGGGAAGTTGTTGTCTCCCCCCCCCCCCAATAAAATGAAACATCTTTGCTTTCTGGTTTCCTGAGAAAACTTAGAAATACAGTGGTACCTCAGGTTACAGGAGCTTCAGGTTACAGACTCTGCTAACCCAGATATATTACCTTGGGTTAAGAACTTTGCTTCAGGATGAGAACAGAAATCGTGCAGCGGCGGCGCAGTGGCAGCGGGAGGCCCCATTAGCTAAAGTGGTGCTTCAGGTTAAGAACAGTTTCAGGTTAAGAACGGACCTCCGGAACGAATTAAGTACGTAACCAGAGGTACTGCTGTAGTCCTTCATCACACAGGGAGAAAAGTGAATGAGAGGTATACAGATTCAGGCTGCTGACACAACTACGAAATGTCTCTATATGGAGGAGATAGTACTAACGTGCTTTAGGATTGCAGGCTGAAAGTGTTAGGGGCTTATTGAATTCTATAGCTGCATTTGGATATAGCTCAACCATGGTTTAATGCAGAGACAGGGAAGCTGAGACATTCCAGATGGTGTTGGACTCCCAGTTCCTGGCCATGCTGGCGTAAGATGATGGGAGTTGAAAGTCCCAACTGGAGGCCCATGGGTTTAGCATTAACGGAATGAACTTCAGGAAGTCTGGATGTTCCTTGCCCTCTGGCTGAAGCAAGTAAGCTTCATAAACTTTGAGAGAAATTCAACATAGTGCTATGGCAATCATTCAGACAGTGCAAGCATTTCAGCTTTCCAGATGGAACAATCCCCCCCATGCTGTTCTGTGAGCTCTCCACCAAGCCAATTTGGGAAAGAGAAGGGACCAAGGCACTGGTGCTTGTGGGACTTGTTATATGAGTGCGCCCCTAAGGGTCTTAAGTTTGCTTCTGTC